TGGGTGCTGCAGTCTCTGTTCAGCTCCAGCACATTGTGTGATGGTTGTTAAAAGCAGCAGAGAGACGGTGTGGAGGATGTCATTTCTTTCAGTTTACAGTGAGCTAGTCAGGACAGTACTAATTGAGGTACGGTCAAAGATGGCAGAGACAACTGAAAAGCAAAACAAACAAACAAACAAACAAACAAACAAAAAACCCAAACAAAAGGAAACTTAGGTTTGCTCTAGTTTACCTACAGGTGATGCGTTTACTTTTGTTTGACAGTTTGATAATCTTTTCAGCTAACAGTGAGTTAGTCAGGACAGTACTTATGAGGTTCAGGTCAAAGGTGGAGAATACAACCAAAAAAAACAAAAACAAAAACAAAAGGAAACTTAGGTTTTCTCTAGTGTACTTAAAGCCCCCTACCCAAGTTGGGTGGAGAAAAGGGGGGTTTCAGCTGGTAGGTCACAGAACATCAGAAAGTGTGTGTTCGTTAGGGAACACACACTTTCTGTTGGAGGTTTTTAATTTTTGCTGCTGTATACAGTATTGTACACAGCAGCTGAGAGTTTTGGCCTGTGCATTTATCAATCCGCACCCACCCTCCCTATGTCCAGTCAAGTCAAGTTAAATGGATTAACTTGACTTGACTGGACTTGATAAATGCACAGGCCAAAAATGATGATTTATAACATTTGAATAGTAGAAAATTGTACAACCTGAAAAAATGTTTCCTTTGTAAAAAATTTAAGCCATAAAAATATCTTTTGCATTCAAAAACCTACAATCACCAAACACATTTGCACTGAAAATATGAGCATAACATTAGTCACAGCTTTTGTAGTTTGTCTTTCCCTTCAGAGCAGTTTCCTCTATGACCTGTTGGATGAAATAACACAGTAAGTGGCGTTGTGGTAACTGTAGTATGTCTGCACAATACCTGAGGAGAGACATAGCTGAGGTCGTGAGATGAAAATCAGGTCCAGCAGTGTGTTCTTGTCCGTTGTAGCAGCAGTGATCAGTTGACCATATCCCTTGGACTGAAAGAAATCCAAAATTGGCTTACTTGCATTAGAAAAGAGATTCTCATTGAAGTCGCCACAGACAATGATAGGATGACAGTCCATGATCTCAAGTGAGTCCAGAAGGCTTCCCAGATTGGACAGGAAAGACGGCACACTGTAGTCTGGAGGTCTGTACACAGCTGCAATCAGAGCACTTACAGGAGATTCAACCTTCAAAGCCACAAACTCAAGGTCAGTCACATTATTCAGGTACTGTTTCTCCACAACCTGCAAATGGTTTTTCACATAAACAGCAACTCCACCACCTCCTTTACTGGCCATCTGTGGAAAGTTAGTGTAGGACAAATGTCTGTTGCGTTTGAACATGGTGTAGCCCTCAAACTGGAGACTGTCTGCCACAAAGGAGCCCTGTAGGTGAGTTTCTGTCAGACACAAAACATCTGCAAGACACAGTTCATGATGGCTTTTGATGTCATTCACATGAGCAGGTAATCCTTCGGTGTTGTGATGAATGATGCTCACAGTGTCCTGTCTGCAGAGAGAATGCTGGATCTGGAGAAAAGGCATGAGGTGATCAAAGTTAGCTTGCGTCATGGTCTCCAAAGATACAGTGACTGCAGGGTTAGCATGGATTTTACTCTCATTCAAATCAAGCATGTACAGTCCGCTGAGAGAGGTCACTCGACTGATAGCTACATAGGCCATGCCGGGCTCAAAAATGTGCTTCAGAGAGACAACAGTTGATTTTCTGGTCATACCTTGAACCTTGTGTATCGTGCATGCAAAGGCAAGTTTCACAGGAAACTGTCTGCGTACCACTCCTTTCTGTTGCAGAGCCTCCTCAGATTTCTCGATGTACACAAGATTGTCTCCTCTAGTACGATAGCTCCTGCCAGCTGTTTCATCATCCATCCTGAGACCAAGCATAGTGACAAGAGCAGAGCCGTTGTTTTCAGAGCTTATGAGACGGCCTACTGTCGCAAATGATCCATTCACCAATCCTTGAGACACATCAATGTTTCTGGTAAGCATGACTCTAGCACCTACTGCAACATCTAGTGTGTCAGGTAGATCATTTCTGCTTCCATGACATGGTGCACCTTGTCTTTTCATGTGTCCAGTGTGTGGGTCCTTTTTAAAGTCATCTGCATCAATGGTGGTGATATCAGAATGGAGCAGAGATAGTGTAGCAGAGTTGTGTGCTGCGACTTGTTTGTTTGTAGCAAAAATGTGCAGGACATCGGAGGGACACAGTTGTGGTTCAGTGACACGCTGTAACAGCAGAGCTCTGTCAGCTTCAGAAAGCTCATCTGACCTTGTTTTCACACGGAGTCTGTTCAGCATCTCGGCAAAAGTTTTGTCATCCTTCTGTCGCATGATCTCATCTAAAGTGATCACCTGGAAGTTGTCTCTCCAGAGGTCAAGTTCACTTGGATCATAGACACAGAGTGGTTTGGACTGTCGCACAGGTGGTAGCTGGTAAAAGTCTCCAACAGCAATGACTGACATTCCTCCAAAGGGTCTGTGGCTGCCTTTAATCTGTTTCAGTCTCACATCCACATGGGCAAACAGAGGCTTCGACACCATGGAGATTTCATCAATGATGATGATTTCAGCATTTAAAAGCTCACACCTGATTTCATCAAGTTGGTTCCCAAGACCTTGAAAAGGAGGTTTCAAACTTCTGGGCAGCTTGAGGAGAGAGTGCAGTGTTGTTCCAGAGATGTTAAAGGCTGCAGTTCCAGTGAAAGCAGTCAACAGCACAGTCGGGTTTGAGATGTCAGCTTCCTCTGCACGTATAGGTAGTGTTCTCAGAATCTTTGATGCTTCTGAATGAATGCATTTAATGAGATGTGATTTTCCAGTGCCAGCACCACCATTGATGTAGTAGAAAAACTGCTCTGGTTGTGGTCCACAGACTCGTTTTATGCACCAGTCTCTCACTGCATAGAACACACATGCCTGTTTCTGGTTCAGACTCTGATACATTTGTCGTAACCGTGTGGGATCGATTGTAGGGGGCTCTCTCATGACTCTGGCCTCTGTAGCAGCATTTGCTTGTCTGCTGTAATCCGGTACATCCTCTTGGACATTTTCACACTGTCTGGCATCCAGTTCATCGATACACTCCAACCTCACCAGTTCAGATTCAGGTGCCAAATTACACCATTCATCGACCACACCTCTGTTCTGTTCAAAGTCCTCGAGAGCAGAGTCAATTTCCTCACTGTTTTTTTCATATCTCTCTCTGTTTCTTTTCACAATGAGTTTCACACTCAGGGGTCGGTCAGAATACGGCAGCTGAACCACACCTCTCTCATAGAATGACTCATACGTGGGAAAATATGGTCTTTTCAGCTCATCGTCTGATCTGTATGGAAGATACAGTCTAAGCAATGTGCCGTAAAACTGCTCAGGGTATTTCTCTTTGGATATGCGGCGATACCTGATGACAGCAGCGTTGTCACTTTCTCGTCTCTGTATAAAGCCTAGTTCATTCAGCAGAGGTACCACTTTCTTGCCCTTGGTCTGTTGTCCATACACCAGTCTGCAGGTAGACGCAAAATCAGCCATGCACATCTCTTCAAACTCTGGTGATTCAGGTCTGGATTTGTACTTGTCTGTTAAGGATGTCATCCACACATTCAAGCTGTCTGGTGTTGTGTTGTCAAGGCTTGACACAGGCAGACTCATTTTCACTGGGTTGTCATCAGTTGGGACAAAAACCACACTGCGTGAACTCTTTTTCATGTTCAGTGAAGTCACTCGGGCAACAGCTTCTTGTGCTGATACTTCTCGCTTTTTGGAATACGCCTGCATGACCGCTTTCATTTCATCACATTCATTGACACATTCTCTGTCGGAGTTCTGAATGAGTGTTTGCAGGTACTGGCTCACAGAGTTCTCACTTTTACACATGTATGTACATATGTAATGGATCAGACTGTAGTAGCTGAGAATGAACTGCACGTCAATGTTTGCATCCCAAGCTTTGAGCAGGTGAGGGTTGTAGGTGTTTACCCAGCAGTCTTTTGGCTCACGCTTCAGAATGATGTTGCTGGACTGACTCATCACATTCATGTGTTTCTCATACTCATCAGCGGTTAAGTCACAGACAGACAGGAGCTGTTGAAAACTCATGGATTCAGTTTGTGTCTCATTCAGCAGCTGATTCAGTGGTGCAAGTTTCTCTTTGGCTCTCTTAAGTCTCTCTGACTCCTCATCATCACCCACAGGTCTTGTTATCATTGTCTGTCTGGAGGGTGGTTTTGGGAATCCAAATCGGCATCCAGAACTTGCACTTTTGAAACATGTCTTTGAGTGGTTCTTACTGTGTATTTGCACTTCTTTGACCTTTTTGTACAGTTCAGGCTGTTTATTTGGGTCAGGGAGCTGAGCAGAGATGTGTTTGGACACAAAGTCACACACAGTTTTATCAGAGTCTTTCTCAAACACAGGTGCACCTTCTACCCACAAAAGACCATGTATATGAGGACTTCCTCTGTGCTGAAACTCGAGACGCCAAAAGAAGTCAAAAACTTTGCCAAGGGGTTGTGCAGGAGACATGATCAGATCTCTGTACAGTGCTTCAACACGCTTATCAAACATGCGCATCGTTGTCACAGGATTGCTTCTCAGAATGTCACACTTTGTGGACCAGTCAAGCTCTTCAAAATTCACCTCCTCACCTTGTTGTGATTTTATTGCAATAATCACCTCAGGCCAACGCATTTCTGCTGCAGAAAATGTGACAAAGAAAGTAGGACTGCCCAACTGTCTGATCATAGCAAACAGATCTTTTGTAGTTTTGTCCCAGTAGGCTGGTGTTCCTCTGAGCGGCTGCATAAATCTGATAGCATCTCTGTTTCTCACCAGTCTCTCCACTTCGTATTTGTCTCTCAACATTCTGGATGTTATTTTACGTTCGTCTCTGGTCAAAGGTTTGCCTTTGCGTAACTGTATGGACATGCTGGAGGTAGCCAAGTGTATTTCAGTCACAAACTGTGCAAAGAACAGGTAGTTGGTATCTTTGGCAAAGCGATCATCAACACCAAAGAGCCTTGCTTTAAAATAACTACTGGGTGATAGTTTCATTGGTCTGTTTTCATCCAGTGTATTCTCACCAGTGGGAAACTGAACAGGAAACGCCATGGCCTCTAGTTTGGGTGTTTTGAAAAAACTGACTGGATTGTTTCTCTCTGCTGGAGCTACTGAGTATGTAGAGTCACTGAAACACAATATCTCCTCAGAAACATCCCGTGGCTGAAGGCACGACTCCAAAACAACACCACCATTAGATTTGTCTGCATCCCGTTGTTGTGTCTGATCATCATTGTCCTGGGTCTGACTTTTATCACACAGCTCTGTGTTTTCATCCTCATTTTCAACATTAGTTTCAGCGTCATGCATGGCAGCAGCCTCAATTCTATCAATTTCCATCAAATCCTCATCATCATAGTCGTCATCATTCATTGTGTTATCATCATCATCCTCATCCTCATCACCATCATCAGGAAGTGTGGGGTCACATAACTCCTCCTCATCTCTAATAGTGATGTCTTCATACTGGGGGTGTGTCTCTTTCAGTTTATGCAGAGCCTGCACTAGCTTGGACCAGGTAACAGTCTGAAACAGATGGTGACCTCTGTAACTCAAACGTCTCTTCAGTTTTACTCTCATCACCTGAGATTCATTTCTCAATCTGGGTAGAGCCTGAATTGTTTCCTGGACTTCAGAGGGAACACATACAACATTACCATGTATAGCTCGCTGTCTGCCTTTGGGAAGAGGAATGATTTTGGCAAATGTTATGCACTTTGCTATCAGATGTCTCTCCAGTATGTTGAGGTCACACAGCTCAGGTGGTATGTCAGCAAGCTCCAAGTTGTTTGCTATGGCAAGTTTGGGCATGGATCCATTTTTCAGATGGTCATGGCAGGTGTGACAAATCCACTCAGTCTTTCTCTCATCAGGGACAGTGCAGTGATTTCTGCAGTCATCGTTACAATCATGGACGTACTGACCTTTGAGACAAGCTGAAACCATGATTGGATTTTTCACATAGTTGGACCTCTTGCACTTTTGCACCTGGTTTGGAAATGAGGCTTTGTGGCAAACTGTGCAAACATGGGTGGGACCCGCTTTAATGTGTGATCGGAAATCATTTATGGCACTTTCAATAAGTGGGTTTTCACTCTCTCTGTCAGTCTCACATGTTTGTCTACTTATCTGTTTGTATTTCTTTGATATTTTCAATGCACACCTCATTTTATGGATAGTCCTGTATGCAAGATTTGTCTTATACCTGTCTCGCATAATTTGTCTCATCAGTTGTCTGTGTCGGTGATGGAATATTTCATCGTTTGCATATCGATAATTGACACATAATCGCTGTCTTTGCCTGAAATTAACGTCCTCTGAGTATTTTCTCCTGATATATTCTTTTTGTCTGCCTTTAAAATCAACATTTTCTCTGTATTTTCTTGTTATATATAATTTTTGCTTCAGTCTGAAGTCTGTGCTTTCCCTGTATTTAGTTGTGATTTTTTGTCTTTTCTTCGTCTGTATTTCAGGATTGACAGAATATTTCTCACTTGAATAAGACTTTTTCTTTGCTTTGTATGTTTCATCCTTAGCATACTTTTTTCTCTCTTTCATTTTTTTATCCTCTTTCCCTTGTGATGTCTTTTCAGAGGCCATTAGTCTCCTCTTATATTTTTTCCTTTGTGCTTTGTTCACTTTTGACAGCTTAATGGAGATGTCATGAAGGACATTGTCACTGGCAACAGGGATATTTATTAATGGCTGAGTCAAATTTGATTGAATCTCCTGAGTTTCTTTTAATGTGACAGAATTATTGCTGATCTGACCTTGTTGATGAGCTTGTTTTTCCGTCAGGGTTGAGACATTCTGTGATGTGTCATGAGAGTCATCACTTACAGTAGTGTTCATCTCTGGAGCAAGAGAGTCAGGTCCAGCTGATGTGACAGAACACTGGCTGAAGTCGATCAGTGGCTCTGGTTCAGTTTCCATGTCACATTCAGTGTTTCCATGGACATCGGTGTTCATCTGTAGAGCAGACGGACTTTCTGTGGCAGGGAAAGCATCATTTGGGTTCACATCATGAAACACAACTGGCTTAAGCTCATAGCGACAGGACGCTGCTGTGCCCAATATGTGGTGATACCTGATGAGCCTGGCAATCATGTCACTGAGGCGTGTGAATGTTACCATGACAGCAGTACCAGGATAAGGTGTGGCCTTAAGCAGAGGCAAACCGTTAGCTGTCCTAGCATGTGGGTCAAAGAAACCGTACCTGCCATCTCTGGTTCTGAAAACTGCAATGCACAACGAAGTCATTAGCAGCAAAGCGTACTGCACATCTGTTAATAAGCAGCTCAGTCCTGAAACGAGGTCCAGAAAGGTATCAACAGCTCCGGGATCCGGATCTCCAAACGTACCGTATCTAGACAGCTGTAACATGTCAACAGTCTGCATGTGTCTGCGTGCAGGAACCTGGTTAGGGAGCTCATCGGTTGTCAGATGGGCGTGATCAACAGTTTTTCTGACTTCTCTGTACATCACATCACCTTTATCCAAAACACGGTCCAGGTCTGCTCTGGTGATGTGTTCGCTCTCATACAGGAATGCTAGAAATGTCAGTGAGTTACAGGTGCACTGCTGGTTTCTGGATTGGCCATATTTCAGAGACGCTTGGCTGCGTGACGCACAGACACTTAGTTCACCTGACTGACTAACAGCGTTCACATTTCTTACCTGAGAAGAGCCTGATACAGACTTATAATTACTGTGGTTTCCCTTTTTAACAGTGTCTGTATATGGTACCTGGGTTGAAAATGGCTTGTCAGTTTGGGTTATGCGGTTTATATGAACAGAGTTGGATGGACTGGGAGTGCATGATACACTAGGAAGTTTTCTCTTCAACATGTCTGCATATGTTACCTGTTGTACACCTGGATCATTAGTTTCACCTCTGTGGTTTACCTGTTCAGAGTTAGACGGACCTGCTGCAGGTGACTCACTTAAACGTCTCCTCTTAAGCTTGTCTGCATGAGATACCTGTGGTTGACATGACGCACTTTGACCTCCCTGTTTCACAGCATCAGATACTTCAGACCCCTTTACCTCTCCACTGCTCTGAGGAATACCATCTGCTTGTCCAGTACTCACATGGTCAATGTCATGAAACCTCTGCCAGCGCTGACTTGCAACCTGTGACCTCTTACTCTTCCTCGGCATTGTAGCTGTCCTTTCACAACAATGTGTTTATTCAATAATTTAAAGTTAATGATAAGCACCAGTATAGACAAAACGCTTTATTTCTTAAAGAGAGGACGTTATTTAACAGCTCTTATAGTCTCCAAAATATCTAATATAAAACTGTGTGTATACCACAATAGTTTATCAAATGTTTTAAAAGAAAATCCTTGACAAGACTATATAAATGTTTTCAGAAAAAACACAAATCAACAATTTTGTAAATCTTAGAACTTTGTACTTGAAATAATATGTAACTCAAATATTCTATATGAAAAGTGTTTATTTTTTTCTTTCAAAATCAGGGACGCAGATGTGGTGGTGCTGATGACACTTCTGGTGAAACTCTGGATCCACAGACAGGAAAGGAAAACCTAGAACAACAATCAGACTTGTGCAAAATTAGGGATTTTTTTTCAAAACAGTGGTTGTATTAAATGTACAGCTTTTCAAAAGTTTGGTTTCTCAAAAAAAGGTAGATTTTATAAAAAGGTTTCTCAAAAAATTTTGATTTGCTACAATAGGTCTCAATGATTTGTTACAATAGGCCTCAATGATTTGTTAAAATAGGTCTCAATGATTTGTTACAATAGGCCTCAATGATTTGTTACAATAGGTCTCAATGATTTGTTACAATAGGCCTCAATGATTTGTTTCAATGGTATCAAAGATTTGTTTCAATGGCATCAAAGATTTGTTTCAATGGTATCAAAGATTTGTTTCAATGGTATCAAAGATTTATTCAAGGATTGTATCAGTAGCCAGAGTGGGATAGAAGGGGGATAGAAAGACAGAGTGGCTTTTCAATCAGACAGAGCGGTAGAGGAGACAGGAAAGACAGAGCGACCAAAATGATAGGGGAGAGTGGGGAGACTGGGGAGACTGGACAGGATACCTGTAAGACACAATGGAAAAAAACATTAATCTTTTATTAAAGAAATAAAATTAAATGAACCAACATCCACCCAAAGCTTATCACATTATAATGTGCTTTTACTCAACCCACCAAGTGGCTGCCCTCAACTATGCATCTATCAAAAGTCAAGTTGAGTCAAAAGCTGGAAGTGACCATTGTCTTGTTCGATAACCCCTCAATCAAGTTCATAAGGACTAAAAATCCAAAGTGTTCATAAGAGTTAATTAAAACTTTAGAATACGAAGAACTTCATATGTGAATCATAGCACACTGTCTTATTCCTGAAAGTGTCATTCCTGTGTGAACTTACGTCGAGTCGCCACAGAGCGGTCTGCACTTGGACAGGACAGAGTTGGCAAAAAGGAAAATGGAAAAATTGAGATAAGAGAGTTTTAGTTTAATTGTAGAAAACCAGCACATCTCACTGCATTGCAGTTTCAACCGTAATCAGCCGGCAAAATTAATTGTTATTTAAAATTGTTTGTGTTACAATGAAAATGTGTTGCAGTTTGTCAAATAAGAACATAATGTCAGGTTTTTACATGATATGTTTAAAAAAGTAACAGTGTAAACATTTTTAAGTTACTTTATTTGTGAACTTACAGCTGAGTCGCCAACAGTAAATAGGGCCAGCAGTAGAGATAGCATCGAGTTCAGGAGAGAAAAGACAGGGACAAAAAATAAATAAATTTAGTTGCAAAAAAAATCAGCATCTTATAGTTTACTGCAATCACAACTTTTCACTGTGTATCATTACTTTTCTCATTTCTTATCAAAGTCTACAATTTGTGGCATTTGATTAGTAAAAGGATGTTACTGCAGCTCCCTTGGCCTGTAAAAAATGTTTGTTACAATGGAGAGAAAATGCACAAACACAATGAAGGACCTCTTCACTTTTTACTTTCTTATGCAAGTCATTGAGGTGAAATACAAAACAGTGAAATATAATTATAAACTGCAGAGCAAAAATGTAACATTTAAGTGATTGCCCAGTAAGTATATATATATATATACCATGAGGTCCATAAATATTGGGACGTCAACACAATTCTCATCTCTCTGGCTGTAAACACCACCACATTGGATTTGAACTGAAACAAACATGGTGTGCTTTGACTGCAGACATTCAGCTTTAATTTAAGGGTATTTACATCCAAATCAGGTGCACGGTGTAGGGCAAAGAAGTGGAATGTTATGAAATGGCCAAGTCAATCACCTGACCTGAATCCGTTTGAGCATGCCTTTCACTTGCTGAAGATAAAACTGAAGAGAAAATGCACCAAGAACAAGCAGGAACTGAAGACAGTTGCAGTCGAGGCCTGGCAGAGCAACACTAGGGGTGAAACCCAGCGTCTGGTGTATCTATGCGTCCGGTGTATCTATGCGTCCTGGACAGCAAAGGATTTGCAACCATATATTGAAAAGTGAAAGTTTGATGTATGATTTTTGGTTTGTCCCAATACTTTTGGTCCCTTAAAAAGTGAGAGGCACATATAGAAACTGTTTTAATTCCTACACTTTTCACCTAATGTGGATGTAAATAACCATATATTAAAGCTGAATGTCTGCAGTCAAAGCACATCTTGTTTATTTCATTTAAAGTCAACTGTGGTGGTGTTTACAGCCAAAGAGATGAGTATTATGTTGATGTCCCAATATTTATGGACCTGACTGTAAGCGTGAACTTACACTTCAGAGTTGGTAGGGATTTTCGCCCAGGTCAGAGGACAAGTTGAGGCAGGAGGAGGGGGGAGAGGGAGGGAAAGAGATTTTTTAATACACTAAAAAAAACACTTCATTCAAAATTTATCTGAATGATTTTCGCACTTAATTATTGTCACAATCAAGATTCAGACTTTCGCCAGCATTTTTTTAAGAAATTAATTCAGTAGTGTAGTAATATTGTTAGCACACTATTGTCTTCTAGGAAAAAACTGTATCCCATCTTTGATTTTCATATAGGATATACAACAGTGTTACAGATAGATCAACATTTCGTATAAATTTAAACTCAGTACTTGAAAAATGCATCATATGTTGTACATTATCTTGAATGACGTTGTTTAACAGGATTAAGCTAATCATTAATCCAATTATTTATATTTTGTTTGTTGTCAGTCCTGGTCAAAACACTTATACTTACCAACAAATGCACTGGGAAGGATGTATCTTCTGTTTGTTTGAGACAAGAAACACTACATTAGTGTTGCCTGACAGATAGTACATTAAAAACAATAGGCCTATAAAGAAAACTAACATTATTACAGTAGTTGGGCTAATTGAAAACTAAACAGCTACAACAGATCACCTGGCTGTTAGCTGCAGCTGAAAATGTCACACATAATACATACTGTATTAAAGTATATATACCTCAGATAAAGTATCTTTGCTGTGGTGTTAGCACATCACCAATATCCAAATTAACAGCTTGTTATCAAAAGTAAATTAGGCACAGTAGAAAGTGAAGTTCAGTAGCAGCCAGTGAGACAGAGACAGACCAGGAGCAGGTTCACCAACTTCAAGGCAGCTAACTCTCCATCCATCAACTCAATATTAAGATAAGAACTTTATTGATCCCTAAAGGGAAATTCAACCGGAATATATTTATTAATTGGAACTTCATATTGTTAAACATTAAATACTGAATTAATTTTACGTTTTGCAACGTAAATATCTCTATCATCCCCATCATGAATAAAACCTTCAATAACAGAGGACCATCTAGGTCCATTCTGACACATAAAATAAGGAAAACCACTCACATTTGTGCTATACCTGGATGCTTGCTAAATGCAGCCTATGTTTTAATACATCTACAATGGCTGATAACAAGTGACCAGGAGCTAAACAGCTGACGTCTCCAGACCAGTTCCCCAGCAATGACTCAGTCACAGTAATGAACTGAACTTGTAGCAATGGCGCTAGCATCATTAGTTAGCTAGTTAGTCAGTTAATACTTGACAATATGAGTATTCTTGTCAGTCCCATTGTCAGTGAACTCCACAGCCTGTACATCATTTGGCATGCTTTATAGTACCACAGCGGCTTACATATTCACTTTATTTTGTGCTCAGCTGGCTAATGATTCAGCCTCACAGCTGAAGGTATGTTAGCTTTAACGTTAGCTCGACGCTAGCGGCGCTAACTCGACGCTAACAGCGTTGGCGTATGCTTTTTCAACTCATTATCTCGACCACTTCAATCATGAATGAACTCTTCTTTGATTATAACTCAAACCAGTGCCATTTGAACCGTTAAATCACCGTTTGAAGTGTTCAGAAGTTAGAGAGACTGTGCTCTGACTCACCTTCGTCGAGGTCGGAGAAGGATAGCGCGAGCCACCAGTGAGTGACGGTAGAAATGTTTGAGGCGTTCAGGGACACTCGGAAATGTCATACTTCACACCACGGAAAGGCAGTGGTTCAATCAATTCATTTTAATTGTTTTCTGGTACTAATAGTAGCAAGACTAGTTGAAGTAGAAGTGATATAAGTAGTAGTTGTAGAAGTGGAAGTGGGATTTTGTTTAAAGAATTGAAATATGCATGAATAGTAAAAATGATTTAAAGTGGGGAAAATATAACTAAAAAAAAAACCTAAAGTATTAGAAAGGTTTGAAGAATCAGAGAGGTTTAAATAAGAATGAGTTTAAATTTGTTAGAAGAATTGAATAATGCATAAATAATGAGAATGATTTTAAATTAAGGACAATTTAAATGAATAGAAATCCTCCGTAGACTCCATAATGTCCTCAATGAGCTGAATTTTTGAAGCCCTAAATGTCTCTGTATCTCAAAGTTTGTGAGAGAAGATAGGTGGTGAAGCAGACACATGGTCAAAGTATGTTTAGGTCTCATAGACAGAGAGAGACTCACGCATGCACATAATTACTGTGTGTACATGAAGGTCTCATAGAGAGAAAGAGGCTGAAGCACACACATTGTCAGACTGTGTGTGGATGTCTCGTTAATGATTTAATCCTAAACAGCTGTGAGATCAAAAGCATTACCTGACCTACTGTTTGAATGAGAAGCAGCTGAACTGCAGAGGCTTTAAAGCCTCTGAACTTCTTCACATAGCGGGATTTCCTTAAATCCCAGAATGAAAATAAGAACATCGTACGAATCCTCCGTCCTTCATGAACACAATGATGTGTTTTTCATGTCTGTACTCCGAAAAATGTGGCCACAACAGCGAGTTAAAAAAGTCTGAGCCTGAGTGACGATAAGGATTTTCTTGGAGAAGAAATACATTAGGGCCAATGGGGAGATATTTGCGCCTATCTGGACAGTTGGTCACCTGCTGGCCAAGGGGTACGATTTAATGATTTGAAACCTCTTTTGTGAGAAGCAGGACACATATACCTCCATTTTGATGTATTATTTGTGTCAGTGGAGTGAGATTTGTGGGCGTGGGAGCGATATATTCGAGCGAGGTTCTGTCGATCAGAGACGAGGTCTGCACTCTAGCTTTTCAAATCATCACTCTAGCCTCTCCAATACACCCCTATTATAAAGCCTGAAATTTGCTGAAAACCACGAAGTTGCATAAAGCTAAATTGTGGAAAAACTGTAAAAGATAGCACAATGACGTTAATACAACATCAATAGTCGACAAGACAATGAACATTTTAAAGCAAAAATGAGGTCTCTAGGTGAAAGTCTGCTGGAGTTATAAGGCTTAGAAGGTGGACGAATAACAGGAAGAATTGGAAGATTTCCCCATTAATTTCTATGGGAAAAAAGTTTGGCACAAAAAGTGAAAAATAATAAAAAGTACAAAGGATAGAAAGGAAAAAAATACAAGCACACATGTCCTGATGGAGTGGAATAGTTTAAAGTTTGAATGGTTGAAATCGGACAAAGTTTGAAGGAGGAGAAGCGGTCCAAAGAAACGTATGGGGAGAGTGTTAAGTATAATACTAGAAAAGTTGCATTTCCTTGCAGAAAATGCGTGGAAATGCTGAGTGCTGAAAGCTGAGAAGCCAAGCATGCAAAACTGTGAAAAAAATGGAGGAGAGTATAAATTTAAAAAATTGTTAAAGGGGTGAAGTGTAATAAGTAGAAGTTGTGTGAATGTTTAAACCGTAACAGAACTGAAGAAGATATTGAAAAAGAGATGAGTTATATGGATGTAAAAACACTGGGAGAGGTAAACCAGAAGCTGTATGAATATTCAGATTGCTTAAGAACTGAACTTGAACATTACAGAAAATATGGTAAAGAATTTTAAAGATGGCTGAAAAGGCCTTCATGTTGGACGAAGTAGAAATGAATTTAAATGAGACATGAACACATTACACAAATATATTTAATTTAAAATTTGCATCAACTTAAAAAATTAAAACTGAGTTTTTACATAAGTAAAACCAAAAGAAAGAAAAAAAAATTGTCAATCCTTTAACATTTTGTGAGCAATGAAATGATTAATCATAAAACATTAAAAAAAATTAAAAAAAAACATCAAAACATAAACACATAAAGAAACAATGTTCCATAGTGCCTTAAATCAAATTATAAACAATTTGTTTGTGAACAGGTTTTGGAAGCAGAAATCTTTACATGGGTGACCAATCTGTCTCTTAAGCCTGAGGTTTTAAGATTGTAGTTGCTGTAATTATTGATGGACAAAGGTATCACATTTTCAGTTGTTTCTAATATTGTTTAGCCCAATCATTAAAGGCTCTTCATACGGTGCTTAGACTGAGGCTAACACCCCATTATTTACTGGATTCAAACTCCAGCAGCCCTGGACCCACATTCACCTCTTTTCTTGTGTATTCGGATTACTAAGCCTTAAAAGTTGGCTCATAAAATTTGTCATGGCACATTAAGCCAAGTCCTGTGTTGTGGGCTTTAAAGACAGACCTTGAAATTTGATTTCAAAGTCTGATACAGGACTGTTATGCGTGTTTTTAAGGGTTTAGATTAGCCTAAGACTAAGTTTGCACAGCTGAAAAACCTTTATTATACCTATACATTAAAAAAATATATGAAAATGGTGACTTGAGAGTTATAAAAAAAATAGTTACTAAAATCGGTCAGCAGTATAACAACATAAATGTGAAACACAACAAGTATAGAATAAATGTAAAATAATGTGAAGGGTAAGGTAAAGAATGCAAATGCAAATAATGCAAAGTTATCCAGGCTTGTGGAAATATACAGGCAAAGTAAGGTGAAAGGCTTATTAATTAAATATGGCATTTTAGTATTTTTTAAAGCTAACTGCAGTGAAATGTGGGCCCTCTCATGTAGAAAAAAAAGAAAATTATCGAATAATAAATAATTATAATAATAAATAAAATTAAATGACATGAAACTGAAACTTTAAACAAAATCTAAAATGATCAGATTAAAAAGTAGATTTGAGAACTTGAAATAAATTGATGTAATGGATTGGTCCACCTTACCACCAAAGGGCTTTTCACAGTAGACCAAGGATAATACTGTCATCAGCTCATTGTAGTGGACTGACAATCTGGTCAGCAAAAATAACTCAGCGGTTTACTGTACAGTGTAGTACAGAAGTCTTTTACAGAAATTAAAATATTTTTTTTTAATTAAATCTAAATTTAAGATTTAAAATAATGTGGAGGGTAAGGTAAAGAATGCAAATGCAAAAGGTGCAAAGTCATCCAGGCTTGCGGAAATATACAGGCAAAGTAAGATGAAAGGTTAATAACTTAAATATGGCACTAAGGTATTTTTTATAGCATGTATTGGTCCACCTTACCACCCAAAAGGCTTTTCACAGTAGTTAGACCAAGGCTAATACTGTCATCAGCTCATTGTAGTGGACTGACAATCTGGTCAGCATTTTAGATCCCAGTGTTTTCTTATCCAAACATTCACACTACTTGTCGTACTGAAATGCTGGGTTGTCTTCACGATGATAGTTTCTTTTTTAAAAGTTTTCTACTATGGAGAAATACATTTTAAGGATAAGCATAAAAACTTTGTTCCTCTATGAAATCCCTTCACACAGCTCGTAAACGAGCCCTGTGTTTGAGGATTGTGACGGCAACCTTCAGCAGGGATTGTTTCACACTGTAATGCTGGGATCACTGCTGTCCAAAACATTAGCCCAAGACTAAGCACACGTGAAAAACCTGCAGTGTACCTACCAGCTGAAACCCAAAGTACATCATTAATTTCTAAAACACGTCTTCTCTTGTAGGTAAATTTGAGGGATATGGTGAGCATATTAAAATGAGAAATTCAGCTGCCTGCAACAACTGAAGTAACTGGTATTATTTCCCTTCATCAGTGTTGGTCATCTTTTGATATAAGGACAGATACACAGTAAAAGGGAAAGAAAACACTAAAATAAAATAGAACAAATAAAGTCCAAGAAACATAAAGGAAACTTAAAATATTAACAGATATCGACAACCGATCACTGAATGTAGAAAACAGGATTCAAAACAATATAAGAGTAATAGTTGTCCTGTCCTGAAGAAAATCAGCCAGTTCTTCAAGTGAGTACTGTGTTCTGTCTGGGCACTTTTGTTCAAAACCAAAAGCAGAGCCCGCTACAGTTCAGAGTGAAGGTTTAGAGTGAGGTAATGTTTTGACCTTTGACCTGTGGTTGTAGAATCGCTGTGTGCAGTTATCAGTGTTCGAGTTGACAGCATCACTGGAGTCAGGGAAAGTTTAAAGCTGCAGTAAAGATGAACTGATGATCTGAATGTGATGACATCTGCTGCAGCTTGCTTCACAGGACTGCAGGACTTGTAGGATCACCATTAGTTAGCTGCACTTGCTACACCGTGGATGAACAGACAGTGACTTGAAGTAGGAGAATGTAGCTGGTTCAAAACAGGAAATAAACAGAAACATTTGTGTTGATAATCTGTGAAACTAAACACGTTGAATAAATACACACATCATTAAAATGAATACCTTCAGCACTGCAGCAGAGCAAAAATATTTCTGTCCAGAGCAACTTCACCAGGTCTGCAGCAGCAAAGCTTCCTCACACAGAGAGGCTCAAGGCTCAGGGTGGCTGCATGATGTCCACCTTTGGTGCGTTCAGCTGCCTGAGTGTCTAAGCTGTTCTTCCTCTCTTAACTGGCTTGAAGAAGACCTGGGAGAAAACACTGCTGTTAAAGACGATGATATCAGCAGAGCTGTACAATAGCGTCACAAGCATTAATACAGCAGCTAAGATAACTAAGAAAAAATAAATGAACACAAGTTCACTAAGACATTACCTCAGACGTTCTTGAAGAGGGGTTTATCTCTTGGAGGTTCAGCAGGAACGAGCCCAGTGAGTGACAGGTACTACAGCATCAGTTCTGCTTCAGCCTGGTGTCTGGTGGTCCTTGAGAGCTGCTTCAGGACATCTGGAGCATGAGCAGGTAAAACACATGTTTGTGTAGTCCATGAGAGAAGGGTCCTGGTGGGTGCTGCAATCTGTCCAGCACAGCGATGATGGTTGTTGAGAGCAGCAGGGGGATGGTGTGGAGGATGTCATCTCTTCTTCACCTCTGACCAAAGACTGGGTTAAACAGCAGGTAGACTGTGTCTTTGAGTGGTCCAAAGTGATGTGTTTACTTCTGGTTGACGGTTTGATAATTTTTTTCTGCTCATAAGTGAGCTAGTCAGGACAGCACTAATGGTCAGGTCAAAGATGGCAGAGACAACTGAAGAAGAAAAAAAAAAATACCCAAACAAAAGGAAACTTAGCTTTACTCTACTGTACCTACAGGTGATGTGTTTACTTTTGGTTGACAGTTTGATAATTTTTTTCAGTTTACAGTGAGCTAGTCAGGATAGTACTAATGGGGGTCAGGTTAAAGATGGCGGGGACAACTGAAAAAAATAATAATAATAAAAAATAAAAAATAAAAACCTACCCAAAGAAAAGGAAACTTATGTTTGCCCTAGTGTACTTACAGCCACCCATGCTAAGAGAGTGGTGTAAAGTTGGGTGGAGAAAAGGGGGTTTCAGCTGGTAGGTAACAGAAAATCAGAAAGTGTGTGTTCATTAGGGAACACACACTTTCTGATGGAGGTTTTTAATTTTAGCTGCTGTATACAGTATTGTACACAGCAGCTGAGAGTTTTGGCCTGTGCATTTATCAATCCGCACCCACCCTCCCTATGTCCAGTCAAGTCAAGTTAAATGGATTAACTTGACTTGACTGGACTTGATAAATGCACAGGCCAAAAATTGTCATTTATAACATTTGAATAGTTGGAAAATTTTACAACCTGAAAAATATTTTCTATCTAAAAATTCTGAACCATAAAAATATATTTTGCACAAGTAAAATTTACAATGACCAAACACATTTCAATCTGTACTGAAAATATGAGCATAACATTAGCCACAACTTCTCTGGTTTGTCTTTTCCTTCAGAGCAGTTTCCTCTATGACCTGTTGGATGAAATGACACAGTAAGTGGCGTTGTGGTAACTGTAGTAGGTCTGCATGATACCTGAGGAGAGACATAGCTGAGGTCGTGAGATGAAGATCAGGTCCAGCAGTGTGTTCTTGTCCGTTGTAGCAGCAGTGATCAATTGACCATATCCCTTGGACTGAAAGAAATCCAGAATTGGCTTACTTGCATTAGAAAAGAGATTCTCATTGAAGTCGCCACAGACGATGATGGGATGACAGTCCATGATCTCAAGTGAGTCCAGAAGGCTTCCCAGATTGGACAGGAATGATGGCACACTGTAGTCTGGAGGTCTGTACACAGCTGCAATCAGAGCACTTACAGGAGATTCAACCTTCAAAGCCACAAACTCAAGGTCAGTCACATTATTCAGGTACTGTTTCTCCACAACCTGCAAATGGTTTTTCACATAAACAGCGACTCCACCACCTCCTTTACTGGCCATCTGTGGAAAGTTAGTGTAGGACAAATGTCTGTTGCGTTTGAACATGGTGTAGCCCTCAAACTGGAGACTGTCCGCCACAAAGGAGCCCTGTAGGTGAGTTTCTGTCAGACACAAAACATCTGCAAGACACAGTTCATGATGGCTTTTGATGTCATTCACATGAGCAGGTAATCCTTCGGTGTTGTGATGAATGATGCTCACAGTGTCCTGTCTGCTGAGAGAATGCTGGATCTGGAGAAAAGGCATGAGGTGATCAAAGTTAGCTTGCGTCATGGTCTCCAAAGATACAGTGACTGCAGGGTTAGCATGGATTTTACTCTCATCCAAATCAAGCATGTACAGTCCGCTGAGAGAGGTCACTCGACTGATAGCTACGTAGGCCATGCCGGGCTCAAAAATGTGCTTCAGTGAGACAACAGCAGATTTTCTGGTCATACCTTGAACCTTGTGTATCGTGCATGCAAAGGCAAGTTTCACAGGAAACTGTCTGCGTACCACTCCTTTCTGTTGCAGAGCCTCTTCAGATCTCTCGATGTACACAAGATTGTCTCCTCGAGTACGATAGCTCCTGCCAGCTGTTTCATCATCCATCTTGAGACCAAGCATAGTGACAAGAGTAGAACTGTTGTTTTCAGAGCTTATGAGACGGCCTACTGTAGCAAATGATCCGTTCACCAATCCTTGAGACACATCAATGTTTCTGGTAAGCATGACTCTAGCACCTACTGCAACATCTAGGGTGTCAGGTAGATCATTTCTGCTTCCATGACATGGTGCACCTTGTCTTTTCATGTGTCCAGTGTGTGGGTCTTTTTTAAAGTCATCTGCATCAATGGTGGTGATATCAGAATGGAGCAGAGATAGTGTAGCAGAGTTGTGTGCTGCAACTTGTTTGTTTGTAGCAAAAATGTGCAGGACATCAGAGGGACACAGTTGTGGTTCAGTGACACGCTGTGACAGCAGATCTCTGTCAGCTTCAGAAAGCTCATCTGACCTTGTTTTCACACGGAGTCTGTTCAGCATCTCGGCAAAAGTTTTGTCATCCTTCTGTCGCATGATCTCATCTAAAGTGATCACCTGGAAGTTGTCTCTCCAGAGGTCAAGCTCACTTGGATCATAGACACAGAGTGGTTTGGACTGTCGCACAGGCGGTAGCTGGTAAAAGTCTCCCACAGCAATGACTGACATTCCTCCAAAGGGTCTGTAGCTGCCTTTAATCTGTTTCAGTCTCATATCCACATAGGCAAACAGAGGCTTCGACACCATGGAGATTTCATCAATGATGATGATTTCAGCATTTAAAAGCTCACACCTGATTTCATCAAGTTGGTTCCCAAGACCTTGAAAAGGAGGTTTCAAACTTCTGGGCAGCTTGAGGAGAGAGTGCAGTGTTGTTCCAGAGATGTTAAAGGCTGCAGTTCCGGTGAAAGCAGTCAACAGCACAGTCGGGTTTGAGATGTCAGCTTCTTCAGCACGTCTAGGTAGTGTTCTCAGAATCTTTGATGCTTCTGAATGAATGCATTTAATGAGATGTGACTTTCCAGTGCCAGCACCACCATTGATGTAGTAGAAAAACTGCTCTGGTTGTGGTCCACAGACTCGTTTTATGCACCAGTCTCTTACTGCATAGAACACACATGCCTGTTTCTGGTTCAGACTCTGATACATTTGTCGTAACCGTGTGGGATCGATTGTAGGGGGCTCTCTCATGACTCTGGCCTCTGTAGCAGCATTTGCTTGTCTGCTGTAATCCGGTACATCCTCTTGGACATTTTCACACTGTCTGGCATCCAGTTCATCGATACACTCCAACCTCACCAGTTCAGATTCAGGTGCCAAATTACACCATTCATCGACCACACCTCTGTTCTGTTCAAAGTCCTCGAGAGCAGAGTCAATTTCCTCACTGTTTTTTTCATATCTCTCTCTGTTTCTTTTCACAATGAGTTTCACACTCAGGGGTCGGTCAGAATACGGCAGCTGAACCACACCTCTCTCATAGAATGACTCATACGTGGGAAAATATGGTCTTTTCAGCTCATCGTCTGATCTGTATGGAAGATACAGTCTAAGCAATGTGCCGTAAAACTGCTCAGGGTATTTCTCTTTGGATATGCGGCGATACCTGATGACAGCAGCGTTGTCACTTTCTCGTCTCTGTATAAAGCCTAGTTCATTCAGCAGAGGTACCACTTTCTTGCCCTTGGTCTGTTGTCCATACACCAGTCTGCAGGTAGACGCAAAATCAGCCATGCACATCTCTTCAAACTCTGGTGATTCAGGTCTGGATTTGTACTTGTCTGTTAAGGATGTCATCCACACATTCAAGCTGTCTGGTGTTGTGTTGTCAAGGCTTGACACAGGCAGACTCATTTTCACTGGGTTGTCATCAGTTGGGACAAAAACCACACTGCGTGAACTCTTTTTCATGTTCAGTGAAGTCACTCGGGCAACAGCTTCTTGTGCTGATACTTCTCGCTTTTTGGAATACGCCTGCATGACCGCTTTCATTTCATCACATTCATTGACACATTCTCTGTCGGAGTTCTGAATGAGTGTTTGCAGGTACTGGCTCACAGAGTTCTCACTTTTACACATGTACGTACATATGTAATGGATCAGACTGTAGTAGCTGAGAATGAACTGCACGTCAATGTTTGCATCCCAAGCTTTGAGCAGGTGAGGGTTGTAGGTGTTTACCCAGCAGTCTTTTGGCTCACGCTTCAGAATGATGTTGCTGGACTGACTCATCACATTCATGTGTTTCTCATACTCATCAGCGGTTAAGTCACAGACAGACAGGAGCTGTTGAAAACTCATGGATTCAGTTTGTGTCTCATTCAGCAGCTGATTCAGTGGTGCAAGTTTCTCTTTGGCTCTCTTAAGTCTCTCTGACTCCTCATCATCACCCACAGGTCTTGTTATCATTGTCTGTCTGGAGGGTGGTTTTGGGAATCCAAATCGGCATCCAGAACTTGCACTTTTGAAACATGTCTTTGAGTGGTTCTTACTGTGTATTTGCACTTCTTTGACCTTTTTGTACAGTTCAGGCTGTTTGTTTGGGTCAGGGAGCTGAGCAGAGATGTGTTTGGACACAAAGTCACACACAGTTTTGTCAGAGTCTCTCTCAAACACAGGTGCACCTTCTACCCACAAAAGACCATGTATATGAGGACTTCCTCTGTGCTGAAACTCGAGACGCCAAAAGAAGTCAAAAACTTTGCCCAGGGGTTGTGCAGGAGACATGATCAGATCTCTGTACAGTGCTTCAACACGCTTATCAAACATGCGCATCGTTGTCACAGGATTGCTTCTCAGAATGTCACACTTTGTGGACCAGTCGAGCTCTTCAAAATTCACCTCCTCACCTTGTTGTAATTTTATTGCAATAATCACCTCAGGCCAACGCATTTCTGCTGCAGAAAATGTGACAAAGAAAGTAGGACTGCCCAACTGCCTGATCATAGCAAACAGATCTTTTGTAGTTTTGTCCCAGTAGGCTGGTGTTCCTCTGAGCGGCTGCATAAATCTGATAGCATCTCTGTTTCTCACCAGTCTCTCCACTTCGTATTTGTCTCTCAACATTCTGGATGTTATTTTACGTCCGTCTCTGGTCAAAGGTTTGCCTTTGCGTAACTGTATTGACATGCTGGAGGTAGCCAAGTGTATTTCAGTCACAAACTGTGCAAAGAACAGGTAGTTGGTATCTTTGGCAAAGCGATCATCAACACCAAAGAGCCTTGCTTTAAAATAACTACTGGGTGATAGTTTCATTGGTCTGTTTTCATCCAGTGTATTCTCACCAGTGGGAAACTGAACAGGAAACGCCATGGCCTCTAGTTTGGGTGTTTTGAAAAAACTGACTGGATTGTTTCTCTCTGCTGGAGCAACTGAGTATGTAGAGTCACTGAAACACAGTATCTCCTCAGAAACATCACGTGGCTGAAGGCACGACTCCAAAACAACACCACCATTAGATATGTCTGCGTCCCGTTGTTGTGTCTGATCATCATTGTCCTGGGTCTGACTTTTATCACACAGCTCTGTGTTTTCATCCTCATTTTCAACATTAGTTTCAGCGTCATGCATGGCAGCAGCCTCAATTCTATCAATTTCCATCAAATCCTCATCATCATAGTCGTCATCATTCATTGTGTTATCATCATCATCCTCATCCTCATCCTCATCACCATCATCAGGAAGTGTGGGGTCACATAACTCCTCCTCATCTCTAATAGTGATGTCTTCATACTGGGGGTGTATCTCTTTCAGTTTATGCAGGGCCTGCACTAGCTTGGACCAGGTAACAGTCTGAAACAGATGGTGACCTCTGTAACTCAAACGTCTCTTCAGTTTTACTCTCATCACCTGAGATTCATTTCTCAATCTGGGTAGAGCCTGAATTGTTTCCTGGACTTCAGAGGGAACACATACAACATTACCATGTATAGCTCTCTGTCTGCCTTTGGGAAGAGGAATGATTTTGGCAAATGTTATGCACTTTGCTATCAGATGTCTCTCCAGTATGTTGAGGTCACACAGCTCAGGTGGTATGTCAGCAAGCTCCAAGTTGTTTGCTATGGCAAGTTTGGGCATGGATCCATTTTTCAGATGGTCATGGCAGGTGTGACAAATCCACTCAGTCTTCCTCTCATCAGGGACAGTGCACTGATTTCTGCAGTTATCATTACACTCATGGACGTACTGACCTTTGAGACAAGCTGAAACCAAGACTGGATTTTTCACATAGTTGGACCTCTTGCACTTTTGCACCTGGTTTGGAAATGAGGCTTTGTGGCAAACTGTGCAAACATGGGTGGGACCAGCTTTAATGTGTGATCGGAAATCATTTATGGCACTTTCAATAAGTGGGTTTTCACTCTCTCTGTCAGTCTCACATGTTTGTCTACTTATCCGTTTGTATTTCTTTGATATTTTCAATGCACACCTCATTTTATGCATCGTCCTGTATGCAAGATCTGTCTTATACCTGTCTCGCATTATTTGTCTCATCAGTTGTCTGTGTCGCTGATGGAATATTTCATCATTTGCATATCGATAATTGACATATAATCGCTGTCTTTGCCTGAAATTAACGTCCTCTGAGTATTTTCTCCTGATATATTCTTTTTGTCTGCCTTTAAAATCAACATTTTCTCTGTATTTTTTAGTGATGTAGTCTTTTTGTCTGCCTTTAAAATCAACATTTTCTCTGTATTTTTTAGTGATGTAGTCTTTTTGTCTGCCTTTAAAATCAACATTTTCCCTTTTGTATTTTTTAGTGATATAGTCTTTTTGTCTGCCTTTGAAGTCAACGTTTTCTCTGTATTTTTTAGTGATATAGTCTTTTTGTCTGCCTTTGAAGTCAACGTTTTCTCTGTATTTTTTAGTGATATAGTCTTTTTGTCTGCCTTTGAAGTCAACGTTTTCTCTGTATTTTTTAGTGATATAGTCTTTTTGTCTGCCTTTGAAGTCAACGTTTTCTCTGTATTTTTTTGTGATATATTCTTTTTGTCTGCCTTTGAATTCAACATTTTCTCTGTATTTTCTTGTTATACCTAATTTTTGCTTCAGTCTGAAGTCTGTGCTTTCCCTGTATTTAGTTGTGATTTTTTGTCTTTTCTTTGTCTGTATTTCAGGATTGACAGAATATTTCTCACTTGAATAAGACTTTTTCTTTGCTTTGTATGTTTCATCCTTAGCATACTTTTTTCTCTCTTTCATTTTTTTATCCTCTTTCCCTTGTGATGTCTTTTCATAGGCCATTAGTCTCCTCTTATATTTTTTCCTTTGTTCTTTGTTCAGTTTTGACAGCTTAATGGAGATGTCATGAAGGACATTGTCACTGGCAACAGGTATATTTATTAATGGTTGAGTCAAATTTGATTGAATCTCCTGAGTTTCCTTTAATGTGACAGAATTATTGCTGATCTGACCTTGTTGATGAGCTTGTTTTTCCGTCAGGGTTGAGACATTCTGTGATGTGTCATGAGAGTCATCACTTACAGTAGTGTTAATCTCTGGAGCAAGAGAGTCAGGTCCAGCTGATGTGACAGAACACTGGCTGAAGTCGATCAGTGGTTCTGGTTCAGTTTCCATGTCACATTCAGTGTTTCCATGGACATCGGTGTTCATCTGTAGAGCAGACGGACTTTCTCTGGCAGGGAAAGCAACTGGCTTAAGCTCATAGCGACAGGACGCTGCTGTGTCCAATATGTGGTGATACCTGATGAGCCTGGCAATCATGTCACTGAGGCGTGTGAATGTTACCATGACAGCAGTACCAGGAGTAGGTGTGGCCTGAAGCAGAGGCAAACCGTTAGCTGTCCTAGCATGTGGGTCAAAGAAACCGTACCTGCCATCTCTGGTTCTGAAAACTGCAATGCACAGTGAAGTCATTAACAGCAAAGCATACTGCACATCTGATAATAAGCAGCTCAGTCCTGAAACGAGGTCCAGAAAGGTATCAACAGCTCCGGGATCCGGATCTCCAAACGTACCGTATCTAGACAGCTGTAACATGTCAACACTCTGCGTGTGTCTGCGTGCAGGAACCTGGTGAGGGAGCTCATCGGTTGTCAGAAAGTTGTGATCACGAACAGTTTTTCTGACTTCTCTGTACATCACATCACCTTTATCCAAAACACGGTCCAGGTCTGCTCTGGTGATGTGTTCGCTCTCATACAGGAATGCTAGAAATGTCAGTGAGTTACAGGTGCACTGCTGGTTTCTGGATTGGCCGTATTTCAGAGACGCTTGGCTGCGTGACGCACAGACACTTTGTTCACCTGAATCACTAACAACGTTCACATTTCTTACCCGAGAAGAGCCTGATACAGACTGATAATTACTGTGGTTTCCCCTTTTAACAGTGTCTGTATGTGATACCTGGGTTGAAAATGGCTTGTCAGTTTGGGTTACGTGGTTTATCTGTCCAGAGTTGGATGGACTGGGAGTGCATGACACACTAGGAAGTTTTCTCTTCAACATGTCTGCATATGTTACCTGTTGTACACCTGGATCATTAGTTTCACCTCTGTGGTTTACCTGTTCAGAGTTAGACGGACCTGCTGCAGGTGACTCACTTAAACGTCTCCTCTTAAGCATGTCTGCATGAGATACCTGTGGTTGACATGACGCACTTTGACCTCCCTGTTTCACAGCATCACATACTTCAGACCTCTTGACCTCTCCACTGCTCTGAGGAATACCATCTGCTTGTCCAGTACTCACATGGTCAATGTCATGAAACCTCTGCCAGCGCTGGCTTGCAACCTGTGACCTCTTACTTTTCCTTGGCATTGTAGCTGTTCTTTCACAACAATGTGTTTATACAACAATGTAAAATTAATAAGCACCAGTATAGACAAAACGCTTTATTTCTTACAGAGAGGAGGTTATTTAACAGCTCTTATAGTCTCCAAAATATCTAATTTATAACTGTGTGTATACCACAATAGTTTTCTAAGGGAATCCTAGGCAAGGCTGTATAAATGTTTTCAGAAAAAAACACAAATCGGCAACAATTTTTAAATTTTTGAACTTTGTGCTTGAAATAATATGTAACTCAAATATTCTATATGAAACGTGTTTATTTTTTCTTTCAAAATCAGGGACGCAGATATGGTGGCGCTGATGACACTTCTGGTGAAACTCTGGATCCACAGACAGGAAAGGAAAACCTAGAACAAAAATCAGACTTGTGCAAAATTAGGGATTATTTTTTCAAAACAGTGGTTGTATTAAATGTACAGCTTTTCAAAAGTTTGGTTTCTCAAAAAAAAGGTTGATTTAATAAAAAGGTTTCTCAAAAAATGTTGATTTGCTACAATAGGTCTCAATGATTTGTTACAATAGGCCTCAATGATTTGTTACAATAGGTCTCAATGATTTGTTACAATAGGCCTCAATGATTTGTTACAATAGGTCTCAATGATTTGTTACAATAGGCCTCAATGATTTGTTTCAATGGTATCAAAGATTTGTTTCAATGGTATCAAAGATTTGTTTCAATGGTATCAAAGATTTATTCAAGGATTGTATCAGTAGCCAGAGTGGGATACAAGGGGGATAGAAAGACAGAGTGGCTTTTCAATCAGACAGAGCGGTAGAGGAGACAGGAAAGACAGAGCGACCAAAATGATAGGGGAGAGTGTGAGAGTGTGTGTGTGTGTGTGTGTGTGTGTGTGGGGGGGGGGAGACTGGACAGGATACCTGTAAGACACAATGGAAAAAAACATTAATCTTTTATTAAAGAAATAAAATCAAATGAACCAACATCCACCCAAAGCTAATCACATTATAATGTGCTTTTACTCAACCCACCAAGTGGCTGCCCTCAACCATACATCTATCAAAAGTCAAGTTGATTCAAAAGCTGGAAGTGACCATTGTCTTGTTCGATAACCCCTCAATCAAATTCATAAGGACTAAAAATCCAAAGTGTTCATAAGAGTTAATAAAAACTTTAGGATATGAAGAACTTCATATGTGAACCATGGCACACTGTCTTATTCCTGAAAGTGTCATTCCTGTGTGAACTTACGTCGAGTCGCCACAAAGCGGTCTGCACTTGGAGACAGGACAGAGTTGGCAAAAAGGAAAATGAAAAAGAAAAAAAAGAGACAAGAGATTTTAAGTTTAATTGTAGAAAACCAGCACATCTCACTGCATTGCAGTTTCAACTGTAATCAGCCGGCAAAATTAATTGTTATTTAAAATGGTTTGTGTTACAATGAAAATGTGTTGCAGTTTGTCAAATAAGGACATAATGTCAGGTTTTTACATGATATGTTTAAAAAAGTAACAGTGTAAACATTTTTAAGTTACTTTATTTGTGCACTTACAGCTGAGTCGCCAACAGTGAATAGGCCAGCAGTAGAGATAGCATCGAGTTCAGGAGAGAAAAGACAGGGACAAAAAATAGAGAAATTTAGTTGGAAAAAAATCAGCATCTTATAGTTTACTGCAATCACAACTTTTCACTGTGGTTCATTAGTTTTCTCATTTTTTAATCAAAGTCTACAATTTGTGGCGCTTGATTAGTAAAAGGATGTTACTGCAGCTCCCTTGGCCTGTAAAAAATGTTTGTTACAATGGAGAGAAAATGCACAAACACAATGAAGGACCTCTTCACTTTTTACTTTCTTATGCAAGTTATTGAGGTGAAATACAAAACAGTGAAATATAATTATAAACTGCAGAGCAAAAATGTAACATTTGAGTGATTGCCCAATAAGTACATACAGTATATACCATCAGGTCCATAAATATTGGGACGTCAACACAATTCTCATCTCTCTGGCTGTAAACACCACCACAATGAATTTGAACTGAAACAAACATGGTGTGCTTTGACTGCAGACATTCAGCTTTAATTTAAGGGTATTTACATCCAAATCAGGTGCACGGTGTAGGGCAAAGAAGTGGAATGTTATGAAATGGCCAAGTCAATCACCTGACCTGAATCCGTTTGAGCGTGCATTTCACTTGCTGAAGATAAAACTAAAGAGAAAATGCACCAAATACAAGCAGGAACTGAAGACAGTTGCAGTCGAGGCCTGGCAGAGCAACACTAGGGGTGAAACCCAGCGTCTGGTGTATCTATCTGTCTTAGACAGCAAAGGATTTGCAACCATATATTGAAAAGTGAAAGTTTGATGTATGATTTTTGGTTTGTCCCAATACTTTTGGTCCCTTAAAAAGTGAGAGGCACATATACAAACTGTTTTAATTCCTACACCTTTCACCTAATGTGGATGTAAATAACCATATATTAAAGCTGAATGTCTGCAGTCAAAGCACATCTTGTTTGTTTCATATAAAGTCAACTGTGGTGGTGTTTACAGCCAGAGAGATGAGTATTATGCTGATGTCCCAATATTTATGGACCTGACTTTAAGCGTGAACTTACACTTCAGAGTTGATAGGGATTTTCGCCCAGGTCAGAGGACAAGTTGAGGCAGGAGGAGGGGGAGAGGGAGGGAAAGAGATTTTTAATACACTAAAAAAACCACTTCATTCAAAATTTATCTGAATGATTTTCTCACTTAATTATTGTCACAATCAATATTCAGACTTTCGCCAGCATTTTTTAAATAAATTAGTTCAGTAGTGTAGTAATATTGTTAGCACACTATTGTCTTCTAGGAAAAAACTGTATCCCATCTATGATTTTCATATAGGATATACAACAGTGTTACAGATAGATCAACATTTCGTATCAATTTAAACTCAGTACTTGAAAAATGCATCATATGTTGTAGATTATCTTGAATGACATGTTGTTTAACAGGATTAAGCTAATCATTAATTCAGTTATTTTTATTTTGTTTGTTGTCAGTCTTGGTCAAAACACTTATACTTACCAACAAATGCACTGGTGAGGATGTTTCTTCTGTTTGTTTGAGACAAGAAACAATACATTAGTGTTGTCTGACAGATAGTACATTAAAAACAATAGGCCTATAAAGAAAACTAACATTATTACAGTAGTTGGGCTAATTGAAAACTAAACAGCTCCAACAGATCACCTGGCTGTTAGCTGCAGCTGAAAATGTCACACATAATACATACTGTATTAAAGTATATACACCTCAGATAAAGTATCTTTGCTGTGGTGTTAGCACATCACCAATATCCAAATTAACAGCTTGTTATCAAAAGAAAAGAAGGTACAGTAGAAGGTGAAGTTCAGTAGCAGCCAGCAAGACAGAGACAGACCAGGAGCAGGTTCACCAATTTCAAGGCAGCTGACTCTCCATCCATCAACTCAATATTAAGATAAGAACTTTATTGATCCCTAAAGGGAAATTCAACTGGAATATATTTATTAATTGGAACTTTGTATTGTTAAACATTAAATACTGAATTAATTTTATGTTCTGCAATGTAAATATCTCTATCATCCCCATCATGAATAAAACCTTCAATAATAGAGGTCCATTCTGACACATAAAAAAAGGAAAACCACTCACATTTGTGCTATACCTGGATGCTTGCTAAATGCAGCCTATATTTTAATACATCTACAATGGCTGATAAAAAGTGACCAGGAGCTAAACAGCTGACGTCTCCAGACCAGTTCCCCAGCAATGACTCAGTCACAGTAATGAACTGAACCTGTAGCAATGGTGCTAGCGTCATTAGTTAGCTAGTTAGTCAGTTTATACTTGACAATATGAGTATTCTTGTCAGTCCCATTGTCAATAAACTCCACAGCCTGTACATCATTTGGCATGCTTTATAGTACCGCAGCGGCTTACATATTCACTTTATTTTGTGCTCAGCTGGCTAATGATTCAGCCTCACAGCTGAAGGTATGTTAGCTTTAACGTAAGCTCGACGCTAGCGGCGCTAACTCGGCGCTAGCTCGACGCTAGCGGCGCTAACTCGGCGCTAGCTCGACGCTAGCGGCGCTAACTCGACGCTAACAGCGTTAGCGTATGCTTTATAGTACCGCAGCGGCTTACATATTCACTTTATTTTGTGCTCAGCTGGCTAATGATTCAGCCTCACAGCTGTAGGTATGTTAGCTTTAACGTTAGCTCGACGCTAGCGGCGCTAACTCGGCGCTAGCTCGACGCTAGCGGCGCTAACTCGATGCTAACAGCGTTAGCGTATGCTTTTTCAACTCATTATCTCGACCACTTCAATCATGAATAAACTCTTCATTGATTATAACACAAACCAGTGCCTTTTGAAACGTTACATCACCGTTTGGAGTGTTCAGAAGTTAGAGAGACTGTGCTCTGACTCACCTTCGTTGAGGTCGGAGAAGGAGAGCGCGAGCCACCAGTGCGTCGCGGTAGAAATGTTTGAGGCGTTCAGGGACACTCGGAAATGTCATACTTCAGACGACCGAAAGGCAGTGGTTCAATCAATTCATTTTAATTGTTCTCTAGTACTAACAGTAGCAAGACTAGTTGAGGTAGAAGTGATGTAAGTTGTAGTTGTAGAAATGGAAGTGGGATTTTGTTTGAAGAATTGAAATATGCATGAATAGTAAAAATGATTTAAAGTGGGGAAAATATAACTAATTAAAAATCCATAAGTATTAGAAAGGTTTGAAGAATCAGAGAGGTTTGTATAAGAATGAGTTTAAATTTGTTAGAAGAATAATGCATAAATAATGAGAATGATTTTAAATTAAGGACAATTTAAATGAATAGAAATCCTCTGTGGACTCCATAATGTCCTCAATGAGCAGAATTTTTGAAGCCCTAAATGTGTCTGTATCTCAAAGTTTGTGAGAGAAGGTAGGTGGTGAAGCAGACACATGGTCAAAGTGTGTTCAGGTCTCATAGACAGAGAGAGACTCACACAGGCACATATTTACTGTGTGTACATGAAAGTCTCATAGAGAGAAAGAGGCTGACGCACACACATTGGCTGAGTGTGTGTGTGTGTCTCATTAATGATATTATCCAAAACAGCTGTGAGATCAAAGGCAAATCACTGACCTACTGTTTGAACGAGAAGCAGCTGAACTGCAGAGGATTTAGAGGCTCTAAACTTCTTCACATAGCGTGATTTCCTTAAGTCACAGAATGAAAATAAGAACATCGTACGAATCCTCCGCCCTTCATGAACACAATGATGTCTTTTTCATGTCTGTACTCCGACAAATGTGGCCACAACAGCGAGTTAAAAAAGTCTGAGCCTGAGCGATGATCCGGATTTTCTTGGAGAAAAATAACATTACGGTCAATGGGAGAGATTTCCGCCTTCTTTGGACAGTTGGTCACCTGCTGGCCAAGGGGTACGATTTAATGATTTAAAACCTCTTTTGTGAGAAGCAGGACACATATACCTCCATTTTGATGTATTATTTGTGTCAGTGGAGTGAGATTTGTGGGCGTGGGAGCGATATAGTCGAGCGAGGTTCTGTCGATCAGAGACGAGGTCTGCACTCTAGCTGATGACATCATCACTCTAAACTCTCCAATACACACCCATTATAAAGCTTGAAATTTGCTGAAAACCACAAGTTGCTTAAAGCTAAATTGTGGAAAAACTGTAAGAGATATCAAAAAACTGAGTACAACTGTAATAGTCGACAAGTGAATGAACATTTTAAAGCAAAAATGAGGTCTCTAGGTGAAAGTATGCTGAAGTTATAAGGTCTAGAAGGTGGAAGAATAAAAGGAAGAATTGGAAGATTTCCCCATTGACTTCAATGTTAAAATTTTTGCACAAAAAGTTAAAAAAAACAAAAAGTATAAATGTTAGAAAAGTGAAAAGTAATAGCAAACGTGTCCTGAAGGAGTGGAATAGTTTAAAGTTTGAACGGTTGAAATCGCACAAACTGGGAAGGAGTTGAAAGCGGACGAAAAACGGCGGAAGAATAATAATAATAATAATAATAATAATAATAATAAAGAAACGGGAGAATAACAATAAGTGGAAATGCCTATCAGCATTTCCACTTAACTAGAAAAATTGCATTTCCTTGCAGAAAATGCGTGGAAATGCTGAGTGCTGAAAGCTGAAAAAGCAATGCTAAACTGCTAATAAAACATGGAGAAAGGCATAAATGTTAAAGCTGTTGAAGGGGTGAAAAAGAAATATAAGTTGGATAATAGTTTAATTGGTTGAAGGACAAATAGTATGAATATGCTCTATAAAAGGAAATTTTATTCATGCTGAAAGAGGCTAGAAAAATGTCTAAAATTGCACAAAGTTTGAATGAAGAAGGAAACTGCCTTTAAAGGCAGGAAGGTGAGAAGTGGCATAAGTTTAAGTTGTAGTACTAGAAGTAGTATGATAAGAAGTCAAGTCGTGATACTAGTAGTCATGTCAGCAGTAGAAGTTGATTGAGAATAAAAGAAGTATAAGTCAAAGTAGTAAAGAAAGTAGAAATAGTAGCAATAGCAGCAGTAGAGAAAGTAGAAATAGGAGCAATAGCAGTTGAAGTAGAGGGGAAAGTTCTAGTTTAATTGACATAAGTAGTTGTAGTACTAGAGGTAGGATTTTGTTTGAAGGACGGAATAATGCATAAATATTAAAACTAATATAAAACAGGGAACATTTTATTAATTAAAAATCCTCAAGTATCAGACAGTTTTTAAGTATTAGAAAGGTTTGAATCATTTTGAATGAGTTTAAATTAGTTTGAAAAATTAAATGATAAATTATCACTGAGTGACTTTAAAATGTGAAACATTTAAATGAATATAAATCCTAAATACACCCCATAATGTCCTCAATGAGCTTAAATTTTAAAGCCCTGAATGGTTTCTGTAGGTCAAAGGTCATGTGAGGAGATAGGGGCTGAAGTTTTTTCAAGCGCTCTAGGAAAGGGTTTTAAGTGTCATCCCCAGTGCTATGTGTACTGAGCCTGGCTTCATGTGTCTCATATGGCCATTAGAAGCAGCTTTCCAGTCAGCTGTGTGTCTCCAGGTGCACAAATTGGTTGCCATGGGGACCTTGGATGAATAACTATAGCAGGAGAAAGAAGGCTTGAAGCAAAGGAAACAGGACTCCAAGTAGGCCCTGACGCTCATCCTCTGTATAAATTCATAAGGAGCTTGTGAGAACACAAGATTTTGCTGAACACTTTAATACAATTTATTATCACAATCCTCAAAACACCCCATAATATCTTCAATGAGCTGAATTTTTCAAGCCCAGAATGGTTTCTGTAGCTCAAAGTTTGTGGGTGGAGATAGGTGGTGAAGCAGACACATATTATCTGTGTGTACAAGCAGGTGAACTGCAAGGTAGACCTGACAAAGCAACAAGTACAAGAATGTGTGTGTGTGTGTGTGTGTGTCTCATTAATGACTGCATCCCTAACAGCTGTGAGATCAAAGGCAAATCACTGACCTACTGTTTGAATGACAAGCAGCTGAACAGCAGAGGATTAGAAGCCTGTGAACTTCTTCACATAGCGTGATTTCCTTAAGTCCCAGAATGAAAATAAGAACATCGTACGAATCCTCCGTCCTTCATGAACACAATGATGTGTTTTTCATGTCTGTACTCCGAAAAATGTGGCCACAACAGCGAGTTAAAAATGTCTGAGCCTGAGTGACGATAAGGATTTTCTTGGAGAAGAAATACATTAGGGCCAATGGGGAGATATTTGCGCCTATCTGGACAGTTGGTCACCTGCTGGCCAAGGGGTACGATTTAATGATTTGAAACCTCTTTTGTGAGAAGCAGGACACATATACCTCCATTTTGATGTATTATTTGTGTCAGTGGAGTGAGATTTGTGGGCGTGGGAGCGATATATTCGAGCGAGGTTCTGTTGATCAGAGACGAGGTCTGCACTCTAGCTGATGACATCATCACTCTAAACTCTCCAATACACACCCATTATAAAGCTTGAAATTTGCTGAAAACCACAAGTTGCATAAAGCTAAATTGTGGAAGAACTGTAAAAGATATCAAAAAACTGAGTACAACTATAATAGTCGACAAGTGAATGAACATTTTAAAGCAAAAATGAGGTCTCTAGGTGAAAGTATGCTGAAGTTATAAGGTCTAGAAGGTGGAAGAATGAAAGGAAGAAGTTGAAGATTTCCCCATTGACTTCAATGTTAAAATTTTTGCACAAAAAGTTAAAAAAAACAAAAAGTATAAAGGGTAGAAAGAAAAAAAATACACGCAATAATGTCTTGAAGGAGTGGAATAGTTTAAAGTTTGAATGGTTGAAATCGGACAAAGTTTGAAGGAGGAGAAGCGGTCCAAAAAAGGGACGGAAGAATAATAATAATAACTAGAAAAATTGCATTTCCTTGCAGAAAATGCGTGGAAATGCTGAGTGCTGAAAGCTAACAAAGCAATGCTAAACTGCTAATAAAACATGGAGAAAGGTATAAATGTTAAAGCTGTTGAAGGGGTGAACAGAAATATAAGTTGGATAATTGATTAATTGGTTGAAGGACAAATAGTATGAATATGCTCTATAAAAGGAAATTTTATTCATGCTGAAAGAGGCTAGAAAAATGTCTCAAATTGCACAAAGTTTGAATGAAGAAGGAAATTGCCTTAAAAGGCAGGAAGGTGAGAAGTGGCATAAGTTTAAATTGTAGTACTAGAAGTAGTATGATAAGAAGTCAAGTCGTGATACTAGTAGTCATGTCAGCAGTAGAAGTAGATTGAGAATAAAAGAAGTATAAGTCAAAGTAGTAAAGAAAGTAGAAATAGGAGCAATAGCAGTTGAAGTAGAGGGGAAAGTTCTAGTTTAATTGACATTAGCAGTAGTTGTCGTACTTGAGGTAGGATTTTGTTTGAATGATGGAGTAATGCATAAATATTAAAACTAATTTAAAACAGGGAAATTTTAAATTATCAAAAGTCCTCAAGTATCAGAAAGTTTTGAAGTATTAGAAAGGTTTGAATCAGTTTGAATGAGTTTAAATTAGTTTGAAAAATTAAATGATAAATCATCACTGTCTGACTTTTAAAATGTGAAAAATTTAAATGAATAACAATCCTAAATACACCCAATAATGTCCTCAATGAGCTTAAATTTCAAAGCCCTGAATGGTTTCTGTAGGTCAAAGGTCATGTGAGGAGATAGGGGCTGAAGTTTTTTCCAACGCTCTAGGAAAGGGTTTTAAGTGTCATCCCAATTGCTATGTGTACTGAGCCTGGCTTCATGTGTCTCATATGGCCACTAGAAGCAGCTTTCCAGTCAGCTGTGTGTCTCCAGGTGCACAAATTGGTTGCCATGGGGACCTTGGATGCATAACTATAGCAGGAGAAAGAAGGCTTGAAGCTAAGGAAACAGGACTCCAAGTTGGCCCTGACGCTCACCCTCTGTATATATTCATAAGGAGCTTGTGAGAACACAAGATTTTGCTGAACACATTAATACAATTTATTATCACAATCCTCAAAACACCCCATAATATCTTCAATGAGCTGAATTTTTCAAGCCCAGAATGGTTTCTGTAGCTCAAAGTTTGTGGGTGGAGATAGGTGGTGAAGCAGACACATATTAACTGTGTGTACAAGCAGCTGAACTGCAAGGTAGACCTCACAAAGCAATGAGTACAAGAATGTGTGTGCGTGTGAGTGTGTGTGTCTTGTTAATGACTGCATCCTAAACAGCTGTGAGATCAAAGGCAAATCACTGACCTACTGTTTGAATGAGAAGCAGGTGAACTGCAGAGGATTTGAAGCCTGTGAACTTCTTCACATAGCGTGATTTCCTTAAATCCCAGAATGAAAATAAGAACATCGTACGAATCCTCCGTCCTTCATGAACACAATGATGTGTTTTTCATGTCTGTACTTCGAAAAATGAGGCCACAACAGCGAGTTAAAAAAGTCTGAGCCTGAGCGATGATCCGGATTTTCTTGGAGAAAAATAACATTATGGTCAATGGGAGAGATTTCCGCCTTTTTTGGACAGTTGGTCACCTCCTGCCCAAGGGGTACGATTTAATGATTTGAAACCTCTTTTGTGAGAAGCAGGACACATATACCTCCATTTTGATGTATTATTTGTGTCAGTGGAGTGAGATTTGTGGGCGTGGGAGCGATATATTCGAGCGAGGTTCTGTCGATCAGAGACGAGGTCTGCACTCTAGCTGATGACATCATCACTCTAAACTCTCCAATACACACCCATTATAAAGCTTGAAATTTGCTGAAAACCACAAGTTGCTTAAAGCTAAATTGTGGAAAAACTGTAACAGATATCAAAAAACTGAGTACAACTATAATAGTCGACAAGTGAATGAACATTTTAAAGCAAAAATGAGGTCTCTAGGTGAAAGTATGCTGAAGTTATAAGGTCTAGAAGGTGGAAGAATAAAAGGAAGGAGTGGAAGATTTCCCCATTGACTTTAATGTTAAAATTTTTGCACAAAAAGTTAAAAAAAACAAAAAGTATAAAAGGTAGAAAAGTAAAAAGTACAAGCAAACATGTCCTGAAGGAGTGGAATAGTTTAAAGTTTGAACGGTTGAAATCGCACAAACTGGGAAGGAGTTGAAAGCGGACGAAAAACGGCGGAAGAATAATAAGTTTAATAATAATAATAATAATAATAAAGAAACAGGAGAATAACAATAAGTGGAAATGCCTATCAGCATTTCCACTTAACTAGAAAATGCAATTTCTGAAGAAATTGCGAGTGGGATTGCTTCAGTTGAAATTGCTATCGCTACGCTGCTATTGCGAGTGGCTGAATTTTAAAATATGTGAAAGGTCAAAAGGTATGAAGTATCAGGAAGATTTGAATCAGTTTGAATAAACTCTGTTGAATGAATTGAATAATGCATGAATAATAATTTTAAAAATTCAACGTTTGAAAATTAAAATGATTAAAAACCCTGAAGTATGGGAAAGGCTTGAAGAATCAATAAGGTTTGAATCAGTTTAAATGAGCTGTAATTTGTTTGAAAGAACTGAATCATGCATTAAGATTAAAAAATGATTTAAAACTGGGAAATTAAAAGGTTACAAATCTGGAAGAAAAAAGTCTTGAAGAATCAAAACGGTTTAAATCAGTTTGAAGGAGTTTAAATTAGTTTGAAGAATTAAATAATGCATTTTCAATGAATGATTGAAAAATGGGGACAATGTAAATGAATAAAAATCCTGATTAGACCCCATAATGTCCTCAATGAGCTAAATTTATTAAGCTCTGGATGGTTTCTGTAGCTCAAGGTTTGTGCGAAGAGATAGATGACAAATTTCGTCAAATAACGCTATTGAAGGGTTTTAAATGTAACCCCCAGTACTCTGTGTACTGAGCCTGGCTTCATGTGTCTCATATGGCTGTTAGAAGCAGCTTTCCAGCCAGCTGTGTGTCTCCAGGTGCGCTTATTGGTTGCCATGGTGACGATAGATGCTTAACAACAGCAGGAGAAAGGAGGCTTGAGGCCGAGAACGTAATGCCCAAACAACGTCATATTTCTCATCCTCTGTAACTGCTGTCTTCATGATAAGGAGCTTGTGACAACCACAAGGCCCGGCTGAACACATTGATACAACTTCTGTGTTTGTGGAGCCAAAAATGCCTTTGCTACGACAAGTTAAAAACATGTCCAGTTTGTGTTTCCTCTGAAAATCCTCCTCTCAGGTTTACATTGGAGTCAATGGAGAAAGCTGGAGAAATCTGGGGGATGTCTGCGGCAGTTGGTGTCTGCCCGGGCCACTGTGTGTGTCCTATGGCTTTGATTTTTTAGATGAAGAGTGACAGCGAGTTTTGCCATCACTGTACCAAATTTTATCTGTGTAGAGCGAAGTGAGTTGCCACAATCCTTTTGTAAAGACAAAGTTTTGAGGATCAATTTTCAGCCTGTCTCACTCTAGCTGTGAGGTCACCCACTCTAGCGGCCAACATTCCGTGCAATACACACTCATGTTAAAACCTGAACAGGTTAGAAAATCTTTGGACTTTTTGAACTGTCACTGTGAGAAAAGTATGAATGCCATGAAGATGGTGAATGAATGAGTGAATGTCTGAAGATGTGTGAATATTTTAAAGTTTGAATGAAGTTTCTAGGTGAAAGTATGAATGAATGAGAAGAGGTTGAAGTTGACTACGTCTGAAGCCCTTTTCCCATTGACTGCCATTATAACGAAGTTTTAAACTAATCTTTATATTTTGAAAAGTACAAATGGGATTAAAAATGTTGAAGATGTGGAATAATGCTGACGAATTTGTGAATATTTTGGTTTTTGAATGAAGTTTCTACGTGGAAGTATAGAGGAGTTGAAGGCTTTTGAAGTTGTGTGAAGAAAAGGGCCAATTTGAACATTCCGTAATGCATTTCTAATGGGAGAAATCGGTCGGAAAACCTGGAATATCTTGGAAAGTATGAATGTTAGGAAAATTTTGAATACACCCCTGAATGTCCTCAATGAGATGAATCTTTTGATGTTTGAATGGTTTGAATATGTTGAAGTATGTGGAAGTAGTTGAGGGCCAAAAAACGGTGGAAGTTGATATAATAATAATAAAGATATGAATAACATATAGTGGGAATGCTTTGCAATCCCACTCAATAATAAGTTTAATAAAGAAACAGGAGAATAACAATAAGTGGAAATGCCTATCAGCATTTCCACTTAACTAGAAAAATTGCATTTCCTTGCAGAAAATGCGTGGAAATGCTGAGTGCTGAAAGCTGAAAAAGCAATGCTAAACTGCTAATAAAACATGGAGAAAGGTATAAATGTTAAAGCTGTTGAAGGGGTGAACAGAAATATAAGTTGGATAATTGATTAATTGGTTGAAGGACAAATAGTATGAATATGCTCTATAAAAGGAAATTTTATTCATGCTGAAAGAGGCTAGAAAAATGTCGAAAATTGCACAAAGTTTGAATGAAGAAGGAAATTGCCTTAAAAGGCAGGAAGGTGAGAAGTGGCACAAGTTTAAATTGTAGTACTAGAAGTAGTATGATAAGAAGTCAAGTCGTGATACTAGTAGTCATGTCAGCAGTAGAAGTAGATTGAGAATAAAAGAAGTATAAGTCAAAGTAGTAAAGAAAGTAGAAATAGGAGCAATAGCAGTTGAAGTAGAGGGGAAAGTACTAGTTTAATTGACATTAGCAGTAGTTGTCGTACTTGAGGTAGGATTTTGTTTGAATGATGGAGTAATGCATAAATATTAAAACTAATTTAAAACAGGGAAATTTTAAATTATCAAAAGTCCTCAAGTATCAGAAAGTTTTGAAGTATTAGAAAGGTTTGAATCAGTTTGAATGAGTTTAAATTAGTTTGAAAAATTAAATGATAAATCATCACTGACTGACTTTTAAAATGTGAAAAATTTAAATGAATAACAATCCTAAATACACCCAATAATGTCCTCAATGAGCTTAAATTTCAAAGCCCTGAATGGTTTCTGTAGGTCAAAGGTCATGTGAGGATATAGGGGCTGAAGTTTTTTCCAACGCTCTAGAAAAGGGTTTTAAGTGTCATCCCAATTGCTATGTGTACTGAGCCTGGCTTCATGTGTCTCATATGGCCACTAGAAGCAGCTTTCCAGTCAGCTGTGTGTCTCCAGGTGCACAAATTGGTTGCCATGGGGACCTTGGATGCATAACTATAGCAGGAGAAAGAAGGCTTGAAGCTAAAGAAACAGGACTCCAAGTAGGCCCTGACGCTCACCCTCTGTATATATTCATAAGGAGCTTGTGAGAACAAGACTCTGCTGAACACATTAATACAATTTATTATCACAATCCTCAAAACACCCCATAATATCTTCAATGAGCTGAATTTTTGAAGCCCAGAATGGTTTCTGTAGCTCAAAGTTTGTGGGTGGAGATAGGTGGTGAAGCAGACACATATTATCTGTGTGTACAAGCAGCTGAACTGCAAGGTGGACCTCAAAAAGCAACAAGTACAAGAATGTGTGTGCGTGTGTGTGTGTGTGTGTCTCGTTAATGACTGCATCCTAAACAGCTGTGAGATCAAAGGCAAATCACTAACCTACTGTTTGACTGAGAGGTGCTGAACTGCAGTGAATTTCAGCCTGTGAACTTCTTCACATAGCGTGATTTCCTTAAGTCCCAGAATGAAAATAAGAACATCGTACGAATCCTCCGCCCTTCATGAACACAATGATGTGTTTTTCATGTCTGTACTTCGAAAAATGAGGCCACAACAGCGAGTTAAAAATGTCTGAGCCTGAGCGATGATCCGGATTTTCCTGGAGAAAAATAACATTATGGTCAATGGGAGAGATTTCCGCCTTTTTTGGACAGTTGGTCACCTGCTTGCCAAGGGGTACGATTTAATGATTTGAAACCTCTTTTGTGAGAAGCAGGACACATATACCTCCATTTTGATGTATTATTTGTGTCAGTGGAGTGAGATTTGTGGGCGTGGGAGCGATATATTCGAGCAAGGTTCTGTCGATCAGAGACGAGGTCTGCACTCTAGCTGATGACATCGTCACTCTAAACTCTCCAATACACACCCATTATAAAGCTTGAAATTTGCTGAAAACCACAAGTTGCTTAAAGCTAAATTGTGGAAAAACAGTACAAGATATCAAAAAACTGAGTACAACTTTAATAGTCAACAAGTGAATGAACATTTTAAAGCAAAAATGAGGTCTCTAGGTGAAAGTATGCTGAAGTTATAAGGTCTAGAAGGTGGAAGAATGAAAGGAAGAAGTTGAAGATTTCCCCATTGACTTCAATGTTAAAATTTTTGCACAAAAAGTTAAAAAAAACAAAAAGTATAAAGGGTAGAAAGAAAAAAAATAGACGCCATCATGTCCTGAAGGAGTGGAATAGTTGAAAGTTTGAACGGTTGAAATCGGACAAAGTTTGAAGGAGGAGAAGCGGTCCAAAAATCGGCGGAAGAATAATAAGTTTAATAAAGAACAGAATAATAAGTGGAAATGCTGATTAAGCATTTCCACTTAACTAGAAAAATTGCATTTCCTTGCAGAAAATGCGTGGAAATGCTGAGTGCTGAAAACTGAAAAAGCAATGCAAAACTGTCAATAAAAAATGGAGGAAGGTATGAATGCATGCAGTGAATGAATTGCAGTATGCAGCATCCAACCATAGTAACTTGAGAATGCAGAACAGCACCATCTATTGCCCTGCTTCAGTTACTGCCCTACATCTGAATGTAGAAAGTATGAAACAGCTGAAGTTAAATTAATTGTCTAATGTAGAAAGTATAGAAAAGAAAAGCAAAAGTAGAAGAAAAAGAAGAAGTTAGTATGTTAAAAGAGTTAAAGACAATAACTGTAACAACAAAGTTAATATTGGGGGTGTATTTTCTACTGACAGAGAGACAGTAATGCACACATGGAAACAGTGTGTGTGTGTGTGTGTGTGCGCGCGCGCATGTGCGTGTGTGTGCCCGCGCGCACGAGCGGCCGAGCCCGTGCGTGTGTGATCGAAGCACACAGCCCATGACAAGTGCAGAATCTCTGGCTCTGAAGGAATGTACTCACCTCCTGGGCAAACTGTACAATTTCATGACTTCAGATCTATTTTGTGAGAAGCAGGACGAGTGTACCTCCATTTTGATGTGTTTTTTATGGCTGTGGAGTGAAAATTTCGGCCGTGGCAGCAGAATAATCATGCTTGGTCTAGTGAATCCAAAAGGCTCCGCCCGCATCTAGTGATGACGTCACACGCTGTAGCGTGAGTCAGGCTGAAAAAGGCAGAAAACTTCATGTTGCTCCAAGCGAAATTGTGCAAAAACAGTAGGAAATAGCAAAAAGGAGTGAATACAACGTTTGTAGCAGACACGTTGCTGAACATTTTAAAGCAAAAATGAGGTCTGTAGGTGAAAGTATGCAGAAGTTATAAGGGTGAGAAGGTGTTATAGCTGTATCTCCATTCATTTGTAATGGAACAAATTTTGCAGAAAAAGTGAAATATTGCAAAAAGTATAAATGGTAGAAAGGTGAAAAGTAATAGCAATAATGTCCTGAAGGAGTGCATTAGTATAAAGTTTGAATGGTTCAAATAGCACAAAGTGGTAAGGAGTTGAAAAGGGCCAAAAAAGGTACGGAAGAATAATAATAAGAAAAAAAATAATAATAATAAAGAAATAGTAGAATAACAATAAGTGGAAATGCTGTGTCAGCATTTCCACTTAACTAGAAAAATTGCATTTCCTTGCAGAAAATGCGTGGAAATGCTGAGTGCTGAAAGCTGAAAAAGCAATGCTAAACTGCTAATAAAACATGGAGAAAGGTATAAATGTTAAAGCTGTTGAAGGGGTGAACAGAAATATAAGTTGGATAATTGATTAATTGGTTGAAGGACAAATAGTATGAATATGCTCTATAAAAGGAAATTTTATTCATGCTGAAAGAGGCTAGAAAAATGTCGAAAATTGCACAAAGTTTGAATGAAGAAGGAAATTGCCTTAAAAGGCAGGAAGGTGAGAAGTGGCATAAGTTTAAATTGTAGTACTAGAAGTAGTATGATAAGAAGTCAAGTCGTGATACTAGTAGTCATGTCAGCTGTAGAAGTAGATTGAGAATAAAAGAAGTATAAGTCAAAGTAGTAAAGAAAGTAGAAATAGGAGCAATAGCAGTTGAAGTAGAGGGGAAAGTTCTAGTTTAATTGACATTAGCAGTAGTTGTCGTACTTGAGGTAGGATTTTGTTTGAATGATGGAGTAATGCATAAATATTAAAACTAATTTAAAACAGGGAAATTTTAAAAGTATTAGAAAGGTTTGAATCAGTTTGAATGAGTTTAAATTAGTTTGAAAAATTAAATGATAAATCATCACTGAGTGACTTTAAAATGTGAAAAATTTAAATGAATAACAATCCTAAATACACCCAATAATGTCCTCAATGAGCTTAAATTTCAAAGCCCTGAATGGTTTCTGTAGGTCAAAGGTCATGTGAGGAGATAGGGGCTGAAGTTTTTTCCAACGCTCTAGGAAAGGGTTTTAAGTGTCATCCCAATTGCTATGTGTACTGAGCCTGGCTTCATGTGTCTCATATGGCCACTAGAAGCAGCTTTCCAGTCAGCTGTGTGTCTCCAGGTGCACAAATTGGTTGCCATGGGGACCTTGGATGCATAACTATAGCAGGAGAAAGAAGGCTTGAAGCTAAAGAAACAGGACTCCAAGTAGGCCCTGACGCTCACCCTCTGTATATATTCATAAGGAGCTTGTGAGAACACAAGACTCTGCTGAACACATTAATACAATTTATTATCACAATCCTCAAAACACCCCATAATATCTTCAATGAGCTGAATTTTTGAAGCCCAGAATGGTTTCTGTAGCTCAAAGTTTGTGGGTGGAGATAGGTGGTGAAGCAGACACATATTAACTGTGTGTACAAGCAGCTGAACTGCAAGGTGGACCTCAAAAAGCAACAAGTACAAGAATGTGTGTGCGTGTGTGTGTGTGTGTGTCTCGTTAATGACTGCATCCTAAACAGCTGTGAGATCAAAGGCAAATCACTAACCTACTGTTTGACTGAGAGGTGCTGAACTGCAGTGAATTTCAGCCTGTGAACTTCTTCACATAGCGTGATTTCCTTAAGTCCCAGAATGAAAATAAGAACATCGTACGAATCCTCCGTCCTTCATGAACACAATGATGTGTTTTTCATGTCTGTACTTCGAAAAATGAGGCCACAACAGCGAGTTAAATAAGTCTGAGCCTGAGCGATGATCCGGATTTTCCTGGAGAAAAATAACATTATTGTCAATGGGAGAGATTTCCGCCTTTTTTGGACAGTTGGTCACCTGCTGGCCAAGGGGTACGATTTAATGATTTGAAACCTCTTTTGTGAGAAGCAGGACACATATACCTCCATTTTGATGTATTATTTGTGTCAGTGGAGTGAGATTTGTGGGCGTGGGAGCGATATATTCGAGCGAGGTTCTGTCGATCAGAGACGAGGTCTGCACTCTAGCTGATGACATCATCACTCTAAACTCTCCAATACACACCCATTATAAAGCTTGAAATTTGCTGAAAACCACAAGTTGCTTAAAGCTAAATTGTGGAAAAACTGTAAAAGATATCAAAAAACTGAGTACAACTATAATAGTCGACAAGTGAATGAACATTTTAAAGCAAAAATGAGGTTTCTAGGTGAAATTATGCTGAAGTTATAAGGTCTAGAAGGTGGAAGAAAAAAAGGAAGGAGTGGAAGATTTCCCCATTGACTTCAATGTTAAAATTTTTGCACAAAAAGTTAAAAAAAACAAAAAGTATAAAAGGTAGAAAGGTAAAAAATACAAGCACACATGTCCTGAAGGAGTGGAATAGTTTAAAGTTTGAATGGTTGAAATCGGACAAAGTTTGCTGAACACATTAATACAATTTATTATCACAATCCTCAAAACACCCCATAATATCTTCAATGAGCTGAATTTTTGAAGCCCAGAATGGTTTCTGTAGCTCAAAGTTTGTGGGTGGAGATAGGTGGTGAAGCAGACACATATTAACTGTTTGTACAAGCAGCTGAACTGCAAGGTGGACCTCAAAAAGCAACAAGTACAAGAATGTGTGTGTGTGTGTGTGTGTGTGTGTCGTTAATGACTGCATCCTAAACAGCTGTGAGATCAAAGGCAAATCACAGACCTACTGTTTGAATGAGAAGCAGCTGAACTGCAGAGGATTTAGAGGCTCTAAACTTCTTCACATAGCGTGATTTCCTTAAGTCCCAGAATGAAAATAAGAACATCGTACGAATCCTCCGTCCTTCATGAACACAATGATGTGTTTTTCATGTCTGTACTTCGAAAAATGAGGCCACAACAGCGAGTTAAAAAAGTCTGAGCCTGAGCGATGATCCGGATTTTCCTGGAGAAAAATAACATTATTGTCAATGGGAGAGATTTCCGCCTTTTTTGGACAGTTGGTCACCTGCTGGCCAAGGGGTACGATTTAATGATTTGAAACCTCTTTTGTGAGAAGCAGGACACATATACCTCCATTTTGATGTATTATTTGTGTCAGTGGAGTGAGATTTGTGGGCGTGGGAGCGATATATTCGAGCGAGGTTCTGTCGATCAGAGACGAGGTCTGCACTCTAGCTGATGACATCATCACTCTAAACTCTCCAATACACACCCATTATAAAGCTTGAAATTTGCTGAAAACCACAAGTTGCTTAAAGCTAAATTGTGGAAAAACTGTAAGAGATATCAAAAAACTGAGTACAACTATAATAGTCGACAAGTGAATGAACATTTTAAAGCAAAAATGAGGTCTCTAGGTGAAAGTAAGCTGAAGTTATAAGGCTGAGAAGGTGGAGGAGTAAAAGGTAGAATTTGAAGATTTCCCCATTCATTTCAATGGGAAAATTTTTTGCACAAAAAGTCAAAAATATCAAAAAGTATAAGGGGTAGAAAGAAAAAAAATACACGCAATAATGTCCTGAAGGAGTGGAATAGTTTAAAGTTTGAATGGTTGAAATCGGACAAAGTTTGAAGGAGGAGAAGCGGTCCAAAAAAGGGACGGAAGAATAATAATAAGTTTAATAAAGAAACAGGAGAATAACAATAAGTGGAAATGCCTATCAGCATTTCCACTTAACTAGAAAAATTGCATTTCCTTGCAGAAAATGCGTGGAAATGCTGAGTGCTGAAAGCTGAAAAAGCAATGCTAAACTGCTAATAAAACATGGAGAAAGGTATAAATGTTAAAGCTGTTGAAGGGGTGAAAAAGAAATATAAGTTGGATAATGGTCTAATTGGTTGAAGGACAAATAGTATGAATATGCTCTATAAATGGAAGTTTTATTCATGCTGAAAGAGGCTAGAAAAATGTCTACAATTGCACAAAGTTTGAATGAAGAAGGAAACTGCCTTAAAAGGCAGGAAGGTGAGAAGTGGCATAAGTTTAAGTTGTAGTACTAGAAGTAGTATAATAGGTCAAGTCGTGATACTAGTAGTCATGTCAGCAGTAGAAGTAGTTTGAGAATAAAAGAAGTATAAGTCACAATAGTAGAGAAAGTAGAAATAGGAGCAATAGTAGTTGAAGTAGAGGGGATAGTACTAGTTTAATTGACATTAGCGGTAGTTGTCGTACTTGAGGTAGGATTTTGTTTGAAGGATGGAGTAATGCATAAATATTAAAACTTATTTCAAACAGGGAAAATTGAAATAATTAAAAATCCTCAAGAATCAGAAAGTTTTTAAGTATTAGAAAGGTTTGAATCAGTTTGAATGAGTTTCAACTAGTTTGAAAAATAAATGATAAATCATCACTGAGTGACTTTAAAATGTGAAAATTTTAAATGAATAACAATCCTAAATACACCCCATAATGTCCTCAATGAGCTTAAATTTTAAAGCCCTGAATGGTTTCTGTAGGTCAAAGGTCATGTGAGGAGATAGGGGCTGAAGTTTTTTCAAGCGCTCTAGGAAAGGGTTTTAAGTGTCATCCCCAGTGCTATGCGTACTAAGCCTGGCTTCATGTGTCTCATATGGCCATTAGAAGCAGCTTTCCAGTCAGCTGTGTGTCTCCAGGTGCACAAATATGTTGCCATGGGGACCTTGGATGCATAACTATAGCAGGAGAAAGAAGGCTTGAAGCTAAAGAAACAGGACTCCAAGTAGGCCCTGACGCTCACCCTCTGTATATATTCATAAGGAGCTTGTGAGAACACAAGACTCTGCTGAACACATTAATACAATTTATTATCACAATCCTCAAAACACCCCATAATGTCTTCAATGAGCTGAATTTTTGAAGCCCAGAATGGTTTCTGTAGCTCAAAGTTTGTGGGTGGAGATAGGTGGTGAAGCAGACACATATTAACTGTGTGTACAAGCAGCTGAACTGCAAGGTGGACCTCAAAAAGCAACAAGTACAAGAATGTGTGTGCGTGCGTGTGTGTGTGTCTCGTTAATGACTGCATCCTAAACAGCTGTGAGATCAAAGGCAAATCACTAACCTACTGTTTGCCTGAGAGGTGCTGAACTGCAGTGAATTTCAGCCTGTGAACTTCTTCACATAGCGTGATTTCCTTAAGTCCCAGAATGAAAATAAGAACATCGTACGAATCCCCCGTCCTTCATGAACACAATGATGTGTTTTTCATGTCTGTACTTCGAAAAATGAGGCCACAACAGCGAGTTAAAAAAGTCTGAGCCTGAGCGATGATCCGGATTTTCTTGGAGAAAATGAACATTACAGTCAATGGGAGAGATTTCAGCCTTTTTTGGACAGTTGGTCACCTGCTGGCCAAGGGGTACGATTTAATGATTTGAAACCTCTTTTGTGAGAAGCAGGACACATATACCTCCATTTTGATGTATTATTTGTGTCAGTGGAGTGAGATTTGTGGGCGTGGGAGCGATATATTCGAGCGAGGTTCTGTCGATCAGAGACGAGCTCTGCACTCTAGCTGATGACATCATCACTCTAAACTCTCCAATACACACCCATTATAAAGCTTGAAATTTGCTGAAAACCACAAGTTGCTTAAAGCTAAATTGTGGAAAAACAGTACAAGATATCAAAAAACTGAGTACAACTATAATAGTCGACAAGTGAATGAACATTTTAAAGCAAAAATGAGGTCTCTAGGTGAAAGTATGCTGAAGTTATAAGGTCTAGAAGGTGGAAAAATAAAAGGAAGAAGTGGAAGATTTCCCCATTGACTTCAATGTTAAAATTTTTGCACAAAAAGTTAAAAAAAACAAAAAGTATAAAGGGTAGAAAGAAAAAAAATACAAGCACACATGTCCTGAAGGAGTGGAATAGTTTAAAGTTTGAATGGTTGAAATCGGACAAAGTTTGAAGGAGGAGAAGCGTGACAAAAAACGGCGGAAGAATAAAAATAACTAGAAAATGCAATTTCTGAAGAAATTGCGAGTGGGATTGCTTCAGTTGAAATTGCTATCGCTAAGCTGCTATTGCGAATGGCTGAATTTTAAAAATATGTGAAAGGTCAAAAGGTATGAAGTATCAGGAAGATTTGAATCAATTGGAATAAACTCAATTGAATGAATTGAATAATGCATGAATAATAATTTTGAAATTTCCACGTTTGAAAATTAAAATGATTAAAAACCCTTAAGTTTGGGAAAGGCTTGAAGAATCAATAAGTTTTGAATCAGTGTAAATGAGTTGGAATTTGTTTGAAAGAACTGAATAATGCAGTAAGAGTAAAAAATGATTTAAAACTGGAAAATTAAAAGGTTACAAATCTAGAAGAAAAAGAGGTTTGAAGAATCAAAACAGTTTAAATCAGTTTGAAGGAAATAAATTAGTTTGAAGAACTAAATAATGCATTTTCAATGAATGATTGAAAAATGGGGACAATGTAAATGAATAAAAATCCTGATTAGACCCCAAAATGTCCTCAATGAGCTAAATTTATTAAGCTCTGAATGGTTTCTGTAGCTCAAGGTTTGTGCGAAGAGATAGATGACAAATTTCGTCAAATAACGCTATTGAAGGGTTTTAAATGTCACCCCCAGTACTCTGTGTACTGAGCCTGGCTTCATGTGTCTCATATGGCTGTTAGAAGCAGCTTTCCAGCCAGCTGTGTGTCTCCAGGTGCTCCCTTTGGTTGCCATGGTGACGATAGATGCTTAACAACAGCAGGAGAAAGGAGGCTTGAGGCTGAGAACGTAATGCCCAAACAACGTCATATTTCTCATCCTCTGTAACTGCTATCTTCATGATAATGAGCTTGTGAGAACCACAAGGCCCGGCTGAACACGTTGATACAACTTGTTCGTTTGTGGAGCCAAAAATGCCTTCGCTACGACAAGTTAAAAACATGTCCAGTTTGTGTTTCCTCTGAAAATCCTCCTCTCAGGTTTACATTGGAGTCAATGGAGAAAGCTGGAGAAATCTGGGGGATGTCTGCGGCAGTTGGTGTCTGCCCAGGCCAATGTGTGTGTCCTATGGCCTTGATTTTTTAGATGAAGAGTGACAGCGAGTTTTGCCATCACTGTACCAAATTTTATCTGTGTAGAGCGAAGTGAGTTGCCACAATCCTTTTGTAAAGACAAAGTTTTGAGGATCGATTTTCAGCCTGTCTCACTCTAGCTGTGAGGTGACCCACTCTAGCTGCCAACATTCCGTGCAATACACACTAATGTTAAAACCTGAACAGGTTAGAAAATCTTTGGACTTTTTGAACTGTCACTGTGAGAAAAGTATGAATGCCATGAAGATGGTGAATGAATGAGTGAATGTCTGAAGATGTGTGAATATTTTAAAGTTTGAATGAAGTTTCTAGGTGAAAGTATGAATGAATGAGAAGAGGTTGAAGTTGACTACGTCTGAAGCCCTTTTCCCATTGACTGCCATTATAACGAAGTTTTAAACAAATCTTAATATTTTGAAAAGTACAAATGGGATTAAAAATGTTGAAGATGTGGAATAATGCTGACGAATTTGTGAATATTTTGGTTTTTGAATGAAGTTTCTACGTGGAAGTATAGAGGAGCTGAAGGCTTTTGAAGTTTGAAGCCAATTTGAACATTCCGTAATGCATTTCTAATGGGAGAAATCGGTCGGAAAACCTGGAATATCTCGGAAAGTATGAATGTTAGGAAATTTTTGAATACAAGCCGGAATCTCCTCAACGAGATGAATCTTTTGAAGTTTGAATGGTTTGAATACGTTGAAGTATGTGGAAGTAGTTGACTGCCAAAAAACGGCGGAATAATAATAATAATAACTAGAAAATGCAATTTCTGAAGAAATTGCGAGTGGGATTGCTTCAGTTGAAATTGCTATTGCTAAGCTGCTATTGCAAATCGCTGAATTTTAAAAATATGTGAAAGGTAAAAAGGTATGAAGAATCAGGAAGATTTGAATCAATTGGAATAAACTCAATTGAATGAATTGAATAACGCATGAATAATACTTGTAGTATGGGAAAGGCTTGAAGGATCAGAAAGGTTTGAATCAGTTTAAATGAGCTGAAATTTGTTTGAAAAAATTAAATAATGAATCAATAATGAAAATGATTTAAAACGGGAAAATTAAAATGATTTAAAATCTGGAAGTATGACAGGTATGAAAATTAAGGAAGGTTTGAATCAGTTAAAATGAGTTGGAATTAGTTTCAAGAATTTGATCATGCATGAATAGTGTAAATGATTAAAACAGGTAAAATTAAAATGATAATCTGGAAGTATGAGTGCTTTGAAGATTCAGAAAGGTTTGAATCCGTTTGAATGAGTTTCAATGAGTTTAAAGAATAACACAATGCATACTCAATGAGTGATTGAAAAATGGGGAAAATTCAAATTAATAAAAATCCTGATTAGACCCCATAATGTCCACAAGTCCCGGCTGAACAAGTTGATACAATTTCTGTGTTTGTGGAGCCAAAAATGCCTTCAGTGTTATCACTAGGACAAGTTACATGCCAAGTTTGTGTGTAGTCTGAAAATCCTCCGCAGGATTCAACCGACGTGTCTGTGCATTACATGACGGTGGGAAATTTTAATTCTCAAATCGTCATGTAGGAATCATCCATCGTTTATTTGCATAATATTTGCTCCTTACCGTTTTCACACACACACACACACACACACACACACACACACACACACACACACACACACACACACACACACACACACACACACACACACAGAAACATAAAAACCTCTCTCTGTCGAAATTCCGACTGTCCCTGAATGCACCTCGACTACCAACGGTGGACGTGACGCTATTTAATTACTTCTGACTCCTGACTTTGAGGTAAGCGGCTGCATCTCTTTCACTTCTCCCCCAAATAATGTTTAATTCGCCGGTTTAGCACACCGAGTTAGTGTTCAAACTCCCGGAAACTAATGTGATAAGTCTCATTAAGTTTTCACATTACAGAAAGCCGTAGCAAAGTCCGTGTGAGATTAATTACACCTGTTTCGCCAAAGCTAACTGTAATGAAACTTACAGCCACCGCAACTGATAACGGTCGACGACGATTAACAGAGAAAGTCGCAGTCTCTTCTCCCCTAAATATTAAAACCTGCCGTTTTATTCTCTCTCTCTCTGTGATGCTGTGGCATAATTGTGATATTGTTATAATAAAAGGGAAAAAATTAAACTGTCACGGTCTTAACATCAACCAACAGTCAGCTAACTGCTGGCTAATTAGAGTCCATGCTCCGTGACTCTAACCGTTAATATATTTTCATGGTTGTATCAACAATTAACTGTCAGCTCTGAGCAAATTCTCAGATTTCCATAACACGAACATCCTTAGCAAACACAGTTGCCTCCTTTGCTCTAATGTTAATGTCTACCTTACTTGTTGGTTAGTCACTTTAGCTGTTTAGTCAGCAATAGTGCTGACTTAGGCAAGTGAGCTTTTTAAGAGAGTGAAATGTCAATATCTGACATTAGTCAGCTCTTGGCTGTATAGACCATTTTATGAGCAGTCTTTTTGACATGAAATGATAATTAAAACCACCTGTAGGTAATAATGTGTCAAAGGTACAGGGTCTTAATTAATAAAACTGTAACACCTGTGTCAGCTTCACACCAGAATGGATGCTGTGTGATCTGGTTTGTTCAAATTATTAATAAAGAGAGAGTTCTTGTTTGTGGTGTGAACTGTGCAGGTGAAATGCATAATACATTGTACAGCTTAGAGCACACAAAATTTTTCCAGCCTTTTAGAGAGAGACAGAGACAGAAAAGATGACACTAACATGCTGTCTCCTCTTTTAGACGGAGAGAGGTTCCAGCGCTTGTTTGGTGAGTACCTGAAATTAAAATCTAAAATGAAATTGACAGCAGTTTATCACTTGAGTGTGGATGAAAACTTACCCACTCCCTGATATCACAAAATCCTTTTCTGAAGAGATCCCAACACATTCAATATAATATTATTCTTATGTAATCTTTTTTTTTTTTCTCAAATCCTCAAAGTTGCTCCAAAGTTCTCCAAAATACAATCAAATTGTGCTCATTTCACATAATTGTTACGCCTTTGGTTGAAGTCTGTCCTTTTGAATTAATGCCATATTCAGTTTTGTGTCCCGCATAAAATTGTAGACTTTTAAGGTTGTTCATTTGGGTATAAAATTTACTCTGTGTGTGAGTGCTTCTTGCCCAAGGGCACAGAAGGTCCTCAAGCATGCACTGCAAGAAGAATTCTGATACCAAGAGGATTTCTTTGAGAGAGAGAGAACCAGCTGCTTTGTCAAACTTGTACTGCTGTAATATCATAGTAACTTCACCTGATTATTAATGTGTACTTTTGAACTGAACCAAGCACCACACACTCTTTACCTTGAAATAAGAGATGCAGGGACCAGTTACTATCCCATCATGTTTGATATCATATGAGCATGGACTTAGGCTTCAAAAATGTCACATAGCTGACCACAGCTAAACGTAGTTTATTGTAACTCTCATATGGTATAATTTTGTTAAAGGTAATGATGTTTTTTTCTCTTTTGTGTGTTATACTGTGCAGAAGAAGAAGAGTTCCGGTGTCCAGGTTCCAGTGGATTGTCCTGTTTTTCCCTCCCCTGCCCCCTACCCCTCTATCCTCCTGCCTGCTCTGTCTATTGTCCCTGCCTTCTTTCTCTACCTAAGTTTCCTTTTCAAGGTAGGAAACAATCCGCCTTGATACATCCATCCTGCTCTGTCTATTTTCTCAGCCTTTTTTCTCTCTCCCTAAGTCTCTCCACAAGGTTGGAAACCATCCGCCTTGAATAATCAAATACTCATCCTTGAAATACTTGCTTTGTTGGTGCTACCACGCATCCCTGAAAAAACTCACTTGGTTGGTGCTTCAGTGCATATTTGACAAAAATCTACTACTACTACTACGACTACTGGTACTGCTACTACCACTACAGTTATTACTTGTACCACTACTACTATTGCTACTACCACTACAACTGCTGCTACTACCACCACTACTACTGCTACTACCATTATTACTTCTACCACTACTACTCTTGTTACTACCACTACAACTACTGCTACTACTACTACTACTACTGCTACTAGCACAACTACTACTACCTCTACCAGTACTACTACAACTACGACCAATTACCTCCAGGAACAATGCCACGCAAAGGAAAGAGATCCCAAGCCAAAAAGCTACACTGGCAGAAATTTCCTGAGTCCCGAGTACCTAAACGAGGGGTGGTGAGTCCTCATCCTTACAACAGCGGACAGGTAAATACCCCTGATTTTTCTAATGCTAATGTCACATGTGTGTTGGCTTCCCGCAGTCAGGGGCATGATACATACGCTGATTCAAAGAACAGTCAATGCTCCTGCAACTGTGCTACTTTCCTGGCCTTTCTGCATGAGTTAGGACAACTCCACACTGCTGATCTTGATCTCATTTTGGACAAAGGCCATGCAATGTATGCTCTAACTCTCGGTCAGTTGGATGTTGATGGTCAAAAAGTTGATAGATTCTTAAATATAGATGAACTTCCATCAATCGTTGTTGGTGACAGACAACAGCACATAATGACAAAGTGTCAGTCAGTCAGTGGCGTCTTTACAGCTCCTACCTTGCTAAACAACAACCTTGCAGATGTACTTCAGTGCTTGTCCGCAGAGGTGAACTACGCATTTTTGATAATGAGTTCAATGTACATTGCTGTTTTCCGAGACCAACGCGGGCAGTATGGCTATTTTGACCCACACTCTCGACAGCCTGATGGTTTACCCTCTGGCTTTGGTTTTGGCACAGCTGTCGTCTTTATTTTCACACATTTAAATGATCTGATCACAAAGCTTGTGACATTGTTCTGTGCAGTGGGCTCTGGTCCAAATGCTTATTTTGAGCTGACACCTGTACAATTTCAGACTGTGGATGAGCTCTCAGGGGGAGAAAATTTGCCACATGTAGAGTCTAATGCAGATGTTGTTCCAATAGAGGGGCAGCAAGAACTTCACATGTCCAGTCTACCTCAGGCTGAATCTGAGATAACTGCCCCAATAAAATCTAACAGTCAAACTATGCCAGATCTTTCTAAACGTAATAATCAGGAAAGGAGGAAACTGAAAAGAAGAGTTCTAAAGGGAAAGACAAAAGTTGCAATTGACAAAAATTCAAAAGAGCGTGAACGATATGCCAAAGACAAATCGTACCAGCAATGTAAAAGGTTGCGTATAGTAAAGCTGTACAGACAAGATCTAGAGTTTAAACGGAGACAAAGGTCTTACATCAACCACCGATACACAAATGATGCACAGTTTAAACAGAGACAAAGGTCTTACATCAACCGCCGATACACAGATGATGCAGAGTTTAAACAGAGACAAAGGTCTTACATCAACCGCCGATACACAGATGATGCAGAGTTTAAACAGAGACAAAGGTCTTACATCAACCGCCGATACACAGATGATGCAGAGTTTAAACAGAGACAAAGATCTTATATCAACCGCCGATACACGCATAATGCAGAGTTTAAATGGAGACAAATGTTGTACATAAGAAACCGCTATTGCCAGGACTTTGCATTTAGATCCAAACAAAAACTGTATATCACAAAGCGTTACGCAAATGATCTCGCATTCAGAGCGAAGCACAAACAAACTATGAGACAGCTAATGAGAGACAAATACAGAAACAACCTTGTAATCAGATTAACCAACAGCATGCGTTGTGCAATTAAGATTAGACAAAAATACAGACGTTTAAACAGAAAGCAAATCGACATGGATGACAGTCAGATTAAAGAAGCCATAGAGATTTTTAGATCACACATAAAAAATGGACCCACATATGTCTGCACAGTTTGTCACAGAGCACTGTTTCCAAATCAAGTGCGACCCTGCAATCGGTCAAAATATGACAAAGAGCCGCGTGTTGTTGCAGCTTGCCTCACTGGTACATATGTTCATGTCTGCAGTGATGAATGCGAAAATCTACAACAGTGCACCGTACCAGAGGAGCGAAAGAGAGAGTGGATTTGTTACACATGCCATGATCACCTTAAGGCTGGTGGGATGCCACCCCTCGCCATGGCTAATAATTTACAGCTTGCTGATATTCCAGATGAACTGTGTGATTTGAACATTTTGGAACGTCATCTTGTGGCTAAAAGCATACCGTTTGCTAAAATTATTCCACTGCCCAAAGGTCAACAAAGAGCTATCCGTGGAAATGTTGTGTGTGTTCCGTCTGAAGTACAAGAAACTGTGAATGCTTTGCCTAGACTGAGGAGTGAATCTCAGGTCATGAGAGTGAAGCTGAAGAGACGACTGTGCTACAAAGGTCATCAGCTGTTCCAAACTGTGACCTGGCCAAAACTTGTGAGAGCTCTGCTCAAACTGAAAGAAATCCATCCCCAGTACAAAGACATAACAATCAGGGATGAAGCTGAGTCATGTGACCCAACTCTTCCTGATGATGAAGACACTGAGACTGATGAGGATGACAGAATGGATGATGATGATTACGATGAGGAAGATTTGATGGAGATTGACCGTATTGAGAAAAATGCACTCTGTGAGGCAGGAAGCATTCCTGAAAACAACAAACAAGATATGGACAATCGGTCAGGTAATGATGGCTGTGAGCCAGAGAAACAGTCTGATAACATGGAGGGTGATGAACCGAACGGTGGTGTTGTCCTTGAATCATGTCTGCAGCCAAGTGATGTGTCGGAGGAGATTTTGAGTTTTAGTGAGGGAATCTACTCTGTTGCCCCCGCTGAAGGAAAAAAACCGTCGAGCTTTTTCAGAACACCCAAACTTGAGGCGATGGCTTTCCCAGTTCAGTTTCCCACTGGCGAAAATACACTGGATGATCACAGGCCAATGAAATTAACACCCTGCAGTTATTTCAAAACGAGGCTTTGCTGTGTCGATGGCCGTTTCGCTAAAGATACTAACTACTTGTTCTTTGCTCAGTTTGTGACAGAAATACATACGGCCACTTCCAGCATGAGAATACAGTTGCGTAAAGGCAAACCTTTGACTCGAGATGGCCGCAAAATCACCAATGCCATGTTGCAAAACAAACGAGAAGTTGAAAGGCTAGTGCGGAACAAAGATGCAATAAGATTCATGACACCGCTGAGAGGCACCCCGGCGTATTGGCAGAAAACAACCAAAGACTTGTTTGCGATGATTCGGGCTTTAGGCTCGCCACAATTCTTCTTAACTTTCAGTGCCGCAGAAATGCGTTGGAAATGGGTTATCACAGCAATTAAAGCCCAGCAAGGTGAACACGTGAATTTTGAAGAGCTGGATTGGTCCTCCAAGTGTGAGATTTTGCGAAGTAATCCTGTCACCACAATGCGCATGTTTGACAAACGTGTCGAGGCACTGTTCAGAGATCTGATCCTGTCCCCCGCACAACCTATCGGCAAAGTCGTTGACTACTTTTACCGGCTCGAGTTTCAGCACAGAGGAAGCCCACACATTCACGGTATGGTATGGGTGGCAGGCGCACCTGTGTTTGAAGAATGCTCTGATGAGGAGGTGTGTAAGTTTGTGGCCAGATTCATCAAAGCTGAGCTGCCCGATGAAAACAAGGACCCAGAACTGTACAAAATAGTCACAGAAGTTCAGATGCACAGCAAAAACCACTCCAAGACATGTGTGAAATACAGTGGTGCAAACTGTCGTTTCGGATTTCCCAAACAACCTGTCCCAAAAACCACAATAATCAGACCGGGGGCAATTGTGGATGAAGCAACAGACCTGGCATTGACAGAAAAGCTTGCAACACTTAACAGACTTCTTCATGAACCTACTACTGCATCGCTCAGCTTTGAACAGCTTTTGGCAAAATGTGAGTTCACCAAAGAAGAATACCACAGGTGTTTGCAGAGCAAAACCAACGGCAGTCAAGTGATGCTGAAGCGTGGTCCCAAAGATGTTTGGGTAAATGGCTACAACCCCTACCTTCTGAAAGCCTGGAATGCCAACATGGATATCCAATTCATTCTCAACCCCTACTCCTGTATCATGTACATGTGCAGCTACATCAGCAAGGCGGAACATGGTCTGAGTGAATATCTCAAAACGGTGATACAAAACTCACGTCAGGAAGATGTCAACGAAAGCGATGAAATGAAACAAATAATGCAAGCCTACTCCAAAAAAAGAGAGGTAAGCGCTCAGGAGTGTGTGGCTCGTGCATGCGGTCTACACATGAAGCAGTGTTCACGCAGCGTGGTGTTTGTGCAGACGGATGACAACGCACTGAAAATGAGTTACCCCTTGTCACACCTGGACAACAAACCTTCAGAATCGGAACATGTGTGGATGACGGGGTTACCTGATAAGTATGTATGCAGACCAGAAACACCAGAGTTTGAGGCAATGTGCTTGGCGGATTTTGCATCGAGCTGCAGAATAGTCTACGGCAAGCAGACAAAAGGCAAAAACACTCATCGCCTGCTGAATGAGATGGGGTTTGTCCAGAAGAGAGCGAATGATGAAAAACATGCTGTCATCAAATATCGACCCATTTCCCTTGAGAAAGATCCAGAGCTGTATTATGGCACATTGCTTAAACTGTACGTGCCTTATCGCTCAGAAAACCAGCTGAAATCCATCCACTTCCCAACTTACCAGTCCGTCCATGACCATGCAGCTGTTTGGTTACCTGGATCACAGCATCCCGAGCGCGTGAAGGCAATTGTGAAACGCAACAGAGAAAAACATGAGAAACACCGTGAGGACATTGACAGTGCCATTCAAGAGTTTGAAGAAAGGGGAATGTTGCTAAATGAATGGGGCAACCTGGCGCCTGAGAGTGAGCTGGAACGGCTCGAGTGTTTAGATGAACTTAATGAAAGAGAAGCTGATGAAGACGTGCAGGAGAATGTTCCAGACTACAATGTGAGGTCAGATGTGAGGCGAGAATCTGCAGTCACGATCGAAGCCCCAGAGATTGATCCTGCGTTGCTGCGTGAGATGTATCAGAACTTGAACCAAATGCAAGCTTCAGTTTTCCACACCATTCGGGACTGGTGCTTGAAATGTGTTTGTGGTTCAAAACCCGAGCAGTTCTTCTTGTACATTAATGGTGGCGCCGGAACAGGTAAGTCTCACCTAATCAAATGCATCCATGCAGAGGCATCTAAAATACTCAGAAGACTTCCAAGAAATGCAGAGGAAGCAGACATCTCTAAACCTACCGTTCTCTTGACTGCATTCACTGGTACTGCAGCATTCAACATTTCAGGTACAACATTGCATTGTCTCTTGAAGCTGCCCAGAAGTCTCAAACCTCCTTTCCAAGGTCTTGGTAACAAACTTGACGAAGTCAGGGCAGAGCTTTCAAATGCAGAGATACTCATTATTGATGAAGTCTCCATGGTCTCCAAACAGCTCTTTGCCTATGTGGACGCAAGACTGAAACAAATCAAAGGAAGTCAGAGACCTTTTGGTGGAATGTCAGTTCTCACTGTTGGAGATTTCTACCAGCTACCACCTGTCAGACAGTCGAAACCTCTGTGTGTGTTCGACCCGACTCAGATCGACCTCTGGCGTGACAACTTTCAGATGGTCACACTGACCGAAATCATGCGTCAGAAAGATGATGTTGCTTTTGCTGAGACGCTGAATCGAATCCGTGCCAAAGAAAAGACAGTGTCTTTGTCTCATGAAGACAGAGTTCTACTTTCACAGGCCTTAGCTGACCCGGCTCAATGTCCAAAAGACGTACTGCATGTTTATGCAACAAATAAACAGGTTGAGGAACACAACTCAAAAACACTGGACATGTTTCACTCTGATGTCACCACAATAGATGCGGACGACTACAAAAAAGATCCAAGCACCGGGAGAATGACGAGACAAAGTGTACCTTTCCAAGGAAACAAAAAAGAGTTGCCTGACTCGATAAAAGTGGCCATCGGCGCTAATGTCATGATCACCAGAAATATAAGTGTGAAGTCAGGTCTCTGCAACGGAACATTTGCACGCATTGCAAAAATTGTGACTAAAGAAGGAAATCTGCATGTTGAAAAACTCGGACTTAAACTGAACGGTCAAAGTGCAGCAGCCAGCGAAGCAGATGCGGATGAAAATATCGTGTACATTGACAGAGACGAGGAGAATCTGAAACAGACAGGAGTTGTCCGAAGACAGTTTCCCATCAAGCTCGCTTTTGCATGTACAATACACAAAGTTCAAGGGATGACAACGTCCTCGGCCGTGGTCTCACTGAAACACATCTTTGAACCCGGCATGGCCTACGTTGCTCTGAGCAGAGTGACCTCTCTGAGTGGACTCCACATTCTAGACATGGATGAGAGGAAAATCTATTGCAACCCTGAAATCACCGTAGCCCTTGAAAACATGTCTAAAGCTTCACTTGAACATGTCATGCCTCTCCTCAAGATCCCAGAGACATTGAACAGGCCAGACACTCTCACTGTCATTCATCACAACACAGAAGGACTACCAGCTCATATCACCGACATCAAAAGTCACCATGAACTACATCTTGCAGACGTGCTCTGTCTCACTGAAACTCATCTGCGAGGATCCTTTGTTGCTGAGAGTCTCCATCTTGAAGGCTACAACATGTTCAAACGTAACAGAAACGTGTCTTATTCAAACCATCCTGCCATGGCCAGTAAAAACGGTGGCGGAGTTGCCATCTATGTGAAAGAACACATCAGAGTCCTTGAGAGACATTTCATTCAAAATGCCACTGATATTGAGTTCAGTGTCATCAAACTTGAAGCTCCTTTCAGGGCTCTAATTGCTGCCATTTACAGGCCTCCTGACTACGAAGTTCACTCATTCATATCCAACCTCAGAAGTCTCTTGGATTCACTTGAAGTCATGGATCATCATCCCATCTTAGTCTGTGGAGATTTTAATGAAGATTTGCTGTCCGGAGCAAGGAAGCCCATTCTTGAACTGTTTCAGTCGAAAGGTTATGAACAACTCATAACTGCTGCAACCACAGAGAAGAACACGCTGCTTGACCCCATTTTCATCTCTTGCCCACAGTCCTGTATCCATTCTGGCGTGCTGCGGACATACTACAGTTACCACCATCCTGTCTACTGCGTGCTCACTTTAGAAAAACCCTAAAGAGAACTGGCTGGTTTAAAATCGAGAACTTGGTGCAAAGTTAAGGGAAAAAAAATTATTGCGTCCATTACTGTCGGTTTACACGTTGCGATTTAAGAGAAGAGTTTTAATTATTGGTTTCCTAATCGATCACCTAACGAAACGTTGTAAAAATAGTATATTTTAAGATGGGGGGGGTCGTCCTCAGCAGCCAGGCTGTAACACCTGCTCTGGCTGCTCTAGCTTTTAAATGGCTGGGAGGGAGGGATGGTCAGACGACCCTCCTATACCAAAGAAAAACATACCTGCAAATACTTTCTAGTCACTGTACAATGTGAGATTAAAGACAATATATAAAACTTTAATACATTTCTGAAAAATACAGTGAAGTAAAATGATGCAAAGGTCAGAACATTATTAGTAGCATTTAAAAAAAAAAAAATTAAAATATACAGTGAGACAAATTAAAAACAAGCTAATTTAAAAGAAATAAAAACTGCCACTGAAACTATTATGAACTAATGAAATATTATAAACAAATTATATTTTAAGATGAGGGGGTCGTCCTTAGCAGCCAGGTTGTAACACCTGCTCTGGCTGCTATAGCTTTTAAAAGGCTGGGAGGGAGGGATGGACCGACGACCCCCTCCTATACCAAATTATATGAAATACATTTCTGCAAGTCGTTACTTTACGCTGTATTAGAGTTGCCCATTATGTCCTGCCATTTACTTTGAGTAGTGGCAGGAAGGTCTGAGGATGCATTACTGCTCCTCATTTCTCTTGAATGACTTGGTGTGGGCGTAAGGTAAGAACAATATTGATCTTTCATATATACTAGCTGCAGGACTGCTCCATTTTAAATGTGAAAATACACGTTGTTTTACTGGATTTGTTTGTCTGAATCTCTCTGTTCATTTTTTTGGGTTTAGGCACCTGTTCCCTTTAGACACCAAAGATGTGGGGTGATGACACTAGAACTCCAGCTCTGTGCTCAGTGTGTCCCAAGGGCCTACCTTGGAGAGGGGAAGACACATTTCATCCTAAGAGAGCATCAGGTCAGCCTATGATTTTGATATCAAGACATTTGCACTCTGAGTTTGTTGCCTTTTACTGTTTGTGTTTGTTTCTGGTGGTCTACCAAAGGAGATAAGGATGAGCCTCTCTCAAAAGAACATCAATTGGTGAACCCTCTGTCTGACACTTGGTTGTATTCACGCCTTCCTGGGCTGAGAAGTTCGTCACCAAGTCTTTCACAGCCGTGTAAATTAACGGGTAGGAGCTGCAGGTGCCACAGTGAGAAGACACAATTTTACCTGTAAATCCCCTGGACATGTGCATGGTGAGTGACAGTACAGTTTATTCCTTTTAATCTAAGGCTACCAATAATTTCTCAATGATGCACCATGGCATTTTGAAGTTCTTTTTCTGTCACAATGTCACAGTGGCAGCAGAACACTGGCAGAGCAGCGCCTGAGCAACAGTTCCAGAGTACTGCAGCTAGACAGCTGTGTCTGTCAACTTGAAGAGGGCCCACACACATTGTAAGTTGACTTAAATGTTGTTACAATGTCTGTTTTCTGGTGTATTTAAATCAATCTGTAAGATTTCATCTGGTTTTTCTCTCTCCTCTTCAGTGCTACAGAGAGAGGTGAAGTTGGACATGCCACGTATGCAACACTATCCTGAGAAGAGGTGCCGCCACTGATCATGAACAGGACTCAAGCATGTTGTGAGTGGACTGAACAGTTTATTGATCAGGAAAAGTTTTGTGACATTTGCTAGAAAAGTTTGAAGGTAATGATAATAAACGTAAAGTTTTATTCGCCAGTGCTGTTCAGGAAACCAAACCCTCTCCAAGTGTGACCGATTAGCAGAGAGAACTTCTGATCCAGGATTTGACAAGTTGTTGCTCACACAATGCTGGACCATTAACGTATGTATTTGTCTTCAGCAGTCACATCATTTGCTGGTGTTCTCTGATGTGACAACCTTCTCTCCTCTCTGTACATCACAGAAGTCGACATGAGCTGAAGAGCTCGAAAAGTCCTGCTGATCTTCACTGTGGCTTCCTAGAACCTAGCTCCGAGTCTACAGCAGAGAAGGGTTCTGACCTGGGGAGCAACAGCTCTTAACTTCACCAAGTATGTTTCATCTTCAAAATCTTTGACTTTTCCACACTACAACCAGCTATGTAGGATTGGAGTTTGTCATCTGTAACACTAGTATAACTGTTGTCTTTCCTCTCAGCTCATCACAGAACCAGCTCGACTTGAGCCACAGAGCCAAACCCAGCAACCAGCGACCCTGGAGCCATGTGATCTCTGCTGAGCTTAAAACTAAAATACTGCATGCTCAGTCGTCCTGGTAGGGGATCCCTCTAAGACCTGGCCTACCTAAAGGTTTCTTCCTCTTATCCTGAGAAAGCTTTTTTGGGGGAGTTTTTCCTGACATGCTTGGAGGGTCGAAAGGCTGATGGTGCCATATACCCCAGATTTTTTTTCTGATCCAATGTCAATAAAGAAACAAACTGAAATTCTGGAGTTTTAATTTACTCATATGAAAGAATGAATGAATGACACATGCTTACAATCACAACAATTTAAATGTGTGAAATATGAAAGTTTGAGTCTGTTTAAATGAATAGAAAATTGTACGAAGGAGCAGTATGAGGCATGAATGGTCAGAAGGATTTATATTGTGGAAAACTAAAAGCTGAAGCCACTGCCTCATTGAAAATTAGGTCTGAAACTAGGCAAGTATGAATGTGGTGAAACAGTTGATGTCAGAATTTATGTAGAATGAGACATACATAGTGAGAATCATCTGAGAATTTGAGCTTTTAAAACGACACTAAGAAATTGTAATCGGTCCCTGGTGCTGTACTTTTGTGCGTCTCAAAAAAAACAAGCTTTCATGTGTAGGACCCAGCCACAAAAACTTCACAGAGCAGGAAAGGGGTGAAAAGCAGCTTCCCAGCCAGCTGTGTGTCTCCAGGTGCTCTACTCAGTTGCCATGCTGAAGGTAAATAAATTGAAGGAAGGCTTAATGAAGAGGAAACAGCTGTCAAATTGAAAAAGTTTTCAAGTGTGGAAAAATAAAATAATGAAAATGAGAAAGATTTGAAGTATCAGGAAGGTTTGAATCCATTTAAATGAATTAAAATTTGTTTGAAGAATTGAATAATGCATGAATAATGAGAATGATTTTAAAGTGGGGAACATTTTAATAGATAAAAATTAAAATGGAGCTGAATTTTTGGAGCAATATTGACGTGTAAAAATTAAAATGATTAAAAACCCTGAAGTATAGGAAAGGCTCGGAGAATCAGAAAGGTTTGAATCAGTTTTAATGAGTTGGAATTTGTTTTGAAGAACTGATGAATGCATGAATAGTGAAAATGATTTAAACAGGGAAAACAAAAATGATTATAATCTGGAAATATGAGAGGTTTTAAGAATCAGAAAGGTTTGAACCAGTTTGAATGAGTTTAAATTTCTTTGAAGAAGAATTGAATAAAGCATGAATATAAAGAATGATTTAAAAGTGGGGAACATTAAATAGATACAAATCTTTAATACATCCCATAATGTGCTAATTGAGCTGAATTTCTGGAGCCCTGGATGGTTTCTGTAGCTCAAAGTTTATGGGAGGACATAGATGCACATTTTTGTCAGGTGTTCTGGTGAAGGGTTTTAAATGTAACCCCCAGTACTCTGTGTACTGAGCCTGGCTTCATGTGTCTCATATGGCTGTTAGAAGCAGCTTTCCAGCCAGCTGTGTGTCTCCAGGTGCTCTTATTGGTTGCCATGGTGACGATAGATGCTTAACAACAGCAGGAGAAAGGAGGCTTGAGGCTGAGAACGTAATGCCCAAACAACGTCATATTTCTCATCCTCTGTAACTGCTATCTTCATTATCACTATCTTGTGACAACCACAAGACACGGCTGAACATGTTGATACAACTTCTGTGTCTGTGGAGCCAAAAATGCCTTCACTACGACAAGTTAAAAACATGTCCAGTTTGTGTTTCCTCTGAAAATCCTCCTCTCAGGTTTATATTGGAGTCAATGGAGAAAGCTGGAGAAATGTTGGGGATGTCTGCGGCAGTTGGTGTCTGCCCAGGCCACTGTGTGTGTCCTATGGCTTTGATTTTTTAGATGAAGAGTGACAGCTAGTTTTGCCATCACTGTACCAAATTTTATCTGTGTAGAGCGAAGTGAGTTGCCACAATCCTTTTGTAAAGACAAAGTTTTGAGGATCAATTTTCAGCCCCTCTCACTCTAGCTGTGAGGTCACCCACTCTAGCGGCCAACATTCTGTGCAATACACACTAATGTTAAAACCTGAAGAGGTCAGAAAATCCTGTGACTGTTTGAACTGTCACTGTGAGAAAAATATGAATGCCATGAAGATGGTGAATGAATGAGTGAATGTCTGAAGATGTGTGAATATTTTGAAGTTTGAATGAAGTTTCTAGGTGAAAGTATGAATGAATGAGAAGAGGTTGAAGTTGAGTACATCTGAAAGCCTTTTCCCATTGAATCCCATTATAACGAAGTTTTAAACAAATCTTAATATTTTGAAAAGTACAAATGGGATTAAAAATGTTGAAGATGTGGAATAATGCTGACGAATTTGTGAATATTTTGGTTTTTGAATGAAGTTTCTACGTGGAAGTATAGAGGAGTTGAAGGCTTTTGAAGTTGTGTGAAGAAAATGTGAGAAAAGGGCCAATTTGAACATTCCGTAATGCATTTCTAATGGGAGAAATCGGTCGGAAAACCTGGAATATCTCGGAAAGCATGAATGTTAGGAAATTTTTGAATACAAGCCGGAATCTCCTCAATGAGATGAATCTTTTGAAGTTTGAATGGTTTGAATACGTTGAAGTATGTGGAAGTAGTTGACTGCCAAAAAACGGCGGAATAATAATAATAATAATAACTAGAAAATGCAATTTCTGAAGAAATTGCGAGTGGGATTGCTTCAGTTGAAATTGCTATTGCTACGCTGCTATTGCGAATGGCTGAATTTTGAAATTAAGTCAAGATAAGAAGGTATGAATTATCGGGAAGGTTTGAATAAATTTGAATGAACTGAATGACATAATTGAATAATGCATGAATAATAAAAATTTTCAATGTGTGGAAAATTGAAATGTTAAAAAATCCTTAAGTATAAAAATGGTTTGAAGAATCAGAAAGTTTGAATCAGTTCGAATGAGTTTGAATTTGTTTGAAGAAGGGAATGATGTATGAACAATAAAAAGCTATCTAAAACAGGGAAAAGGAATATAATTGAAAATCTTAAAGGGTTGGAAAGGTTTGAAGTATCACAAAGGTCTGAATTTGTTTGGATGAATTTAAATTTTTTGAAGAATTGAATAATGCATGAATGGCCATGAGGTCTGACATCCTTTCAGCCGCGAACGAGCGCCCTGTCCCAGCACTTTACATGGCGCTGTCCATGGTGCTGAAGGTGACAGCGGGTGAGCAGGTAAGTATCAGCAGGCCTCGGGTAAGTATTAAGTCAGTAATTAGTAAGTATTGAACACTTGTCATTTTTTGGAGCAGGTTGTGGCGTTTGCTTGTACTCCCCGTATTGCTCCTGCTTAGGCAGAACATGTACAGAGGTGCAGCACACACGTCTCCTCCCCTGCTTCACCAGCCAGGTAGCACAGAAATTAATGGAGTGTATTGTTTACCTCCCTGTGCCTCAGTTACCAAGCTTTAGATTGCACCAATTTGTCTTTGTTGTGAAATAGTCTGTCTCGTACAGCACCAGACATATTGGCCTAAAATAGCCGACTGCCCCCCTTAAAAAATTTATTATTTTGTGTGTTATCATTGAACTTAAAGTCTTCACCGAAACATATAAAACCTATTGTAATTCAAATTCAGCTATGCAACTATTTCCCGACAACTGTACAGACTTTTCTGGTTAACTATTTAATCCTGCTTTGCAAAATGGTCACCTGGTTAAAAACTGCAGCACCAGCAAATTATTCCTGTTTCCTCAACAGAGCTGTTCTGCTCTGGACACCTGGTTTCTGTTTCTTAACACATGGTCATATGTTAAGATATTCATATTGTGTGAGAAAACTGGTAATGTTTATGTCAATTTACCTGAGCCTTGGGATTGTATTCAGGCCAGAGGCATTTTGAAAAACAAAATGCCATTGTTGAGACTTGAGTCAGTTTATGACATGAAAATGGAAACAAGCAACAACAGAATCTATATCGTATAACATTTTTTAATAACTGATTTAAATATTTTCACATAAGTAACATTTGAAAAGACACTGAACAAATTAGAAAACATTGAAACTGATTGGCATTTCATTGGCATTTTGGTCAGCCAATCTGGATAAATCAATAGCATTTTAGATTTTGAACAAATCAAAAACAAATCAAAAACCACTGAACCGATCAAAAACATTAAAACTGATTGAAGTGATTTTTTTTAACACTGAACAAATTGTAAACATTCAAACTGATTGAAGTGATTTTTTTGAGCAATGAACAAATAAATAAACATTCAAAATGATGGAAACGATTTTTTTTAACACTGAACAAATTAAACATTTAAACTGATTTAAGAGATTTTTGTGGGTAAATTATGTGATTGAAGAACAACTATTTACAAAGAGATTAAATAAATACACCTATAAAATTTCTACCACATCTCCCTCCTCAAAAACAATGACAATGCTCGCTGGCATTTTTTCAATGGCATCAGGGAATTTTTCGTCCCACATCCAGCGTGGGACAATCCACTCGACGAAGTTGTCGTCGAGGATCTCAACAGTCTCATCTTTCTCGCTGAAGGAGAAACCCGTCACGGCAATGTGGACGTGTTTGCTCACCATCTGTTGAGGAGAAATATTTTACACAGTGCACACCACCATTTTTGGTCCAGAGTACAGGTTCACTTTTTCTTCTCAGAGTTCTGATTCTTGTTTTCCGCAGTGACACAACCATTGTCCAAACAAATGAAGAAATAACTACATCACCTCCTCAGGGGGAGGAGAAAAGTTAAAAAAAAAATTCAGGAATCAATTTTGCAGGCTCATTTTTGCCAATGAAACAAATTCTAATGCCCAAGCAGTTGGTGGTGGTGATGGGGGACAGGTGGATGACATAGAACAATCTGATCTGATTAGAAGCAAAAGACTCATCATAAAGGAGACAACAGTTCAGTGAATTACACAGTATGTACATCTTTGACTTACTTCAACATCTGTGAAATTTGTGGTGTGCAAGGAGAACCCATATTGCCCAGAGGTCCTGACTTTGAGGTGTGTGACTCGGCATGGTTTCCCCAGGCACAGTTCTGCCAGTATGGTCTCTCGCCAGAGGCACACTTTTACCTCTGCCTCCTTCTGTAATGATGAAACAGGCCTCATAAGAATCGCATTTACTCTCGTTGCCTAAATCTTCATTCTGCTTATATTTTACTGTCAGTTTTGTATTTAGACTTATTCTTTACCTCTTTGATCTTGATCTCAATCAGGGGGACGGGTGGGCCTCGCTGGCCAGTAACCTTCGTGACTTTGTTGAGCTGAACACAAAGATACACACATTTTAATACATTCGGATATAGTGTGCTACAAGTCATTGGTTTTAGAAGCCTTTTTAATCGAGGAGACCAGGCGACATTAACTATACAAAAACAGATCTCTGGATAGGACAGACCCCAGAGAGGTTTTGATACCCTTAACTGATTATTAATGTACTGTTGTGTACAGCATTAAAGAGGGGGTGTCATGCATTTTGACAGACTCTGAACTCCTTCTCTGATACCTCTTGTATAGCTTTACATAATTTTCAGATCAAAATAGGCCTCAAATTTCTCACAGTGGTGTATTAACATATCATTGTACTTCTGAATTTTAGTAAATCTCGCACATACACCACAATCTTGCATATTCACTTGTCTGAGATTTGAGCTGTTAACGTCTTTTTTCTGAGAGTATGACAACACACGTTGACATTGTGATTTGAAACTTTGCATACAGAAAGTATTTGCACCAAACTTTGTAACTGTGCAGTTTTTGTTGTAAGTTTTGAAAAGCATGATACACCCCCCCCCCCCCAAAGGGTCACCATATCATCAGCAGTGTTAATAAGATGCTTACTTCTGTGATACAGCCTTCAACAGTTATGAGAGTGTCAGTCTCTCCTTCAATTTCATTGAGGTGTTTGAATGTGGATGGAGGGCACACCATGCATTTCCCTTCCTCCACAAGGTGGGCCGGGACATCAATTGGGGAGGTGTGATACACCGCAGTATCACGGCGGGACAACATACTGCGCGTCGCGCCATACTTTGACATGCCATAATTTTTAATGATGTAGCTCCCTCCCTCCTTGATTTTGGCTGCTATGTCCTCATATGCGGTGAATTTCACCACTGTAACACCATCAGTGATGGCAGCAGTGCAGTTGACATGCTTGACGAGAGGGTGAGCCTCCCCCTTGTCAAATAACCAGGTTGGCACTGAGGTCTTTTTGTGCAGGGCAACCACTTTCACTTTGAGCGGTGGGAAACTTTGGTGAGTTGGTGTGTCCTTGGAAAAAATTTTATGCAGAGACATCCTGAAAAAAAGAGAAAAACTGTGTCAATGGCCATCCAAATGCTCATTAGACATGTACAAGTAACTTGCATCAGAAATCACATTTAAATACATTTTTCCTGTTAAACTGAGCAGGGCTGAAGAATTGTACCCAGAAGAAATAATACAGACTGTAGTTACTATCCCCGATCAATAGCTGGCGGTAGTGCGGCGGCAAGCTATTTGCTGAGCGCAAATAGCAGCGGAAGAAAGTAAAGATACAAACATCCGGTCCAGGAGGAGTACACGCAAGCATGGCGGCCGGGGCCGGTGTTTTGTGAAACTCCGTGAGAGGATATATTTACAAACTATTCTAATGCGGGGACAGAGTTAAAACGTTCAGATGATTGCACGCTGCAGCTAACGATCGAATAACATAGGCCTCTTACAGAGTGTGAACCGACTGGTGTTAACGTAGTTTTGTACTAGACCCGTTGCTGCTAGTAGCATAACCGTTATCGGCTAACTTTAGCATTATCTATAGATACAGAATCGCATTAGCTGTAGATATCGTTTCATAACGTTATTGTGGTAACGCAGTTGACCACAATAACATTATTGATGCAGATATAATTGTAACGGTATTCATAATAGTTATTGTGCTCACGCTGTTGACTTAGGCGGTGAGACCCACGGAGGGTCTATAATGTAAGGGTAATTGAAACACCCTTACACCCTCAACGGCCATAAACGGTCGGCCGTTGAGGGTCTCTCGCGGCCGGCCGTTGTCATCTATACAGGCCGCAGTTTTAACACCCGTAAGTCATTACAGTTACTCAATATTCCGTTAAATTGAATGTGACAGATGCATTCAGAGATGAAGATTCGCTATTATGGTCAAAATAAAATGAATTGTAACCTGGAAGTAAGACGCCATGAAACACTAATGGTTTTTAACTTTAATTCATGTTTACTTTAGTTGAAGCTACTGTTAAGTAGTTTAGACTTGCTGTAGTGAACGAAGTGACCGTTATCAGCCAACGGACATATCGGTTAACATTTAGGTAATTGAATCTGTAAGCATCGTTACTAGCAATTGTATGAAAAACAATAAAAAGTACAGAAAAAAAATGAGATAACGTTGGGCCAAATGCCTCTATGTCATTATCTGGCATTTGATAGTTCGGACAGCGCTTCTGAAGTAGCTACAAGTCAGCGGCTACAAGTCAGCTGTACATTTGCGTTATGGCCCGGATTTCCCCACACCAACATTGACATAGCGAAAACAAGACGGAGTTATATGAAGGAATTCGTGACAGAAACTGCTCAAAAATGTTAAATACCGGCGAGAAGTAGGTTACTCACCTGGCAGGTACGTAGTACTCTCAAAATAACCGAGTCTAGCAGTTGTTTCTCCGCTTCAAGTGGCTGGACGACCGCTGGACAACCGCTGGACTACCGCTGGACAACCTCAACGGCTGGCCTCGAGAGATCCTCAACGGCCGGCCGCGAGAGATCCTCAACGGCCGGCCGCGAGAGACCCTCAACGGCCGGCCGCGAGAGACCCCGGCCGTTGCGGGTCTCTCGCGGACGGCCGTTGAGGATCTCTCGCGGCCGGCCGTTGTCATCTATACAGGCCGCAGTTTTAACACCCGTAAGTCATTACAGTTACTCAATATTCCGTTAAATTGAATGTGACAGATGCATTCAGAGGTGAAGATTCGCTATTATGGTCAAAATAAAATGAATTGTAACCTGGAAGTGAGACGCCATGAAACACTAATGGTTTTTAACTTTAATTCATGTTTACTTTAGTACAGTCATCCACATTATTAAATTCATGACACCCACCATCAGTCTTTATGGCAGGTGCTGCTTAGAGAGAGTCATATTTTCCGTCCTGGTCAATATGACCCCTCTCAAAGCAGCACCTGCCATAAGAATCAGGTAAGTATGTTATTTATGGTACACACTTGAGCTGCATGACTGTTCAATTTAAATGTCTACAGCGATGTGTTTAGAGTGTTTCTCTGTTTATTGGTCTCTCCTTTGATGTCCTGAAACCTGACAATTTGGGTGGGCTGGGCACACCTTGAATTTATCTCCTCCTCAAGACAAGCTAGGGCATGGACAGGGGAGGTGTGATACATTGTGGTGTTGTGTTGAGACAACATTGACCACCTCCTATCAAACTTTTACATGCCACAATTTTTGTTTTATGTAGCTACATCCTTCTGTTGCTTTGTGTGCCAGGTTACTTATTTCCTATTCCTGTGAACTAAATTCATATTCTTCCAATATTGTTTTCCGATTCTCATCTTTCATCCCGTTAATATCCAGCAACATTCCTGCAACATGCCACTGAGCCTCTCAAGGCCTAAGCCTCAAGTCCGAGAAGGAGGTGCTGTTCTGAGGAGCAAAACAACTTGCATCTCCTCACCTTCTGAACACTGAACGGGTGAGTGTCCTTCTCCAGTCATCACACCAATTGTTTATATTTTGCTTTTGGTTAGCTGTGTCACCATTGTCACACCCCTGTCATCTCTCCCCTCTTCAGATCCAGCTCAGTGTGAGCCAAAGAACCAAGCGTTGGGAAAAGAGCAGGCATGTGAGCCCCGCCGTCATTGTGTGTATAAATGTATGTGTGTCTGTGTGTTTCAATGTAACATTACAGATAGATGGATAGATAGATATACTTTATTGATCCCAAACTGGGAAATTTTTTTAACAGAGAATTACTGGGTGTAATTTCAGAAAGAATTGTTCTTGCTGAATTTACTGTCACACTGATGAAGCTTCAGCTTGAGTTCAATCAGGAACACCGTAATCGCTGTCACAGATGCTCAAGTGTCTTTTCCACTCACACACCTACTCACTTTTCCTGTTGTCATCACTCAGAGTAGTCATTGGCAAATCAACCATTCACCACTGTCTTTCCTTATCCAATAGCATGGTAGCACACCCTCACAGTCAGCCTATCCCTGTTGTGCACTCATTTTAAAAATGAATTTCCTCTTTGCCTCTAGTTCTTTCTTGCCGCTGGTTTGTGTGCAGCAACCTCCACCTCCCCATCTCCACCCGATCCCAGCAGAATCAGCAGCGCCATGATTCACCCATTCGTTTCCGGCAGCCATCAGCCACCACCACAAGCTTCAGGACTCCGTTGGGGGATTTTCTTGCCGCCACAATGGCCCAATGCCGCCATTGGGCCAGAACGTTAAAAACTGTCTGTCACAAGCATTATTCTAGTAATTGTCAAATAAAGTTTCTAATTTTAAATGTCTCTCCTGGTTGAAGTATTGGTTATGGCTGACTGTTGAAGAAATTTTGAAATATCAGAAAGTTCTCATAAATTTTCAGAAGTTGAAATCTGTGTGAAGGAACTAAATGAGGCATGGTATATGAGCAGTTGTCAGTTCTTGGCGCAGGTAAAGGCACCTGCTTATCCACTCCACTCCCCCAGCCTAGGCTTAACGTGAAGAGTGAACACAAAGACGGGTAGCAGCAGCACTGCACAGCAGCATCATGCATGTCTCCTCCCCTGCCCCATAGGTGGTGTAACATACAAAACAAAAAAACATAGCATTTCATACAATATTGTGATGACCATGTTTTTTAGTAGACTACACGGTGAGAAATAAACCATTTGATTGACAAGTTAATGTCTGTAAAAAACAGACATTAACTTGTGTGCCTGTGCGTTACATTGCAATGGGAAATTGTACTTCTCAACTCAGAACACACACACGTACGTACGTAAAGAAACGTCCCTCTTTCGAAATTCCGAGTGTCCTTGAACGCACCTCGACTACAAACGGCTGAACGTGACAGCCCCAAAGATGGTGTAACATACAGAAAAAAAACAGCATTTCATACAATATTGTAACGACCATGTTTATTTAGTAGACTACATGGTAAGAAATAAACCATTTGTTTGATTAATGAGCCAGGGGTACCGAGACATCGGTTAAAACAGACATTAACTTGTGTGCCTGTGCGTTGCATTGCAGTGGGAAATTGTATTTCTCAACTCAGAACATACACACGTACGTACGTAAATAAACGTCCCTCGTTCGAAATTCCGAGTGTCACTGAACGCACCTCGACTACAAACGGCCGAACGTGACAGCCGTTTAATTACTTCTGACTCCGGACTTTGAGGTAAGCGGCAGCACCTGAACCACTGTTCCTCCATAAAATCTTGAATTCACCGGTTTAGCACATCGGATCAGTGTTTGAACTCCCGTGATAAATCTCATTAAGTTTACACATTACAGAAAGCCTTAGCAGAGTCTGTTTGAAATTAATTTGACCTGTTTCATCCAAGCTAACTAACGAAAGTTAGCAACTGACAACGGTGGATGACTTTAACTGAAATAGTCTCAATGTCTCTTGTCCCTTAAATATTAAACCCTGTCTGTTTTACTCTCTGTGGGATGCTGAGGCATTATTGTGATATTGTTGTAATAAAAGGCAAAAAAAAAAAAAAAGGGAGAACATTTGCATTGTAACGGTTTTAACAGCAACCAGCGGTTAGCTAACGGCTAGCTAATTAGCGTCGATGCTCTGTGGCTCTGGTTGTACCAGCAACTAGCTGTCAGCTCTTAGCAAATTCTCATATTTCCATAACACGAAAATCTTAAAAAGGCGCAATTGCCTCCTTTGCTCTAATGCTTGTGTCTACATTATCTGTTGGCTAGTCACTTTGGCTTTTTATCAGCAATGGTGCCAACTCAGGCAAGTGACCTTGGTTAAGTGAAATGTCTATAACTGACATTAGCCAGCTCATGCTTGTATAGACCTTTTTATGAGCAGCCTTTTTGAGATGAAATAATCATTAAAACCACCTGTAGGTAATAATGTGACACAGTTACAGGGTCTTAATTAATACTAAAAATTGTAACACCTGTGTTCATTTTACACCAGACCACACAGAATGGATGCTGTGTGGTCTGATCTGTTTAAATTACTAGTAATGTGAGTTTTTGTTTGTTGTGTAGACTGTTCAGGTAAAATGTGTGATATTTTGTACAGTGTAGATGCACAAAAATTTTCCAGCCTTTTAGAGTGGGACACATACAGAAAGGATGACACTGACATGCTGTCTGCTCTTTTAGACGGAGAGAGGTTCCAGCGCTTGTTTGGTGAGTACCGGAAATTAAAACCTAAAGTAAAATTGAGAGCAGAGTTTATCACTTGTGTATGGCTGAATACTGTGTCACTCCCTGATATCCCAAAATGTTTTTCTAATGAGAGCCGAACATAAGAAACATAATGTTATACCCTTGTTATGTGTTTTATTTTGATCAAATCCACATATTTGCTCTAAAATTCTGATTCAGAGTAGAATCAAGTTGTGCTCATTTCACAGAATTGTCACGGCTGTGGTTAAAGTCTGACCTTTTCAATTAACGCTGTTTAAGGTTTTGTGTCCCAGATAAAATTGACGTAAAATTGTGTCCCAGACTTTAAAAGTTGTTCATTTTAGTATAAAATTCACAGTGTGTGTGTGTGTGTGTGTGTGAACGCTTCTTGCCTTAGGGCACATAAGGTCCCATAGCGTGCTCAGAAAGAGAAATTTTGGTACCAAAAAGATTTATTTTTGAGAGAGAACCAGGTGCTTTGTCAAACTTGTACTGCTGTAATGTCATAGCTTGACCTGAATGTTAATAAATTTTACTTTTTAACTTAACCAAGCACCACACCCTCTTTACCTTGAAAGAAGAGAGTTGATTGGTGAAATCATTTAAGCATGGGCTTAGGCTTCAAAAATTTCAATCTGGTCACATAGATGAACACAGCTAAATGTAGTAATTACTGTAAATCTCGTATGGTATAATTCTGCAAAAGGTAACGATGATTTTTCTCTTTTGTGGTCCTTGGTCTGCAGAAGAAGAGTACCAGTTTCCAGGTTCCAGTTTCCAGGTTCCAGTAGATCGTCCTGTTTGTCCCTCCCCTAACCCCCAACCCCTCTATCATCCGTCCTGCTCTGTCTGTTGTCTCTGCCTTCTTTCTCTCTCCCTAAGTTTCATCTCTCAGGTTGGTTGATACTCCCAACCTATTACAAACGCTTGGTTGATACTCCCAAGCACCCCTTGAACACGCCTGGTTGATTCTCCCAGGCACCCCTTCCACACGCTTGGTTGATTCTCCCAAGCACCCCTTGAACACGCCTGGTTGATTCTCCCAGGCACCCCTTCCACACGCTTGGTTGATTCTCCCAAGCACCTTTGAAAGAAATCTCTGTGTTCTCTGAAATCTGTGCCACCACAACTACCACTACCACTACCACTACCACTACTACCAGTACTGCTACCACTACTGCTACTTACAGACTACGACCAATTACCTCCAGGAACAATGCCACGCAAAGGAAAGAGATCCAACGCCAAGAAGCTACACTGGCAGAAATTTCCTGAGTCCCGAGTACCTGATCAACGGGTGGTGAGTCCTCATCCTTACAACAGCGGACAGGTAAATACCCCTGATTTTTCTAATGCTAATGTCACACGTGTGTTGGCTTCCCGCAGTCAGGGGCATGATACATACGCTGATTCAAAGAACAGTCAATGCTCCTGCAACTGTGCTACTTTCCTGGCCTTTCTGCATGAGTTAGGACAACTCCACACTGCTGATCTTGATCTTGTTTTGGACAGAGGCCATGCAATGTATGCTCTAACTCTCGGTCAGTTGGATGTTGATGGTCAAAAAGTTGATAGATTCTTAAATATAGACGAACTTCCACCAATCGTTGTTGGTGACAGACAACAGCACATAATGACAAAGTGTCAGTCAATCAGTGGTGTCTTTACAGCTCCTACCTTGCTAAACAACAACCTTGCAGATGTACTTCAGTGCTTGTCCGCAGAGGTGAACTACGCATTGTTGATAATGAGTTCAATGTACATTGCTGTTTTCCGAGACCAACGCGGGCAGTATGGCTATTTTGACCCACACTCTCGACAGCCTGATGGCTTTCCTGCTGGCTTTGGTTTTGGCACAGCTGTCGTCTTTATTTTCACATATTTAAATGATCTGATCACAAAGCTTGTGACGTTATTCCATGCAGTTGGCTCCGGTCCAAATTCTTATTTTGAGCTGACACCTGTGCTCTTTGACACTGTGGATGAGCCCTCAGTGGAAGGAAATTTGCCACATATGGAGTCGAATGCAGATGATGTTCCAATAGCGAGGCAGCAAGAACCTCACATGTCCAGTCTACCCCAGGCGAAATCTGAGATTAAAATACAATTTAACAGTCACACTCTGCCAAGAGAGTCAAAACGTAATAAACAGGAAAGGAAGAAGTTGAATAGAAGAGCTAAAAACGGGAAGACAAAAGTTGCAATCGACAAAAATGAAAAACAGCGAGAACGATATGCCAAGGACAAATCATACCAGCAACGTAAAAGGTCTTATATGGTAAATCAGTATAGACAGGATCCAGAGTTTAAACGGAGACAAAGGTCTTACATCAACCGCCGATACACGGATGATGCAGAGTTTAAACGGAGACAAAGGTCTTACATCAACCGCCGATACACGGATGATGCAGAGTTTAAACGGAGACAAAGGTCTTACATCAAACGTCGCTACAAAAATGACACAGAGTTTAAACAGAGACAAATGTTGTACATAACACACCGCTATTGCCAGGACTTGGCATTCAGAACTAAACAAAAGCAGTATATCACAAAGCGTTACGCAAATGATCCTGCATTCAGAAGGAAGCACAAACAAACTATGAGACAGCTAATGAGAGACAAATACAGAAACAACCTTGTAACCAGACTGACCAACAGCATGCGGTGTGCAATTAAGATTAGACAAAAATACAGACATATTAATAGACAGCAAATCGACATGGATGACAGTCAGATTAAAGAAGCCATAGAGATTTTCAGATCACACGTAAAAGATGGACCCACATATGTCTGCACAGTTTGTCACAGAGCACTGTTTCCGAATCAAGTGCGACCCTGCAATCGGTCAAAATATGACAAAGAGCCACATGTTGTTGCAGCTTGCCTCACTGGTGCATATGTTCATGTCTGCAGTGATGAATGCGAAAATTTACAACAGTGCACCGTACCAGAGGAGCGAAAGAAAGAGTGGATTTGTTACACATGCCATGATCACCTTAAGGCTGGTGGGATGCCTCCCCTCGCAACGGCTAATAATTTACAGCTTGCTGATATTCCAGATGAACTGTGTGATTTGAACATTTTGGAACGTCATCTCGTAGCTAAAAGCATACCGTTTGCTAAAATTATTCCACTGCCCAAAGGTCAACAAAGAGCTATTCGTGGAAATGTTGTGTGTGTTCCATCTGAAGTACAGGAAACTGTAAATGCTTTGCCCAGACTAAGGAGTGAATCTCAGGTCCTGAGAGTGAAGCTGAAGAGACGACTGTGCTACAAAGGTCATCAGCTGTTCCAAACTGTGGCCTGGCCAAAGTTGGTGAGAGCTCTGCTCAAGCTGAAAGAAATCCATCCCCAGTATAAAGACATAACAGTCAGAGATGAAGCTGAGTTATGTGACCCTACTCTCCCTGATAATGAAGACACTGAGACTGATGAGGATGACAGAATGGATGATGATGATTATGATGAGGAAGATTTGATGGAGATTGACCGTATTGAGAAAAATGCACTCTGTGAGGCAGAGAGCATTCCTGAAAACAACGAACAAAATATGGACAATCGGTCAGGTAATGATGGCTGTGAGCCAGAGAAACAGTCTGATAACATGGAGGGTGATGAACCGAACGGTGGTGTTGTCCTTGAATCATGTCTGCAGCCAAGTGATGTGTCAGAGGAGATTTTGAGTTTTAGTGAGGGAATATACTCTGTTGCCCCCGCTGAAGGAAAAAAACCGTCAAGCTTTTTCAGAACACCTAAACTTGAGGCGATGGCTTTCCCAGTTCAGTTTCCCACTGGTGAAAATACACTGGATGATAACAGGCCACTGAAATTAACACCCTGCAGTTACTTCAAAACGAGGCTTTGCTGTGTCGATGGCCGTTTCGCTAAAGATACTAACTACTTGTTTTTTGCTCAATTTGTGACAGAAATACATATGGCCACTTCCAGCATGAGAATACAACTGCGTAAAGGCAAACCTTTTACTCGAGATGGCCGCAAAATCACAAATGCCATGTTGCAAAACAAACGAGAAGTCGAAAGGCTAGTGCGGAACAAAGATGCAATAAGATTCATGACACCGCTGAGAGGCACCCCGGCGTATTGGCAGAAAACAACTAAAGACTTGTTTGCGATGATTCGGGCTTTAGGCTCGCCACAATTCTTCTTGACTTTCAGTGCCGCAGAAATGCGTTGGAAATGGGTTATCACAGCAATTAAAGCCCAGCAAGGTGAACACGTGAATTTTGAAGAGCTGGATTGGTCCTCCAAGTGTGAGATTTTGCGAAGTAATCCTGTCACCACAATGCGCATGTTTGACAAACGTGTCGAGGCACTGTTCAGAGATCTGATCCTGTCCCCCGCACAACCTATCGGCAAAGTCGTCGACTACTTTTACCGACTCGAGTTTCAGCACAGAGGAAGCCCGCACATTCACGGTATGGTATGGGTGGCAGGCGCACCTGTGTTTGAAGAATGCTCTGATGAGGAGGTGTGTAGGTTTGTGGCCAGATTCATCAAAGCTGAGCTGCCCGATGAAAACAAGGACCCAGAACTGTACAAAATAGTCACAGAAGTTCAGATGCACAGCAAAAACCACTCCAAGACATGTGTGAAATACAGTGGTGCAAACTGTCGTTTCGGATTTCCCAAACAACCTGTCCCAAAAACCACAATAATCAGACCGGGGGCAATTGTGGATGAAGCAACAGACCTGGCATTGACAGAAAAGCTTGCAACACTTAACAGACTTCTTCATGAACCTACTACTGCATCGCTCAGCTTTGAACAGCTTTTGGCAAAATGTGAGTTCACCAAAGAAGAATACCACAGGTGTTTGCAGAGCAAAACCAACGGCAGTCAAGTGATGCTGAAGCGTGGTCCCAAAGATGTTTGGGTAAATGGCTACAACCCCTACCTTCTGAAAGCCTGGAATGCCAACATGGATATCCAATTCATTCTCAACCCCTACTCCTGTATCATGTACATGTGCAGCTACATCAGCAAGGCGGAACATGGTCTGAGTGAATATCTCAAAACGGTGATACAAAACTCACGTCAGGAAGATGTCAACGAAAGCGATGAAATGAAACAAATAATGCAGGCCTACTCCAAAAAAGAGAGGTAAGCGCTCAGGAGTGTGTGGCTCGTGCATGCAGTCTACACATGAAGCAGTGTTCACGCAGCGTGGTGTTTGTGCAGACGGATGACAACGCACTGAAAATGAGTTACCCCTTGTCACACCTGGACAACAAACCTTCAGAATCGGAACATGTGTGGATGACAGGGTTACCTGATAAGTATGTATGCAGACCAGAAACACCAGACTTTGAGGCAATGTGCTTGGCGGATTTTGCATCGAGCTGCAGAATAGTCTACGGCAAGCAGACAAAAGGCAAAAACACTCATCGCCTGCTGAATGAGATGGGGTTTGTCCAGAAGAGAGCAAATGATGAAAAACATGCTGTCATCAAATATCGACCCATTTCCCTTGAGAAAGATCCAGAGCTGTATTATGGCACATTGCTTAAACTGTACGTGCCTTATCGCTCAGAAAACCAGCTGAAATCCACCCACTTCCCAACTTACCAGTCCGTCCATGACCATGCAGCTGTTTGGTTACCTGGATCACAGCATCCCGAGCGCGTGAAGGCAATTGTGAAACGCAACAGAGAAAAACATGAGAAACACCGTGAGGACATTGACAGTGCCATTCAAGAGTTTGAAGAAAGAGGAATGTTGCTAAATGAATGGGGCAACCTGGCGCCTGAGAGTGAGCTCGAACGGCTCGAGTGCATAGATGAACTCAATGAAAGAGAAGCTGATGAGGACGTGCAGGAGAATGTTCCAGACTATAATGTGAGGTCAGACGTGAGGCAAGAATCTGCAGTCACGATCGAAGCCCCTGAAATTGATCCTGTGGTGCTGCGTGAGATGTACCAGAACTTAAACCAAACGCAAGCTTCAGTTTTCCACACCATCCGGGAATGGTGCTTGAAATGTGTTTGTGGTTCAAAACCAGAGCAGTTCTTCTTGTACATTAATGGTGGTGCCGGAACAGGTAAGTCTCATCTAATCAAATGCATCCATGCAGAGGCATCTAAAATACTCAGAAGACTTCCGAGAAATGCAGAGGAAGCAGACATCTCTAAACCTACTGTTCTCTTGACTGCATTCACTGGTACTGCAGCATTCAACATTTCAGGTACAACATTGCATTGTCTCTTGAAGCTGCCCAGAAGTCTCAAGCCTCCTTTCCAAGGTCTTGGTAACAAACTTGATGAAGTCAGGGCAGAGCTTTCAAATGCAGAGATACTCATTATTGATGAAGTCTCCATGGTCTCCAAACAGCTCTTTGCCTACGTGGATGCGAGACTGAAACAAATCAAAGGAAGTCAGAGACCTTTTGGTGGAATGTCAGTTCTCACTGTTGGAGATTTCTACCAGCTACCACCTGTCAGACAGTCGAAACCTCTGTGTGTGTTCGACCCGACTCAGATCGACCTCTGGCGTGACAACTTTCAGATGGTCACACTGACCGAAATCATGCGTCAGAAAGATGATGTCACTTTTGCTGAGACGCTGAATCGAATCCGTGCCAAAGAAAAGACAGTGTCTTTGTCTCATGAAGACAGAGTTCTGCTTTCACGGGCCTTAGCTGACCCAGCTCAATGTCCAAAAGACGTACTGCATGTTTATGCGACAAACAAACAGGTTGAGGAACACAACTCAAAAACCTTGGACATGTTTCACTCCGACGTCACCACAATAGATGCAGATGACTACAAAAAAGATCCAACCACTGGGAGAATGACAAGACAAAGTGTACCTTTCCAAGGAAACAAAAAGGAGTTGCCTGACTCGATAAAAGTGGCCATCGGCGCTAATGTCATGATCACCAGAAATATAAGTGTGCGGTCAGGTCTCTGCAATGGAACATTTGCACGCATTGCAAAAATTGTGACTAAAGCAGGAAATCCGCATGTTGAAAAACTCGGACTGAAACTTAACAGTCAAAGTGCAGCAGCCAGCGAAGCAGATGTGGATGAAAACATCGTGTACATTGACAGAGACGAGGAGAATCTTAAACAGACGGGAGTTGTCAGAAGACAGTTTCCCATCAAGCTCGCTTTTGCGTGTACAATACACAAAGTTCAAGGGATGACAACTTCCTCGGCCGTGGTCTCACTGAAACACATCTTTGAACCCGGCATGGCCTACGTTGCTCTGAGCAGAGTGACCTCTCTGAGTGGACTCCACATTCTAGACATGGATGAGAGGAAAATCTATTGCAACCCTGAAATCACCGTAGCTCTTGAAAACATGTCTAAAGCTTCACTTGAACATGTCATGCCTCTCCTCAAGATCCCAGAAACATTGAGCAGGCCAGACACTCTCACTGTCATTCATCACAACACAGAAGGACTACCAGCTCATATCACCGACATCAAAAGTCACCATGAACTACATCTTGCAGACGTGCTCTGTCTCACTGAAACTCATCTGCGAGGATCCTTTGTTGCTGAGAGTCTCCATCTTGAAGGCTACAACATGTTCAAACGTAACAGAAACGTGTCTTATTCAAACCATCCTGCCATGGCCACTAAAAACGGTGGTGGAGTTGCCATCTATGTGAAAGAACACATCAGAGTCCTTGAGAGACATTTCATTCAGAATGCCACTGATATTGAGTTCAGTGTCATCAAACTTGAAGCTCCTTTCAGGGCTCTAATTGCTGCCGTCTACAGGCCTCCTGACTACGATGTTCACTCATTCATATCCAACCTCAGAAGTCTCTTGGATTCACTGGAAGTCATGGATCATCATCCCATCTTAGTCTGTGGAGATTTTAATGAAGATTTGCTGTCCAGAGCAAGGAAGCCCATTCTTGAACTGTTCCAGTCCAAAGGTTATGAACAACTCATAACTGCTGCAACCACAGAGAAGAACACGCTGCTTGACCCCATTTTCATCTCTTGCCCGCAGTCCTGTATCCATTCTGGCGTGCTGCGGACATACTACAGTTACCACCACCCTGTCTACTGCGTGCTCACTTTAGAAACACCCTAAAAAGAACTGGCTGGTTTAAAATCGAGAACTTGTTGCAAAGTTAAGGAAAAAAAAAAATTATTGCGTCCATAACTGTCGGTTTACACGCTGCGATTTAAGAGAAGAGTTTTAATTATTGGTTTCCTATTCGATCACCTAACGAAACGTTGTAAACATAGTATATTTTAAGATGGGGGGGCCGTCCTCAGCAGCCAGGCTGTGACACCTGCTCTGGCTGCTCTAGCTTTTAAAAGGCTGGGAGGGAGGGATGGTCAGACGGCCCTCCTATACCAAAGAAAAACATACCTGCAAATACTTTCTAGTCACTGTACAATGTGAGATTAAAGACAATATATGAAACTTTAATACATTTATGAAAAATACAGTGAAGTAAAATGATGCAAAGGTCAGTACATTATTAGTAGCATTTAAAAAAAAAAAATTAAAATATACAGTGAGACAAATTAAAAACAAGCTAATTTAAAAGAAATAAAAACTGCCACTGAAACTATTATGAACTAATGAAATATTATAAACAAAGTATATTTTAAGATGAGGGGGTCGTCCTTAGCAGCCAGGTTGTAACACCTGCTCTGGCTGCTATAGCTTTTAAAAGGCTGGGAGGGAGGGATGGACCGACGACCCCCTCCTATACCAAATTATATAGAAATACATTTCAAAATATACAGTGAGACAAATTAAAAACAAGCTAATTTAAAAGAAATAAAAACTGCCACTGAAACTATTATGAACTAATGAAATATTATAAACAAATTATATTTTAAGATGAGGGGGTCGTCCTTAGCAGCCAGGTTGTAACACCTGCTCTGGCTGCTATAGCTTTTAAAAGGCTGGGAGGGAGGGATGGACCGACGACCCCCTCCTATACCAAATTATATAGAAATACATTTCTGCAAGTCGTTACTTTACGCTGTATTAGAGTTGCCCATTATGTCCTGCCATTTACTTTGAGTAGTGGCAGGAAGGTCTGAGGATGCATTACTGCTCCTCATTTCTCTTGAATGACTTGGTGTGGGTGTAAGGTAAGAACAATATTGATCTTTCATATATACTAGCTGCAGGACTGCTCCATTTTAAATGTGAAAATACACGTTGTTTTACTGGATTTTTTTGTCTGATTCTCTCTGTTCATTTGTTTCGGTTTAGGCACCTGTGCCCTCCAGACACCAAAGATGTGGGGTGATGACACTAGAACTCCAGCTCTGTGCTCAGTGTGTCCCAAGGGCCTAACTTGGAGAGGGGAAGACACATTTCATCCTAAGAGAGCATCAGGTCAGCCTATGATTTTGATATCAAGACATTTGCACTCTGAGTTTGTTGCCTTTTACTGTTTGTGTTTGTTTCTGGTGGTCTACCAAAGGAGATAAGGATGAGCCTCTCTCAAAAGAACATCCATTGGTGAACCCTCTGTCTGACACTTGGTTGTATTCACACCTTCCTGGGCTGAGAAGTTCGTCACCAAGTCTTTCACAGCCGTGTAAATTTACGGGTAGGAGCTGCAAGTGCCACAGTGAGAAGAAACAATTCTACCTGTAAATTCCCTGAACATGTGCATGGTGAGTGACAGTACAGTTTATTCCTTTTAATCTAAGGCTGCCAATAATTTCTCAATGATGCTCCATGGCATTTTGAAGAAGTTCTTTTTGTCTGGTAGAGTGTCACAGTGGCAGCCCCACACTGGCAGAGCGGCGCCTGAGCAACAGTTCCAGAGTACTGCAGCTAGACAGCTGTGTCTGTCAACTTGAGGATGACCCACACACATTGTAAGTTAACTTAAATGTTGCAGTGTCTGTTTTCTGGTGTATTTAAATCAATCTGTAAAATTTCATCTGGTTTCACAGTTTTTTCTCTCCTGTTCAGTGCTTCAGAGAGAAGTGAAGTTGGATGTGCTGTGCATGCGTCACCATCCTGACAAGGGGTGCCGCCATTGATCTTGAACAGGACTCAAGCATGTTGTGAGTCAACTGAACAGTTTATTGATCATGAAGAGTTTTGTGACATTTGCTAGAAAAGTTTAAAGGTATTGATAATAAACACAAAGTTTTGTCTGCCAGTGCTGTACAGGAAACCAAACCCTCTCCGTGTGTGACCGATTAGCGGAGAGAACTTCTGATCCAGGATTGGACAAGTTGTTGCTCACACAATGCTGGACCTCTAACGGGTATGTACTTTTCTTCAGCAGTCACATTATTTCTTTGTGTTCATCTGATGTGACAACCTTCTCTCCTCTCTGTACATCACAGAAGTCGACATGAGCTGAAGAACTAGAAAAGTCCTGCAGATCTTGTGACTGTGGCTTCTTAGAACCAAGCTCCGAGTCTACAGCAGAGAAGGGTTCTGACCTGGGGAGCAACAGCTCTGAACTTCACCAAGTATGTTTCATCTTCAAAATCTTTGACTTTTCCACACTACAACCAAAATCTTTGACTTTTCCACACTACAACCAGCTGTGTAGGATTTCAGTTTGTCGTCTGTAACAACGGTGTAAACTGTTGTCTTTCGTCTTAACTCATCACAGAACCAGCTCGACATGAGCCACAGAGCCAAACCCAGCAACCATGTGACCCTGGAGCCATGTGATCTCTGCTGAGCTTTGAACTCTAAAATACTGCATGCTCAGCCGTCCTGGTAGGGGATCCCTCTAAGACCTGGCCTACCTAAAGGTTTCTTCCTCTTATCCTGAGAAAGCTTTTTTGGGGGAGTTTTTCCTGACATGCTTGGAGGGTCGAAAGGCTGACGGTGCCATATACCCCAGATTTTTTTTCGGATTCAATGTCAATAAAGAAAGAAAATGAAATTCTGGAGTTTTAATTTACTTATATGAAAGAATGAATGAATGAATGACACATGCTCACAATCACAACAATTTAAATGTGTGAAATATAAAAGTTTGAATCTCTTTAAATGAATAGAAAATTATATGAAGGAGCAGTATGAGGCATGAATGGTCAGAATGATTAAAATGGGGGAAATTAAAAGCTGAAGCCACTACCAGATGGAAATTTAGTAGGTTTAGATAACAAGGCAAGTATGAATGTGATGAAACAGTTGATGTCAGAATTTCTGTTGAATAAGAAATAAATAGTAAGAATTATTTGACAATTTGAGGGTTCAAAACAATACTTAGAAATTTTAATCAGCCCGCAGTGCCGCACTGTTGTCCAGCTCTAAAAATACAAGCTGTCATGTTTAGGAACAAGTCACAAAAATTTCATAGAACAGGAAAGGGGTGAGAAGCAACTTCCCAGTCAGCTTTGTTTCGCCAGGTGCACTAATTGGTTGCCATGCTGAAGGTAAATACATCATTACAGCAGAAGAAAGAAGGACAAGTTCAAATGAGTTCAAGTTCAACTGAGTTGGAATTTGCTTGAAAGAACTGAATAATGCAATAAGAGTAAAAAATATTTAAAACTGGAAAATTAAAAGGTTACAAATCTGGAAGAAAAAGAAGTTTGAAGAATCAAAACGGTTTAAATCAGTTTGAAGGAGTTTAAATTAGTTTGAAGAATTAAATAATGCATTTTCAATGAATGATTGAAAAAATGGGAACAATGTAAATGAAAAAAAATCCTGATTAGACCCCATAATGTCCCCAATGAGCTGAATTTATTAAGCCCTGGATGGTTTCTGTAGCTCAAGGTTTGTGCGAAGAGATAGATGACAAATTTTTTCAAATAACTCTATTGAAGGGTTTTAAATGTAACCCCCAGTACTCTGTGTACTGAGCCTGGCTTCATGTGTCTCATATGGCTGTTAGAAGCAGCTTTCCAGCCAGCTGTGTGTCTCCAGGTGCTCTTATTGGTTGCCATGGTGACAATAGATGCTTAACAACAGCAGGAGAAAGGAGGCTTGAGGCTGAGAACGTAATGCCCAAACAACGTCATATTTCTCATCCTCTGTAACTGCTATCTTCATGATCAGGAGCTTGTGACAACCACAAGGCCCGGCTGAACACATTGATACAACTTCTGTGTTTGTGGAGCCTCGCTACGACAAGTTAAAAACATGTCCAGTTCCTGCTTCCTCTGAAAATCCTCCTCTCAGGATTACATTGGAGTCAATGGAGAAAGCTGGAGAAATCTGGGGGATGTCTGCGGCAGTTGGTGTCTGCCCAGGCCACTGTGTGTGTCCTATGGCTTTGATTTTTAGATGAAGAGTGACAGCGAGTTTTGCCATCACTGTGCCAAATATTATCTGTGTAGAGCGAAGTGAGTTGCCACAATCCTTTTGTAAAGACAAAGTTTTGAGGATCAATTTTCAGCCTGTCTCACTCTAGCTGTGAGGTCGCCCACTCTAGCTGCCAACATTCCGTGCAATACACACTAATGTTAAAACCTGAACAGGTATGAAAATCATGTGAATTTTTGAACTGTCACTGTGAGAAAAGTATGAATGCCATGAAGATGGTGAATGAATGAGTGAATGTCTGAAGATGTGTGAATATTTTAAAGTTTGAATGAAGTTTCTAGGTGAACGTATGAATGAATGAGAAGAGGTTGAAGTTGACTACGTCTGAAAGCCTTTTCCCATTGAATCCCATTATAACGAAGTGTTAAACAAATCTTAATATTTTGAAAAGTACAAATGGGATTAAAAATGTTGAGGATGTGGAATGATGCTGAAGAATTTGTGAATATTTTGGTTTTTGAATGAAGTTTCTACGTGGAAGTATAGAGGAGTTGAAGGCTTTTGAAGTTGTGTGAAGAAAATGTGAGAAAAGGGCCCATTTGAACATTCCGTAATGCATTTCTAATGGGAGAAATCGGTCGGAAAACCTGGAATATCTCGGAAAGTATGAATGTTTGGAAATTTTTGAATACAAGCCGGAATCTCCTGAATGAGATGAATCTTTTGAAGTTTGAATGGTTTGAATACGTTGAAGTATGTGGAAGGAGTAGCGGTCCAAAAAACGGTGGAATAATAATAATAACTAGAAAAATTGCATTTCCTTGCAGAAAATGCGTGGAAATGCTGAGTGTTGAAAGCTGAAAAAGCAATGCTAAACTGCCAGTAATAAATGGAGAAGGTATAAATGAAAAAACTGTTAAAGGGGTGAAGTGTTATAAGTAGAAGTTGTATGAATGTTTCAACCGTAACAGAACTGAAGAAGAAGATGATGAAAAAGAGATGAGATGTATGGATGTAAAAACACTGGGAGAGGTAAACCAGTAGCTGTATGAATATTCAAATTGCTAAAGAACTGAACTTGAACATTACAGAAAATATGGTAAAGAATTTTTAAGATAGCTGAAAAGGCCTTCATGTTGGAAGAAGTAGAAATGAATGTAGATGAGAAAATTGAATACATTACTCAAATATTTTTAATGTAAAATTTGAATCAACTTGAAAATTCAAATTGAGTTTTTACCTAAGTAAAACCAAAACAAAGAAAAAAAGAAAAATATTTTTGTCAATTCTTTAACATTTTGTGAGCAATGAAATGATTAATCATAAAATATAAAAATAATAATAAAAAAAAAAAACATCAAAACATAAACACACAAAGAAACAGTGTTCCATAGTGCCTTAAATGAAATTATAAACAATTTGTTTGTGAACAGGTTTTGGAAGCAGAAATCTTTACATGGGTGACCAATCTGTCTCTTAAGCTTAAGGTTTTAAGATTGTAGTTGCTGTGGTTGTTGATGGACAAAGGTATCACATTTTCAGTTGTTTCTAAAATTGTTTAGTCCAATCATTAAAGGCTCTTCACACAGTTGTTAGACTGAGGCTAACACCCCATTATTTACTGGATTCAAACTCCAGCAGCCCTGTACCCACATTCACCTCTTTTCTTGTGTTTTCGGATTACTAAGCCTTAACAAAAGTTGGCTCATAAAATTTGTCATGGCCCATTGAGATAAGTCCTGTGTTGTGGGCTTTAAAAACAGACCTTGAAATTTGATTTCAAAGTCTGATACAGGACTGTTATGTGTGTTTTTAAGGGTTTAGATTAGCCTAAGACTAAGTTCGCACATCTGAAAAACCTTTATACCTATACATTAAAAAAAAAAATGAAAATTGTGACTTGAGAGTTATAAAAAAAATTGTTACTAAAACCGGTCAGCAGTATTACAAAGTATTGCAAAGTTATCCAGGCTTGTGGAAATATACAGGCAAAGTAAGGTGAAAGGCATATGAATTAAATACGGCATTGTAGTATTTTTTAAAGCTAATTGCAGTGAAATGTGGGCCCTCTCATGTAGAAAAAAAAGAAAATTATAGAATAATAAATGATTATAATAATAAAATTAAATGATATGAAACTGAAACATTAAACAAAATCTAAAATGATCAGATTAAAAAGTAGATTTGATAACTTGAAATAAATTGATTTAATGTATTGGTCCACCTTACCACCAAAAGGCTTTTCACAGTAGACCAAGGCTAGTACTGTCATCAGCTCATTGTAGTGGACTGACAATCTGGTCAGCAAAAATAACTCAGCAGTTTACTGTACAGTGTAGTACAGAAGTCTTTTACAGAAATTATTATTATTTTTTTTTAATTAAATCTAAATTTAAAATTTAAAATAATGTGGAGGGTAAGGTAGAGAATGCAAATGCAAAAGGTGCAAAGTTATCCAGGCTTGTGGAAATATACAGGCAAAGTAAGGTGAAAGGCGTATGAATTAAATATGGCACTGAAGTATTTTTTATAGCATGTATTGGTCCACCTTACCACCCAAAAGGCTTTTCACAGTAGTTAGACCAAGGCTAATACTGTCACCAGCTCATTGTAGTGGACTGACAATCTGGTCAGCATTTTAGATCCCAGTGTTTTCTTATCCAAACATTCACACTACTTGTCTTACTGAAATGCTGGGTTGTCTTCACGTTGATAGTTTCTTTTTAAAAAGTTTTCTACTATGGAGAATTACATTTTAAGGATAAGCATAAAAACCTTGTTCCTCTATGAAATCCCTTCACACAGCTTGTTTAACCAAGCCCTGTGTTTGAGGATTGTGACGACAACCTTCAGCAGGGATTGTTTCACACTGTAGTGCTGGGATCACTGCTGTCCAAAATATTAGCCCAAGACTAAGCACACGTGAAAAATTTCAGTGTACCTACCAGCTGAAACCCAAAGTACATCATTTATTTCTAAAACACGTCTTCTCTTGTAGGTAAATTTGAGGGATATTGTGAGCATATTAAAACGAGAAATTCAGCTGCCTGCAACAACTGAAGTAACTGGTATTTTTTCCCTTCATCAGTGTTGGTCATCTTTTGATATAAGGACAGATACACAGTAAAAGGGGAAGAAAACACTAAAATAAAATAGAACAAATAAAGTCCAAGAAACATAAAGGAAACTTAAAATATTAACAGATATTGACAACCGATCACTTAATGTAGAAAACAGGATTCAAAACAATACAAGAGTAATAGTTGTCCTGTCCTAAAGACAATCAGTCAGTTCCTCATGTGAGTACTGTGTTCTGTCTGGGCACTTTTTTTCAAAACCAAAAGCAGAGCCCGGTACAGTTCAGAGTGAAGGTTTAGAGTGAGGTAATGATTTGACCTTTGACCTGTGGTTGTAGAATCGCTGTGTGCAGTTATCAGTGTTCGAGTTGACAGCATCATTGGAGTTAGAGGCAGGAGGAGGAGAGGTCTGAAAAAAACAAACAAAATCCCCTTCACTTTAACTATGTAATCCTGTGCTAACAGTAATTCTGTGCTTTTCTATGTTGGTCAAACATGGTTATTGTTATGGGGCAAGGAAATACACCGTTACCTCAGGTAAACTTTAAAGCTGCAGTAGAGATAAACTGATGATCTGAATGTGATGACATCTGCTGCAGCTTGCTTCACAGGACTGCAGGACTTGAAGGATCACCATTAGTAGGACTCTGCTGAGCTGCACTAGCTACACCGTGGATGAACAGACAGTGACTTGAAGTGGGAGAATGTAGCTGGTTCAAAACAGGAAATAAACAGAAACATTTGTGTTGATAATCTGTGAAACTAAACATATTGAATAAATACACACATCATTACAATGAATACCTTCAGCACTGCAGCAGAGCAAAAAATATTTCTGTCCAGAGCAACTTCACCAGGTCTGCAGCAGCAAAGCTTCGTCACACAGAGAGGCTCAAGGCTCAGGGTGGCTGCATGATGTCCACCTTTGGTGTGTTCAGCTGTCTGAGTGTCTAAGCTGTTCTTCCTCTCTTAACTGGCTTGAAGAAGACCTGGGAGAAAACACTGCTGTTAAAGACGATGATATCAGCAGAGCTGTACAATAGCGTCACAAGCATTAATACAGCAGCTAAGATAACTAAGAATAAATAAATGAACACAAGTTCACCAAGACATTACCTCAGACTTTCTTGAAGAGGGGTTTATCTCTTGGAGGTTCAGCAGGAACGAGCCCAGTGAGTGACAGGTGCTACAGCATCAGTTCTGCTCCAGCCTGGTGTCTGGTGGTCCTTGAGAGCTGCTTCAGGACATCTGGAGCACAAGCAGGTAAAACACATGTTTGTGTAGTCCATGAGAGAAGGGTCCTGGTGGGTGCTGCAGTCTCTGTCCAGCACAGCGATGATGGTTGTTGAGAGCAGCAGGGGGATGGTGTGGAGGATGTCATCTCTTCTTCACCTCCGACCAAAGACTGTGTTAAACAGCAGGTAGACTGTGTCTTTGAGTTGTCCAAAGTGATGTGTTTACTTCTGGTTGACGGTTTGATATTTTTTTTCTGCTCACAGTGAGCTAGTCAGGACAGCACTAATGGTCAGGTCAAAGATGGCAGAGACAACTGAAGAAGAAAAAAAAATAATACCCAAACAAAAGGAAACTTAGCTTTACTCTACTGTACCTACAGGTGATGTGTTTACTTTTGGTTGACAGTTTGATAATTTTTTCAGTTTACAGTGAGCTAGTCAGGATAGTACTAATGGGAATCAGGTTAAAGATGGCAGAGACAACTGAAAAAAATAATTAAATAAATAAAAAACTACCCAAAGAAAAGGAAACTTGTGTTTGCCCTAGTGTACTTACAGCCACCCATGCTAAGAGAGTGGTGTAAAGTTGGGTGGAGAAAAGGGGGGTTTCAGCTGGTAGGTCACAGAACATCAGAAAGTGTGTGTTCATTAGGGAACACACACTTTCTGATGGAGGTTTTTTTTTTTTTGCTGCTGTATACATTGTTGTACACAGCAGCTGAGAGTTTTGGCCTGTGCATTTATCAATCCGCACCCACCCTCCCTATGTCCAGTCAAGTCAAGTTAAATGGATTAACTTGACTTGACTGGACTTGATAAATGCACAGGCCAAAAAATAAGATTTATTACATTTGAATAGTTAAAAATTGTACTACCTGAAAATGTAGAAATTAAGCCATAAAAAATTTTTTTGCACCAGAAAATTTTAAATTGCTAAGAAAATTTCAATCTGTACTAATAAAAATATAGACATAACATTAGCCACAACTTCTCTGGTTTGTCTTTCCCTTCAGAGCAGTTTCCCTTTATGACCTGAAATGACACAGTGAGTGGGATTGTGGTTACTATAGCAGGTCTGCAGGATACCTGAGGCAAGACATTGCTGCAGATGTGAGTTAAATGGATTAACTTGTCTGGACATAAGTGCAAAGGCCAAATATCATAACTTTTAACATTCAAATAGCTGAAAATTGTACAACCTGAAAAATGTTGCCTTTCTAAAAAATTCCGCCATCATTTTTTTTTTTTTTTGCATTCAAAAACTTACAATCACCAAACACCAAATGGGCACTGAAAATATAAGCAGAACATCAGCTAAACCCTCTGTAGTTTGTCTTTTCCTTCAGAGCAGTTTCCTCTATGACCTGTTGGATGAAATGACACAGTAAGTGGCGTTGTGGTAACTGTAGTACGTCTGCATGATACCTGAGGAGAGACATAGCTGAGGTTGTGAGATGAAGATCAGGTCCAGCAGTGTGTTCTTGTCCGTTGTAGCAGCAGTGATCAGTTGACCATATCCCTTGGACTGAAAGAAATCCAAAATTGGCTTACTTGCATTAGAAAAGAGATTCTCATTGAAGTCGCCACAGACGATGATGGGATGACAGTCCATGATCTCAAGTGAGTCCAGAAGGCTTCCCAGATTGGACAGGAATGATGGCACACTGTAGTCTGGAGGTCTGTACACAGCTGCAATCAGAGCACTTACAGGAGATTCAACCTTCAAAGCCACAAACTCGAGGTCAGTCACATTATTCAGGTACTGTTTCTCCACAACCTGCAAATGGTTTTTCACATAAACAGCGACTCCACCACCTCCTTTACTGGCCATCTGTGGAAAGTTAGTGTAGGACAAATGTCTGTTGCGTTTGAACATGGTGTAGCCCTCAAACTGGAGACTGTCTGCCACAAAGGAGCCCTGTAGGTGAGTTTCTGTCAGACACAAAACATCTGCAAGACACAGTTCATGATGGCTTTTGATGTCATTCACATGAGCAGGTAATCCTTCGGTGTTGTGATGAATGATGCTCACAGTGTCCTGTCTGCTGAGAGAATGCTGGATCTGGAGAAAAGGCATGAGGTGATCAAAGTTAGCTTGCGTCATGGTCTCCAAAGATACAGTGACTGCAGGGTTAGCATGGATTTTACTCTCATCCAAATCAAGCATGTACAGTCCGCTGAGAGAGGTCACTCGACTGATAGCTACGTAGGCCATGCCGGGCTCAAAAATGTGCTTCAGAGAGACAACAGCAGATTTTCTGGTCATACCTTGAACCTTGTGTATCGTGCATGCAAAGGCAAGTTTCACAGGAAACTGTCTGCGTACCACTCCTTTCTGTTGCAGAGCCTCCTCAGATCTCTCGATGTACACAAGATTGTCTCCTCGAGAACGATAGCTCCTGCCAGCTGTTTCATCATCCATCCTGAGACCAAGCATAGTGACAAGAGCAGAACCGTTGTTTTCAGAGCTTATGATACGGCCTACTGTAGCAAATGATCCGTTCACCAATCCTTGAGACACATCAATGTTTCTGGTAAGCATGACTCTAGCACCTAATGCAACATCTAGTGTGTCAGGTAGATCATTTCTGCTTCCATGACATGGTGCACCTTGTCTTTTCATGTGTCCAGTGTGTGGGTCCTTTTTAAAGTCGTCTGCATCAATGGTGGTGATATCAGAATGGAGCAGAGATAGTGTAGCAGAGTTGTGTGCTGCGACTTGTTTGTTTGTAGCAAAAATGTGCAGGACATCAGAGGGACAGAGTTGTGGTTCAGTGACACGCTGTGACAGCAGAGCTCTGTCAGCTTCAGAAATCTCATCTGACCTTGTTTTCACACGGAGTCTGTTCAGCATCTCGGCAAAAGTTTTGTCATCTTTCTGTCGCATGATCTCATCTAAAGTGATCACCTGGAAGTTGTCTCTCCAGAGGTCAAGCTCACTTGGATCATAGACACAGAGTGGTTTGGACTGTCGCACAGGCGGTAGCTGGTAAAAGTCTCCAACAGCAATGACTGACATTCCTCCAAAGGGTCTGTGGCTGCCTTTAATCTGTTTCAGTCTCATATCCACATAAGCAAACAGAGGCTTCGACACCATGGAGATTTCATCAATGATGACGATTTCAGCGTTTAAAAGCTCACACCTGATTTCATCAAGTTGGTTCCCAAGACCTTGAAAAGGAGGTTTCAAACTTCTGGGCAGCTTGAGGAGAGAGTGCAGTGTTGTTCCAGAGATGTTAAAGGCTGCAGTTCCGGTGAAAGCAGTCAACAGCACAGTCGGGTTTGAGATGTCAGCTTCCTCAGCACGTCTAGGTAGTGTTCTCAGAATCTTTGATGCTTCTGAATGAATGCATTTAATGAGATGTGACTTTCCAGTGCCAGCACCACCATTGATGTAGTAGAAAAACTGCTCTGGTTGTGGTCCACAGACTCGTTTTTTGCACCAGTCTCTCACTGCATAGAACACACACGCCTGTTTCTGGTTCAGACTCTGATACATTTGTCGTAACCGTGTGGGATCGATTGTAGGGGGCTCTCTCATGACTCTGGCCTCTGTAGCAGCATTTGATTGTCTGCTGTAATCCGGTACATCCTCTTGGACATTTTCACACTGTCTGGCGTCCAGTTCATCGATACACTCCAACCTCACCAGTTCAGATTCAGGTGCCAAATTACACCATTCATCGACCACACCTCTGTTCTGTTCAAAGTCCTCGAGAGCAGAGTCAATTTCCTCACTGTTTTTTTCATATCTCTCTCTGTTTCTTTTCACGATGAGTTTCACACTCAGGGGTCGGTCAGAATACGGCAGCTGAACCACACCTCTCTCATAGAATGACTCATATGTGGGAAAATATGGTCTTTTCAGCTCATCGTCTGATCTGTATGGAAGATACAGTCTAAGCAATGTGCCGTAAAACTGCTCAGGGTATTTCTCTTTGGATATGCGGCGATACCTGATGACAGCAGCGTTGTCACTTTCTCGTCTCTGTATGAAGCCTAGTTCATTCAGCAAAGGTACCACTTTCTTGCCCTTGGTCTGTTGTCCATACACCAGTCTGCAGGTAGAAGCAAAATCAGCCATGCACATCTCTTCAAACTCTGGTGTTTCAGGTCTGGATTTGTACTTGTCTGTTAAGGATGTCATCCACACATTCAAGCTGTCTGGTGTAGTGTTGTCAAGGCTTGACACAGGCAGACTCATTTTCACTGGGTTGTCATCAGTTGGGACAAAAACCACACTGCGTGAGCTCTTTTTCATGTTCAGTGAAGTCACTCGGGCAACAGCTTCTTGTGCTGATACTTCTCGCTTTTTGGAATACGCCTGCATGACCGCTTTCATTTCATCACATTCATTGACACATTCTCTGTCGGAGTTCTGAATGAGTGTTTGCAGGTACTGGCTCACAGAGTTCTCACTTTTACACATGTACGTACATATGTAATGGATCAGACTGTAGTAGCTGAGAATGAACTGCACATCAATGTTTGCATCCCAAGCTTTGAGCAGGTGAGGGTTGTAGGTGTTTACCCAGCAGTCTTTAGGCTCACGCTTCAGAATGATGTTGCTGGACTGACTCATCACATTCATGTGTTTCTCATACTCATCAGCGGTTAAGTCACAGACAGACAGGAGCTGTTGAAAACTCATGGATTCAGTTTGTGTCTCATTCAGCAGCTGATTCAGTGGTGCAAGTTTCTCTTTGGCTCTCTTAAGTCTCTCTGACTCCTCATCATCACCCACAGGTCTTGTTATCATTGTCTGTCTGGAGGGTGGTTTTGGGAATCCAAATCGGCATCCAGAACTTGCACTTTTGAAACATGTCTTTGAGTGGTTCTTACTGTGTATTTGCACTTCTTTGACCTTTTTGTACAGTTCAGGCTGTTTATTTGGGTCAGGGAGCTGAGCAGAGATGTGTTTGGACACAAAGTCACACACAGTTTTATCAGAGTCTCTCTCAAACACAGGTGCACCTTCTACCCACAAAAGACCATGTATATGAGGACTTCCTCTGTGCTGAAACTCGAGACGCCAAAAGAAGTCAAAAACTTTGCCCAGGGGTTGTGCAGGAGACATGATCAGATCTCTGTACAGTGCTTCAACACGCTTATCAAACATGCGCATTGTTGTCACAGGATTGCTTCTCAGAATGTCACACTTTGTGGACCAGTCGAGCTCTTCAAAATTCACCTCCTCACCTTGTTGTGATTTTATTGCAATAATCACCTCAGGCCAACGCATTTCTGCTGCAGAAAATGTGACAAAGAAAGTAGGACTGCCCAACTGTCTGATCATAGCAAACAGATCTTTTGTAGTTTTGTCCCAGTAGGCTGGTGTTCCTCTGAGCGGCTGCATAAATCTGATAGCATCTCTGTTTCTCACCAGTCTCTCCACTTCATATTTGTCTCTCAACATTCTGGATGTTATTTTACGTCCGTCTCTGGTCAAAGGTTTGCCTTTGCGTAATTGTATGGACATGCTGGAGGTAGCCAAGTGTATTTCAGTCACAAACTGTGCAAAGAACAGGTAGTTGGTATCTTTGGCAAAGCGATCATCAACACCAAAGAGCCTTGCTTTAAAATAACTACTGGGTGATAGTTTCATTGGTCTGTTTTCATCCAGTGTATTCTCACCAGTGGGAAACTGAACAGGAAACGCCATGGCCTCTAGTTTGGGTGTTTTGAAAAAACTGACTGGATTGTTTCTCTCTGCTGGAGCTACTGAGTATGTAGAGTCACTGAAACACAATATCTCCTCAGAAACATCCCGTGGCTGAAGGCACGACTCCAAAACAACACCACCAGTAGATATGTCTGCATCCTGTTGTTGTGTCTGATCATCATTGTCCTGGGTCTGACTTTTATCACACAGCTCTGTGTTTTCATCCTCATTTTCAACATTAGTTTCAGCATCATAGATGGCAGCAGCCTCAATTCTATCAATTTCCATCAAATCCTCATCATCATAGTCGTCATCATTCATTGTGTTTTCATCATCATCATCCTCATCCTCATCACCATCATCAGGAAGTGTGGGGTCACATAACTCCTCCTCATCTCTAATAGTGATGTCTTCATGCTGGGGGTGTATCTCTTTCAGTTTATGCAGAGCCTGCACTAGCTTGGACCAGGTAACAGTCTGAAACAGATGGTGACCTCTGTAACTCAAACGTCTCTTCAGTTTTACTCTCATCACCTGAGATTCATTTCTCAATCTGGGTAGAGCCTGAATTGTTTCCTGGACTTCAGAGGGAACACATACAACATTACCATGTATAGCTCTCTGTCTGCCTTTGGGAAGAGGAATGATTTTGGCAAATGTTATGCACTTTGCTATCAGATGTCTCTCCAGTATGTTGAGGTCACACAGCTCAGGTGGTATGTCAGCAAGCTCCAAGTTGTTTGCTATGGCAAGTTTGGGCATGGATCCATTTTTCAGATGGTCATGGCACGTGTGACAAATCCACTCAGTCTTTCTCTCATCAGGGACAGTGCACTTATTTCTGCAGTCATCGTTGCATGCATGGACGTACTGACCTTTGAGACAAGCTGAAACCATGGTTGGATTTTTAACATAGTTGGACCTCTTGCACTTTTGAACCTGGTTTGGAAATGAGGCTTTGTGACAAACTGTGCAAACATGGGTGGGACCAGCTTTAATGTGTGATCTGAAATCATTTATGGCACTTTCAATAAGAGGGTTTTCACTCTCTCTGTCAGTCTCATGTGCTTGTTTACTTATCCGTTTGTATTTCTTTGATATTTTCAATGCACATCTGATTTTATGCTTTGTCCTGTATGCAAGATTTGTCTTATACCTGTCTCGCATAATTTGTCTCATCAGCTGTCTGTGTCGGTCACGGAATATTTCATCATTTGCATATCGATGATTAACATAGGATTGCTTTCTCTGTCGGAAATTAATGTCCACTGAATATTTTTTCCTGAAATAGTCTTTCTTTCTGCCTTTAAATTCAACATTTTCTCTGTATTTTTTAGTGATATATTCTTTTTGTCTGCCTTTGAATTCAACATTTTCTCTATATTTTTTAGTGATATATTCTTTTTGTCTGCCTTTGAATTCAACATTTTCTCTGTATTTTGTAGTGATATAGTCTTTTTGCTTTAGTCTGAAGTCTGTGCTTTCTCTGTATTTAGTTGTGATCTCTTTTCTTTTCTTTGTCTGTATTTCAGGATTGACAGAATAGTTTTTACTTGAATAAGACTTTTTCTTTGCTTTGTATGTTTCATTCTTAGCATACTTCTCTCTCTCTTTCCTGTTTTTATCTTTTTTCTTTTGTGATGTCTTTTCAGATCTCATTAGTCTCCTCTTAAATTTCTTTTTTTGCTGTTTGTTCAATTTTGACAGTTTACTAGAAATGTCATGGAGGACATTGTCACTTGTGACAGGGATAGTTATAAATGGTTGTGTCAAATTTGATTGTGTCTCATGAGTTTCCTCTAGTGTGACAGACTTATTGCTGATTTGACCTGCTTGATGAGCTTGAGTTTCCATCAGGGTTGAGAGGTCATGACAGTCATCACTTATAGTAGTGTTCATCTCCAGAACGAGAGATTCAGGACCAGTTAATGTGACAGAACACTGGCTGAAGTCGATCAGTGGTTCTGGTTCAGTTTCTATGTCATGTTCAGAGTTTTCATGGACATCAGTGTTCATCTGTGGAGCACTTGTGTCATCATTCATCACAGTGGTTGTTACAGAGGGACTTGTGGACGGACTTTCTGTGGCTGGGATAACATCACTTGGGTTCACATCACAGAACACAACTGGCTTGAGCTCATAGTGACAGGACTCTGCTGTGCCCAATATATGGTGATACCTGATGAGCCTGTGAATCATGTCACTGAGTCGTGTGAATGTTACCATGACAGTGGTTCCAGGAGTAGGTGTGGCCTTAAGCAGAGGCAAACCGTTAGCTGTCCGAGCATGTGGGTCAAAGAAACCGTACCTGCCATCTCTGGTTCTGAAAACTGCAATGCACAGCGAAGTCATTAGCAGCAAAGCATACTGCACATCTGTTAATAAGCAGCTCAGTCCTGAAATGAGGTCCAGAAAGGTATCAACAGCTCCGGGATCCGGATCTCCAAACGTACCGTATCTAGACAGCTGTAACATGTCAACAGTCTGCATGTGTCTGCGTGCAGGAACCTGGTTAGGGAGCTCATCGGTTGTCAGATGGGCGTGATCAACAGTTTTTCTGATTTCTCTGTACATCACATCACCTTTATCCAAAACACGGTCCAGGTCTGCTCTGGTGATGTGTTCGTTCTCATACAGGAATGCTAGAAATGTCAGTGAGTTACAGGTGCACTGCTGGTTCCTGGATTGGCCGTATTTCAGAGACGCTTGGCTGCGTGACGCACAGACGTTTTGTTCACCTGACTGATTAACAGAGTTAACATTTCTTACCCGAGAAGAGCCTGATACAGACTGATAATTACTGTGGTTTCCCTTCTTAACAGTGTCTGGATATATCTGACCAGAGTTGGACGGACCGGCAGTACGTGACACACTAGGAAGTTTTCTCTTTACCATGTCTGCATATGTTACCTGTTGTACACCTGGATCATTGGTTTCACCTCTGCGGTTTACCTGTTTAATGTTAGACGGACCTGCTGCAGGTGACTCACTTACACATCTCCTCTTTGGCATGTCTGTATAAGATACCTGTGGTTGACATGACGCACTTTCACCTCTCCGTTTCACAGCATCACATACTTCAGACTTCTTTACCTCTCCAATGCTCTGAGGAACACCATCTGCTTTTACACGGTCAATGTCATGTAACCTCTGCCAGCGCTGGCTTGCAACCTGTGACTTCTTACTCTTCCTCGGCATTTTAGCTGTTCTTTCACAACAATGTGTTTATACAACAATTTAAAGTTAATGATAAGCAGCAGTATAGGCAAAAACGCTTTATTTCTTCAAGAGAGATTGTTATTCAACAGCTCTTATAGTCTCCAAAACATGTAATTTATAACTGTGTGTATACCAACAATAGTTTATCAAATGTTTTCTAAGGAAATCCTAGGCAAGACTAAATAAATGTTTTAAGAAAAAACACAAATCAACAACAATTTTTAAATCTTAGAACTTTGTGCTTGAAATAATATCTAACTGAAATACTCTATATGAAACGTTTTTTTTTCTTTCAAGACCAGGGATGCAGATGTGGTGGTGCTGATGACACTTCTTCTGGTGAAACTCTGGATCCACAGACAGGAAAGGAAAACCTAGAACAACAATGAGACTTTTGCAGTATTAGGGCTTTTTCCAATACAGTGGTTGCATTAAATGTACAGCTTTTCAGAAGTTTGGTTTCTCAAAAAAAGGGTTGATTGTTTACAAAGGTTTCTCAAAAAAGGTGGCTTGTTAAAATAGGTCTCAAAAAGATTTATTGCAAAGGGGTCTCAAAAGATTTATTGCAAAGGTGTCTCAAATGATTTGTTGCAAAGGGGTCTCAAATGATTTGTTGCAAAGGGGTCTCAAATGATTTGTTGCAAAAGGGTCTCAAATGATTTGTTGCAAAAGGTCTCAAAGATTTATTGCAAAGGGTCTCAAAGATTTGTTTCAATAGGTCTCAAAGATTTGTTTCAATGGTATCAAAGATTTGTTTCAATGGTATCAAAGAATTGTTCAAGGATTGTAGAGTGGCTTTTCAATCAGAAAGAGTGGTAGAGGAGACAGGAAAGTCAGAGGGACCAAAATGATAGGGGAGAGTGGGGAGACTGGACAGGATACCTGTAAGACACAATGGAAAAAAACATTAATCTTTTTTTATTAAAGACAAAATTAAATGATCCAACATCCACCCAAAGCTAGTGAGATTATAATGTACTTTTACTCAATCCACCAAGTGGCTGTCCTCAACTATACATCTATCAAAAGTCAAGTTGAGTTAAAAGCTGGAAGTGACCATTGTCTTGTTCGATAACCCTTCAATCAAATTAATGACTAAAAATACAGAGTGTTCATAAGAGATAATTGAAAATGTATTTAAGATACAAAGAACTTTATTTATCCCCTAAGGGAAATTCAATTGTCTGTAGTCTCACTTGTCATGTCTCAAAAAGTCATCTACTATTTAAATTGTAAAGTCTGATGGCTGTGGGTACAAAAGATCTTATGAGTCTTTCTGTCCTGCAGCAGAGAGAGGAGCCGTCCACCACCATAGGCCTTTCGGTCCACCAAGGTGTTGTGAAGTGGGTGAGCCATATTCTTTAGAATAGCCTCCACCTTCCTCACAGTACATCTCTCCACCACATCCTCCAGTGAGTCCAACTTGAATCCAACCACAGAACCACCTTTTTAAATTTAGGACCTCAAAGTATTTTACAAAAAGTTCTATTATCCCTGCGCATTTTAGACTCTTTATTTTAAGTTCCCTCTATAATGTTTATAACCATGTCCTGGTAAGCAGTAATAACAATGGATTACTCTGCTGATAAAATATGATGTGTTTTGGAAAATGTAATTTCCTTTACCGTGTTTTAAGTATTCCTACAATGTAATAAGTTATAATGAGGCCAAGCAGCTCCATAAGCTGTAAACAGAAGCATGCAAAGTACCTTAGAAGGATATACACATTTCTAAACTGAGGATTAAATGAATAATAAAATAAATCAATGGCGGCATAGATAATGATTGTCTATTCCATATTAAGGAACATTAAATTTGATTTTTTTTCTAATATAAGAGCTGCACAAAAAGAGGTAATCACATTCAATTAGTAATTATTTGGATTTTCATGATTAAAAAATTACAACTCCACAATTTAATAGTAACAAATTGCTTTCCAATGATTGGAAATAAAATGCAAATAAGTGTATTGCATATCACATTTAACCTGTTCATTTCCAACTGTGAATATTACATTATCAAAGGGGAAAAAAACTTAAGTTTGGACATGATGAGGGGTCCATAATGTATTGAATAAAGGCACCCTGCGTTATTCATGAAAATGTCATTCCTGTGTGAACTTACGTCGAGTCGCCACAAAACGGTCTGCACTTGGAGACAGGATAGAGTTGGCAAGAAGGAAAATGGAAAAAAAGAGACAAGAGATTTTTAGTTTAGTTGTACAAAACCAGCACATCTCACTGCATTGTCGTTTCAATTGTAATCAGCCTGCAAAATTATTTCTATTTGGTTCTGCTTTAGTTTAAATAAAGTGTTTTTTTAAAATGGTTTGTGTTACAATGAGAATGTGCTGCAGTTTGTCAAATAAGGACATAGTGTCAGGTTTTTACATGATGTGTTGTAAAAAGTGTCAGTGTTACTTTATTTGTGAACTTACAGCTGAATCGCCAACAGTGAACAGGGCCCGCAGCAAAGATAGCGTTGAGGAGTTCAGAGGAGGGAAAAGATAGAGGGACAAAAAAATAAAATTTAGTTGCTCTCTTAGCTTGTAAAAATGTTTGTTAAAATGGAGAGAAATGCACAAACACAATGAAGGACCGCTTTACTTTTTAATTTCTTATGTAATTGAGGTGAAATACGCAACACTGAAATGTCATTATAAACTGCAGAGAAAAATGTAACACTTAATTGATTGCTTAATAAGTATATACAAGTGTAAACTTACACTTCAGAGTTGGTAGGGAATTTCACACAGGTCAGAGGACAAGATGATGCAGGAGGAGGGGGAGAGGGAAGAAAAGAGTTTTTTATTACACTCAAAAGAGACGCCCTCACAGCTCATTTCATTCAAAGTAATGATTATTATCAAAGTAATAGTAATTATCTGAATGATTTTCCCACTTAATTATTGTCAAAATTAAGATTCAGACTTTCCCATCAAGTTAAAATGTTTAAAATAAATGAATTTAGTAGTATAGTAATATTGTTAGCTCACTGTTGTCTACTAGGAAAAAACTGTATCCCATCTATGATTTTCATATAGCATATACAACAGTGTTACAGATAAATCAACATTTCATATCAATTTAAACTCAGTATTTGAAAAATGCATCATATGTTGTACATTATCTTGAATGACATGTTGTTAAACAGGATTAAGCTAATCATTAATCCGGTTGTTTTATTTTGTTTGTTGTCAGTCTTGGTCAAAACACTTATACTTACCAACAAATGCACTGGAGCGGATGTATCTTCTGTTTGAGACAAGAAACAATACATTAGTGTTTTATGACAGATAGCACATTAAAAACAATAGGCCTATAAAGAAAACTAACATTATTACAGTAGTTCGGCTAATTGAAAACTAAACAGCTCCAACAGATCACCTGGCTGTTAGCTGCAGCTGAAAATGTCACACATAATACATACTGTATTAAAGTATATATACCTCAGATAAAGTATCTTTGCTGTGGTGTTAGCACATCACCAATATCTAAATTAACAGCTTGTTATCAAAGGTAAATTAGGTACAGTAGACGGTGAAGTTCAGTAGCAGCCAACAAGACAGAGACAGACCAGGAGCAGGTCCACCAACTTCAAGGCAGCTAACTCTTCATCCATCAACTCAATATTAAGATAAGAACTTTATTGATCCCTAAAGGGAAATTCAACTGGAATATATTTATTAATTGGAACTTGGTATTGTTAAACATTAAATACGGAATTCATTTTATGTTTTGCAATGTAAATATCTCTATCATCCCCATCATGACTAAAACCTTCAATAATAGAGGACCATCTAGGTCCATTCTGACACATAAAAAAAGAAAAACCACTCATATTTGTGCTATACCTGGATGCTTGCTAAATGCAGCCTATATTTTAATACATCTACAATGGCTGATAACAAGTGACCAGGAGCTAAACAGCTGACGTCTCCAGACCAATTCCCCAGCAATGACTCAGTCATAGTAATGAACTGAACCTGTAGCAATGGCGCTAGCGTCATTAGTTAGCTAGTTAGTCAGTCAATACTTGACAATATGAGTATTCTTGTGAGTCCCACTGTCAGTAAACTCCACAGCCTGTACATCATTTGGCATGCTTTATAGTACCGCAGCGGCTTACATATTCACTTTACTTTGTGCTCAGCTGGCTAATGATTCAGCCTCACAGCTGACGGCATGTTAGCTTTAGCGTTAGCTCGACGCTAGCGGCGCTAGCTCGACGCTAGCGGCGCTAACTCGACGCTAAAAGCGTTAGCGTATGCTTTTTCAACTCATTATCTCGACCACTTCGATCATGAATGAACTCTTCATTGATTATAACACAAACCAGTGCCATTTGAAACGTTAAATCACCGTTTGAAGTGTTCAGAAGTTAGAGAGACTGTGCTCTGACTCACCTTCGTCGAGGTCGGAGAAGGATAGCGCGAGCCACCGGTGGGTCACGGTATTAATGTTTGAGGCGTTCAGGGACACTCGGAAATGTCAGACTTCGCACGACGGAAAGGCAGTGGTTCAATCAATTCACTTTAATTGTTTTCTAGTACTAATAGTAGCAAGACTAGTTGAAGTAGAAGTGATGTAAGTAGTAGTTGTAGAAGTGGAAGTGGGATTTTGTTTGAAGAATTGAAATATGCATGAATAGTAAAAATGATTTAAAGTGGGGAAAATATAACCAATAAAAAATCCTAAAGTATTAGAAAGGTTTGAAGGTTTGAATAAGAATGAGTTTAAATTTATTAGAAGAATTGAATAATGCATAAATAATGAGAATGAATTAAGGACAATTTAACTGAATAGAAATCCTCTGTAGACTCCATAATGTCCTCAATGAGCAGAATTTTTGAAGCCCAAAATATGTCTGTATCTCAAAGTTTGTGAGAGAAGATAGGTGGTGAAGCAGACACATGGTCAAAGTGTGTTCAGGTCGCATAGACAGAGAGAGACTCATGCATGCACATATTTTCTGTGTGTACTTGAAGGTCTCATAGAGAGAGGGAGGCTGAAGCACACACATTGGCTGAGTGTGTGTGTCTCATTAATGACTGCATCCTTAACAGCTGTGAGATCAAAGGCAAATCACTGACCTACTGTTTGAATGAGAAGCAGCTGAACTGGAGAGGATTTGAAGCCTGTGAACTTCTTCACATAGCACGATTTCCTTAAGTCCCAGAATGAAAATAAGAACATCGTACGAATCCTCCGTCCTTCATGAACACAATGATGTGTTTTTCATGTCTGTACTTCGAAAAATGAGGCCACAACAGCGAGTTAAAAAAGTCTGAGCCTGAGCGATGATCCGGATTTTCTTGGAGACAAATAACATTACGGTCAATGGGAGAGATTTCCGCCTTCCTTGGACAGTTGGTCACCTGCTGGCCAAGGGGTACGATTTAATGATTTGAAACCTCTTTTGTGAGAAGCAGGACACATATACCTCCATTTTGATGTATTATTTATGGCTGTGGAGTGAGATTTGTGGGCGTGGGAGCGATATATTCGAGCGAGGTTCTGTCGATCAGAGACGGGGTCTGCACTCTAGCTGATGACATCATCACTCTAAACTCTCCAATACACACCCATTATAAAGCTTGAAATTTGCTGAAAACCACAAGTTGCTTAAAGCTAAATTGTGGAAAAACTGTAAAAGATATCAAAAAACTGAGTACAACTGTAATAGTCGACAAGTGAATGAACATTTTAAAGCAAAAATGAGGTCTCTAGGTGAAAGTATGCTGAAGTTATAAGGTCTAGAAGGTGGAAGAATGAAAGGAAGAAGTTGAAGATTTCCCCATTGACTTCAATGTTAAAATTTTTGCACAAAAAGTTAAAAAAAACAAAAAGTATAAAGGGTAGAAAGAAAAAAAATAGACGCAATAATGTCCTGAAGGAGTGGAATAGTTTAAAGTTTGAACGGTTGAAATCGGACAAAGTTTGAAGGAGGAGAAGCGGTCCAAAAAACGGCGGAAGAATAATAATAAGAAGAATAAAGAAACGGGAGAATAACAATAAGTGGAAATGCCTGTCAGCATTTCCACTTAATAATAAAGATATGAATAACATATAGTGGGAATGCTTCGCAATCCCACTCAACTAGAAAATGCAATTTCTGAAGAAATTGCGAGTGGGATTGCTTCAATTGAAATTGCTAGCGCTACGCTGCTATTGCGAATGGCTGAATTTTAAAATATGTGAAAGGTCAAAAGGTATGAAGAATCAGGAAGATTTGAATCAATTGGAATAAACTCAATTGAATGAATTGAATAATGCATGAATAACAGTTTTAGAAAATTCAACATCTGAAAATTAAAATGATTAAAAACCCTGAAGTATGGGAAAGGCTTGAAGAACCAATAAGTTTTGAATCAGTTTAAATGAGTTGGAATTTGTTTGAAAGAACTGAATAATGTATTAAGAGTAAAAAATATTTAAAACTGGAGAATTAAAAGGTTACAAATCTGGAAGAAAAAGAGGTTTGAAGAATCAAAACGGTTTAAATCAGTTTGAAGGAAATAAATTAGTTTGAAGAACTAAATAATTTATTTTCAATGAATGATTGAAAAATTGGGACAATGTAAATGAAAAAAATCCTGATTTGACCCCATAATGTCCTCAATGAGCTGAATTTATTAAGCCCTGGATGGTTTCTGTAGCTCAAGGTTTGTGCGAAGAGATAGATGACAAAGTTCGTCAAATAACTCTATTGAAGGGTTTTAAATGTAACCCCCAGTACTCTGTGTACTGAGCCTGGCTTCATGTGTCTCATATGGCTGTTAGAAGCAGCTTTCCAGCCAGCTGTGTGTCTCCAGGTGCTCCCTTTGGTTGCCATGGTGACGATAGATGCTTAACAACAGCAGGAGAAAGGAGGCTTGAGGCTGAGAACGTAATGCCCAAACAACGTCATATTTCTCATCCTCTGTAACTGCTATCTTCATGATAATGAGCTTGTGAGAACCACAAGACCCGGCTGAACACGTTGATACAACTTCTGTGTCTGTGGAGCCAAAAATGCCTTCACTACGACAAGTTAAAAACATGTCCAGTTTGTGTTTCCTCTGAAAATCCTCCTCTCAGGTTTACATTGGAGTCAATGGAGAAAGCTGGAGAAATTTGGGGGATGTCTGTGGCAGTTGGTGTCTGCCCAGGCCACTGTGTGTGTCCTATGGCTTTGATTTTTTAGATGAAGAGTGACAGCGAGTTTTGCCATCACTGT